TGTAAAAATGCGATCATTTCAAAAACATTCGGATGAGCTTGAAGAACTAGCTTCTTGATCCTTGAATGCCGCACTTCCAGAATGTTGTTGGTTCTGTGTTCCCCTATGTGGTAGTGGTTCCACTGATGAGTAGCATATTCACCCTCTCCCATTGCTTTGTTACGCAGTCGGCCAATTCAGTTATAATGATAATGATTTGATGATATTCATCAGTAGTTGCCAATTGGTGATTAAGATTCATATTGAATACTTGGATGATTTGATGATTTTCATCATTAGTTGCCAAATAGTGAATAAAATTCAGAGTGAACATATATTCATAAAATCTTTAACGCCGTTAATTGGGTCCTTATAACAACATACCTCTCTTCAAACGAAAGTTGATATCCCCGGCTTCGTGGGAAGGATTAATTTTGGTACGCTCTGTAACGGCCCCGTCGTGGGAATACACCATATTGGTTTATAACTATTGGGCATCACTTTCCTTGTTACACTTGTAGTTTACAGGTGGACAGTCTGACAGACCATACCCGGCCGCTTAAGAATTGTGACCTCTCCCCCCCCCCTACACACACTCGATCCTTTCCACTCTCTCGAAGTAGATATATATCGGTCGCGTCCTGGAATAACTGCGGTTTAAAGAGAGAGAGAGGGGGGGGGGTTAACGTCCACTCGACACAAACTAGGTCATTTCGGGACTAACATATGGCATAATTTTACTTCAATAATTTGCTTGAAAGTAGGAGTGGGAGGAAACCGGAGGAAAAAAAATTAGTTGGAAAAATAAGTGCCAGAAATCTAATAAAACACTGATTTTACTTTTCTTTTAATTGAGTACCAGGAATTTGTACTGAATTGACTATGTTTTGAAAAAAATGTCTGGAACCACTCCAGCTGCAACAGTCTGGTTGGATGGTTGGAATACAAGTCGGCATAAAGTGGGATTTCGATTACAAAACCATTGGACAACTTTGAAGCTGCTTAACTCATGTGCCAGAATAGCAGAAAAACGAATTTACGGCGGTTAAATTTTCAAATTTTTCTTCGGGAGGGGCGAGACCCCCATACCCCGCGACGATTGATTGGCTGTTTGGGATTCAAGTCAGCTATATTGGACCACATTGAAGTTGCTGTATTCACGGACTGAAATAGCACGAAAACGCGTTTGATGCAGATACATTTTCTCCGTGGACTTTAAACGATTGATTCGTCGATTGGAATTCGTGTCAGCCACCTAAATTATAGGCTATATTAGACCACTTTGAACTTGCTATATTCATGGGGTTGGAATAACATATATTGGGGGAACCCCACAAGGTAAGTTCCGCTCCGTCGCCTCTTGAATGTTTTCGGGTTCTGCCGCCCGACCCCATATGCCTATGACCTATATATTGTGTTTTACGTATCTACAGCCCTTTATCATAAGAACTCACCTATTTACTTGAACAATGCTGTCGTTGCCTGGTGAACTATTTCTTCCCATCTATTAATGGCGATTTCAGAAGCTGGGCCCTGTTTCACAAAATTTTAACTAAAGATAAAATACAAATTTTAGTAGATACTTCAGTTTTGATTGGATAAGCACTGAAATCAATATAATATTATCCAATCAGATTACTAAAATTTGGGTTATACCTTAGTTAAAATTTCGTGAACAGGCCCCAGATTTTCTTTTGTGTGTGTGTGTCGGTTTATGCAAGGGAGATAAATCTATGTTATTGTTCATGGATTCAGACTGATAACTCTCTTCCCCATTGACATCAATCGAACTGGTTTTTTTTTTAAATACATCATGATTATTTTAATCTACAAAGAACCCAACATGTCACAGTTACCTAATCAAAATATTGAAACCGTTTGGTGTGTGTGTGGGGGGGGGGTCTCCACAGACGGTGACATATCACTCCAGCTCAAATTCATGAATATTTGCTAAACTCTGGCAGAAAATGTAAATTCAGATACTCTTAATCGAATCTATATCCGGAAGTCAACAAAATTTGACAAACAAAAGGCGGCGGGTTGGTCGTGGGTGTGGTGTTTGCTACATATAGAGGAATTGTGAAACCAGGGGGAATATTTAATAGTCTAGAACTAGTCCATAATTCAAATGTAGACCACATAAACCATCAAACGTGTGTCCTAGTTTCGGGGATCGGCCCAGGGCATCCGTACCCTTCTGCTCACACAGAGCATGCTTTTTTTTCTGAATGTCGAAGAAACAACTGTGTGAAGCATTGCCGAGGTTTTGGCCTCAATCCACTCTAATCATATCTATGCGTGCATCTAGACGTGTAGAAATATTTCTCAGATCTCCGACCCGGAAACATCCCCACCCTTCTGCTCAAATTCATTGACACACCCCTGATAAATTATCAAGTTATATTCTTATAGACACCGTTCCTTGCAAAACCGGCCATTCTGCTTCACAAATTATTTTCTGGATCATCACTTAGATTGAATCACAAACAAAGTTCCCTGCCAGATCGGCCATTCTGCTCCACCACACCCGACAATTCCAAGGTAATTTCTGGGCCATCATTGAGATTGACCTGGGGCAATCTGATTGTCAGAATGGGACTAGTATGGATAATAAATTTGGTGTGCACATTTCAGTTACTCAGAACAAAAACATTTCACCTAAAAAAAAAGTTGAAGAATACTTAAACATACTTATGCAAAAGCTAAATCTGCCTATTGCAGGTCTTTCTTTAGGCCTGAATAATATATGTAATAACTAAGGTTAAATTTGGCGCGAACATTGCACGGGCTTCATGGACATGAATAACAAAATAAATCTGATAATATGGGAGTCCGCGATGCCCTTTGGTGGGTGATTAAGCTGTGAATGTAATTGTAAAATACCTTTTTATAAAAAAGATAAACCATGCTAGACATCATAAACTAATCTTATCAGAAACGTTTATCCATCGATTTATATTCACATTTCATATCAAGTTAGTTAATTGCTGTTGGCTTCGAAGATGTCCATAGCGCCGTCGATAACCATTTCACATCCATATTGTTGTTTTAATCGGAAGCTAATTAGGTTTACTCCAATTTATTTTGATCAAAAGGACATGTGGAATATGACTACAGCGACTGTCTTTGATATGGCATTATAAAACATATTTTAAATAAAATCTAAAATGTAAATTAATTACCAAACAAATTAGTCTGTGGTTAATTGTTTTATATATATAGTTGATTAAGGAATCAGTCAAGCGTTAATGAGTACACACCCCGGCCGTTTATAGGTAATTAAAGATACATTCTCACGAAAGTATTTATTTGTTGGTGGTTGTTTCCAATAAAAGTATGGCAAATTTGGTATAACTGCAAAGTAGAGACGTCCAATCGTACTAGAAAAATACCGGAATCCATGAAAAAAACGCCCATGAGGCAAGCACGGGGCAAAAATGTCTGGGTATCACTAACTGGCAGCCGGACGGCTTATTGTCTTATGGAGCGCTTGTTATTTCTTGATCGAATGGTTAGGCGGTTTGGGGAACATTGGAGAGGTTTAAACGTACAAAAGACTCTGCAATTAAACGGCTGATAAAGAAGTTGGCAGAAGAAAATCCAAGAATATACTTAGGCTTTAATATGTGGGGCAAATGGACAGTAAATAACGACAAATACATTATGAAATGAAATGGGGTTTAACGTCCTACTGTTCTGCTCCTAACCTGGGCTAATGAAGACGGGCATACGCCATACAGTGTGCTATGAGGGAAATTTTGCCCGGGCAGCGGCACTATCGCCTACTCTTATATCGAATTCCAACTACCAAGGGATCTTTTACGTGCATTCCTATGTATACACGGGACCTCGGTTTTTCGTCCCATTCGAATGACTAGACAGCTGTCCTGCATCACTGACAAGGGGAAACCAAATACATTATGAAATGTGCCCTCCCTCAATCAAGTTACATAACAAACATTGCTTTTAAAATAGATTGTTTTACATCTTGGATATACAATGTTTTGAGAGGGATTTCAAGCAAATGTTTGACTGATTAATTAGTTTGAATATGTTTTAATCCAAATAAATCATCAAATCTCCCAGTTTGTAGGCATATTTAAGGAATAAACATTTCTAATATGCATTCGGTCACTGTCACGTCACTGGCGTCTGACGGTATTAAGGGTACGGTGTTTTCGATAATTGGCCAACTTCGTTTTTACGGTAGGTCTATATTTGTAACTTTTGAGTGAAGATGGCAGGATTTTTAAAAATCAGATTGGTGTGAACTTTCCGTAAAGTACTTATAGTAACCACTGTGGCATTCAAGTATCTCACCATTTTATGGTTACTTCATATATATTTGGTTTTACGGTCATGCTCAGTAATTTCCTAGTTGAATAGATAAACTATTTTGATTGCTTATGACTTTTATCTAATTGCTTAAAAGAAAAAAGGTTTTTGTTTTTCAATGTTTATATTAAAAAGGGGGGTTTGTTCATATAGTCATAAATCAATGGGTAATGGTAATTAATTACTTTCAGTGTAATGGGTAATGGTAATTAATTACATTACTAAAAGTGAGCAAGTAATTGTAATGATTACATTTAAAATGTAACGGTAATGTAATTAATTACATTGGAAATATAATGGTTCCAGTCATACAGCCATACAGAAATATCTGGTGCTTCATGCCAGAAAAATTATATAGTCATATTGCGCCCCCCCCCTCCCCCAGCTCGTACGCCTATGGTACTAGTTGGTAGAGAAGCTAATTTAAGAGATTTAAGAGATTAAACCCCATTTCATTTCATTCCATTCCATATTTTCTTGAACTTTTTTGTTTGGAACAATATAAATTAGTTTGATGCAAGAAACATGCACCCATTAATTTTTTTTTTTTTTTTTTTAAAGATAGGCCTACATATTAAGTAGCAGACATATAAAACAAAAAAATATTAATGGGCGAAAAAACTCAACCTTAGCTTCGAAACTTCCTAAAGTAGGTCCAGTCTTGATAACCGAGGCAATAATGAGAACAAAGATGGCGTCTAATTCTTGCGAAAAATAATCATAGTAAACGACAAGAAAAGACGGAATTAATCATTTCAGTCGTATGAAAACAGTCTAAGCTTAGCTGTAGAAACACTCAACGGTTAATTTTTAAAATATTTGCAGTGAATTATACAAAGTAGGGTCAAAATATGGGAAGTTAATTTGCTGAAAGTATTGCGGAAGTGATTAGCCTAAACTCGGTACGGTACGTCAAACCGAGTTTAGAACGAAGGCCACAAGGGGTCAGATCTCCGAGCTGAACTGGTTTGTAGGTGACCTGTTTATGCAATAAAAGATCTACGTCTGTTGTGTATTATTTAATTGGTAAATCAACAGTTGTCTGTAACGCGAAATGGTAAGATTAAAGATTATTTACATCAAATGGAAATTTCGGGGTATTTTCACTTGGTCGATTCGCACCACTTGGTTTCACATTTGAGTCGTTTTGCACAGAACTGCATCAAGTATTTGATTATATTTTTACCAATATAAACTGTTCATAAGTTTTATCAACAATTACCAACTTAAGCAAAAAACTTATTGTGAAATCTGTAGCTTAAATGTTTGAGTCTGAGACAATATTTAATTTTTCAATCCATAAAAAAAAATAAATTAATATTTAATTAAGAAAAAATAAAAATATCAACATTAATGTAATCACTGAGCTTGGATTATAGCAGTATCGTTTGTTTTTATAAGCCCACAATAAAAGACTGGACTTTCATATATATTCGTATACCGGTATTGTTGTCCCCCCCCCCCCCTACCCTGGCCGGTGACCGGCGTCCTCAATTGTTTGAGGCTAAAGTTAATATTTGACTTTAATTAATACTAAAAAGCACTATTATGAGTATGTGTCACTCCAGAAATTTTAATTGTCATTAAATATTAAACCCTATAACTTCCTCTCTTATTGCAGGCATCTAATAAATCCGCACATCATCGATGTATTGAGTGTGATGAGATGTTCGAAGAATACGCAGACTTAGAAGAACACAATAAAATACATGTTGTCCAAGACAAAACTGATAACGATGATAAAACAGATTTTGATGATTGTCAACTACCAGTTCGCTTTGAAGGACAAGAGGCGGAGGAGGTTGGAGATATTATGCACTGTGGATTGTGTGGAGATGAGTTTGAAATCTTAGCTGATTTAGAAGAACATTGTAAAGCACACGCTCAAGAAGAAGAAGATGCTATAGGCAGTACTTCACATTCATCGGATGATTTCGATGATGTAAAATTAAATTCCGAAAATGAAAAGAAATCCGGCCATGAGTGTGAATTATGTGGCAAGACATTTAAACATGGCTGTCGACTCAAAGAACATTTGAAAAGTCACGCTGGTGAAAAACCATTCGAGTGTGATGTTTGTAGCAAGTTCTTTAGCAATAAACGAAATCTAGAACTACACAGGAAAAATCACACGGGAGAACAACCCTTTACTTGTGGTGTTTGTAGTAAATCATTTAATTTTCTGGTTCATATTGAACGGCACATGAGAATACATACGGGTGAAAAACCCTTTAAGTGTCAATTCTGTCCGAAGGCGTTCAACCATAAAGAGCAATGTTTGTCGCATACACGAGTCCACACAGGGGAAAAACCGTTCAGGTGTGAAGTGTGTGACGATACCTTTAGATATAATTGTGGTTTGATGAAACACATGTTGAAAAAACATTCAGGTCGCGTGTATGAATGTGATATTTGTAACAAATCATTTAATAAAGCGACAGGTTTACAAAATCATTTAAGAATTCACGGAAACAGACCATTCAAGTGTGACATTTGCGAAGAATCATTTCGCCAAAGCAGCAGTTTAACAAAACATCTTAGAATTCATGCTGGGGATAAACCATTCAAGTGTGAAATTTGTGGTAAATCGTTCAACCGGAACGACATTTTGAAAAATCACACTCGAATGCATACCGGCGAAAAACCCTATACGTGTGATGTGTGCAATAAATCGTTCAGTATCAAAAGTTATTATCAGATCCATATTAAAATCCATACAGGTGAAAAACCCTATCAGTGTGATCTTTGTAGCAAGGCATTTAGTGTCAAGACTTATTTAAACAGACATATGAAAAATAGACATTTTAAATATGATGTGCTGCCGTTCGATTAGCGCCATAAACTTCTATTAGTGAGTGCAGGAGAACTGCACCACACACTGCTATTGAGGACAGCTGAAATCCGTTATATTCAATGTGCTGCTGAACCTGTGTAGCCAATATACCAATGCTGGTAGCCTTATTAGATTGTATAGTTACAATGAGATTTTATTTTGTTCTGGAGTAGAGGTGGTTCAGTGAGTTAGAGGTGGCTCACTAACCTGGCTAGGTACTGTGATAGTCAGGATTTTCCTTCGTGGTTCCCTCTTGTCAGTGGTGCAGGACAGAGGGTCTGGCAAGGGACGTGTATTTGTTCATTAGGGGAAAAAAAAGAGGTCCGATGTACACATTGGCATGCTCGTAAAAGAACCCTTGGCCATTGGAATTCGATATACATGCAAGAGTAGGCCGCAGTGCTGCTGTCCGTACTAAATTTCCTTCTTGGCACACTTTATGGCAGATGCTGAGAGAGAGAGAGAGAAAGAGAGTAGAGTCGCCGTCCAACTTCGTGGGTTTTCTCTGGGTCCTCCGGTTTCCTCCCATAGTGCAGTTAAAGACTCCTACGCCCAAGCAAATTATTGCAATAAAATAGGACCATATAGTAAGTGCAGGAGGACCGCACTACACGTAAAACAAAAATCTACAAGATAAACCTGCGGACAAGACAGAAAATAGACATTGCACCAAATAAACAAATATCAAATCAAGTGAATGGATCCGGGGGCCAGCCGTAAGCGTCCACTGCGCTGTACAGTCCAGGGCCTGTAGTGACACAGACTTCACTCAAATTTGAAAACAATCAGAAATACAAAAAAAGACGTAACAGAAATAATGCGACTGATCTTGACAGTGGTCGTCTCCTCAATGGTGATAGTCTGCCAGTTGATGTCATGAGTTAGAACGTCAAACAATTTTAACAATAAGAGCGATAATCCGGATAGAAATTAGAATCTCAGAAAACGCTAAAATAATAAGTGTAGTGAGCAAACAGGAGCAAAACCCGACAATGAGAACATTCTGCAGTACGAAGGGTTAAAACTCTACTCTAATAGTAAGTTAGTCCCGAAATGACCTAGTTTGTGTTGAGTGGAAGTTAAACCAATTTCACTCTCTGTCTCTCTATTTGAGAATATAGTATGTACACGTATTAGAAGCTTTGCCAAGCGGACAAAATTTGCTTCCGTTTACAGGTTTATATTACATGTATGTAGATGTAAAGATAAACAAACACAAAATGTTAAACAAAATGAAAGTATATCTTTGAAAACATATGAAAGGATGACTAGCTGTTTATTTTAAGTTATACATGTACTACACAACATTCAATTTTATTGCACACTGTCAGGCTTTCAAATTTAAATAGAAATTCCTGTTGATTTAGGGGGGTTGGATGGCTGAATGGTTAGGACGTGCGTGCTGTATCATAAAGCCTGTCATTGAGTCAACTGGCATGGTTTCGAATCCCCGGTTGTACGTGACAAAGAGTAGGGTCGCCTGTCCAACCTCGTGGGTTTTCTACGGGTCCTCCGGTTTCCTCCCACTGCTAAAGACCCCTAAGCGCATGCGAATTATTGAAATAAAATTAAACCATATGCTAGTCTCGAAATGACATAGTTTGTGTCAAGTGGACGTTAAACCCCATTTCTCTCTCTCCCTGTTGATTTAAATTAAAGAATTGATGAAAGCTAGGCTGTGATTGGTTGAATATCACCAGTATTCCAATATGTCTGATCAGATGAGAAATGAAATAGGGTTTAATTTTGCCCAGACAGCAACGCTATGGCCTACTCTTTTAGTTTGCACCAACTAGGCTGATGAAGACAGGATTAATAGAGTATATTTATAGTAACCTGTAACCGGCGGATGGATTTATTAGTATCGTGTTTCTATTTACGCGATTTTACCGTTTATCTAATTTATTATTTTTTTTGTAATCTACATCATTCAGACATTTTACAACACAATGATATTGAATTTATTTGGCGCAGCCAGATACTGAATATTGGTTAATGATAGTTGTTCTTGTTAAAGATACATTGTTAGATTTAGATAAAGAGCTAGCCATTCTTGCTATAATAGTTCGAAAATAGATAATGTAAAATGAATAATTTGAAAATTTCATTCAAATTACTCAATTGCGAGTGAAGATATTAGCCTTTGAAGGTTTGACAAGCTGTGTGCAATAATTTCAAACACTGTACTGGTTGTTCGAAGCTAAGTCTTGCTCCTCTATTTTTAGCTTAAATCAAAATATGGCTGAACTGTTCTAGTCTATTTAATTTCAGAGAAATCTGATGCCAACGAGAGTTGATTATGGCCTGGATAAGTTAATTAATGACTTAATTAATAATTTAGAAAACATTTCAGGCCTAAAGAAAGACCTACAATAGGCAGATTTAGCTCTTGCATAATGTATGCTTAATGAACAATTCATATTTCATATTGTTAATGTTAGAAATTTGTCCTTTTCATATTTATATTATCTGAGATTATTCTACATGTGTTTATTATTATTGTCAAATATGGAATTATTTTTTTATTATTATGAATTTGACAGTTTTATTCATTTTTGTAAACGACCCTGGATAAAACTTTTTGCCTGACATTTATTTCAAATGTCTATACATGAAAATGAGAGCAGAGAGGTAGAAGTTTGGGGTAGTACTGGTATGTCTACGCTGCTTTGAAATGAGAGGTCGTCGTACCAGAAAATAGGAGAAGTAAAAGTTGTGTCAAATCAAAAGTTATTGACAGATTTGTCTGAAATTTGGTGTGAGATCATAATGAGACACCCTGAACACCCTCAGCAAATTTCAAATCTCTACGACCACAGCAAGTACTAGGTGTATGAAAGTACATTGGCGTCTACTTGTTGAGTGTGGTACAATGTATATCTTCACTGGCTTTAACACTTTATGGCAAAGAGTTCCAAATAATGGGAGCACGATAACTGATAGAAAGTTCCTTTAAATATAGGAACAATAAAAATGAAATGAAAGGAGATTATTAATGCTTGATTGTTTTATTTAATGAAACTGATATTCAAAATAGCTCTATGTGTCCCTATTTAATTTGTATATCCAAATATTAGTCTGGAAGAGTTGCCAACATTTGAGAATAGCTAGGTCATTGGACGTTATCATGCACAAAATCTATTTTTTTCAGTCGGGTAAAACAAGATGTCAACGGCTATGAAATTGATTTAAGAATTACTATTTCAACATGCAAAAGTATTAAATTTTGTATTGTAAAATTTATTTTTTCAAGGATCAAATCTATAGTTTTTATTCATGTTCGTATATAATAATTTTGGAAGGGAAGCAACCCTTTCTTGACTTTTAAAAGCCAAAAAGTTGCATTGCCCATGTGAAACTGGTCAATTATCCAGTAAATTTCGTCAAATGTTGACAACTGACCCAGACCCTCTGTACATTGAAGAGACTAGGTGGTTCTGGGTGTCCGAGACAATTTCATTAAGTACTGGGGTATGCTTCTAATCTGGCTAAATCTATTTGTTAAGGCCAGCTCAATTTTTGTCAAGGTCATTGAGATGTAAATATTTGAGATGCAAATATGGTCAGAGCACGTGATTGTTGGCGAGATTGTAGATTAGGGTTAGGGTAAGTATTGGGGCTAGGTCCAGGATTAGGGTTAGGGTTGGGATTAGCGCTAGCCTTATTTACATCTCGTGATCTATGACGAAAAATTGAGCTGGCCTTATCATTTAGCAGTAACTTAATAATAATCAATGTATATCCATTTTATAAATGGCTTAAATCATTGGGTTTTATATGTTGATTAGTGAAAATAGTATGTCTATAAATCCTTGGGTTTTATATGTTGATTAGTGAAAATATTAGGTCTATAAATCATTGGGGTTTTTATGTTGATTAGTGAAAATATTAGGTCTATAAATCATTGGGGTTTTTATGTTGATTAGTAAAAATATTAGGTCTATAAATCATTGGGTTTTGTATGTTGATTAGTAAAAATATTAGGTCTATAAATCATTGGGTTTTGTATGTTGATTAGTAAAAGTATTAGGCCTATAAATCATTGGGTTTTTTCATATATTGGTTAGTGAAAATAGTAGGTCTATGAATCATTGGTTTTTTTTCATATATTGGTTAGTGAAAATAGTAGGTCTATGAATCATTGGGTTTTTTCATATATTGGTTAGTGAAAATAGTAGGTCTATGAATCATTGGGTTTCATATGTTGATTAGTGAAAATAGTAGGTCTATGAATCATTGGGTTTCATATGTTGATTAGTGAAAATATTAGGTCTATAAATAAAGCTTGTGCTGAAGTATAATAGATTGTGTGTTTCACTGTTGACACAGGCAGTCAAACTTGTATCATAGTTTAGTCAAGGTCACAAGGTGTAAACAAACAGGGCTAGCGCTAATCCCAACCTAACCCTGGACCAAGCCCTAACGCTTACCCTAACCCACAATCTCGCCAACAATCACAATCTCAGCAAATATTACGAAAATTGAGTTGGCCTTGACAAATAGATCTAGCCGTAAAGTCCAACCAACCGAGTTCCAAGTCTTCACAAAGCCCAAATCTGGTTCAGGTCATCAGTTGTTCAATTCTTAGCAAATAAGGCAAATTCATGTCCCCTACATGTAATTGCGAAAAATATTTCAATTCAAGTTGGTTCTTTCTTTGGTGCGACTTAAGTCAAAGGACCCAATTTCCAACTGCTGGAATTTAACTCAAGCAACCCTTGTATTAATGCCATAATGGGCCAATATTTTTGTTTTTACCAGGATCAAATCCAGGTAGATATGAAAGAAACAAGAACCCAGAGCAGCACATATTTCAAAACAAAACAAATCTTTAGTCACACTGTGGTGATGCTCCACAACATGACAGCTTTCTTACCATCAGTTGCTCTACAACACGACAGCTTTCACACTCTATTTGCCACAGAAGACACCATGTTTCTCTATAAGTAGTGGGCTCAGTTGCAAGTGATATCAGCAGATCATGTCTAGTACATGGCAGTTGTTACATGTTTTACAAGCTACTGTGGTTAAAACGGTCAAGCATTTACGTGGTCAATTACACATCAGGTAACCATGAAATCGGAAATTAATGTAGTGTGAGTTACTCGGGTAGCGTAAATCCATGGCACAAAATGGAGCATACCATTCCTTATAAATTTCAAGATGGAAAATTTACCCATTTTTCTTACGTATTTATAAAATTCACAATATGACAGTGAAACAAATACAAACCAAGAAATGATATAATTGCTCACCGGGTAAACAAAGTGTATGACGTTCAAGGTCATATGGTGAACGGTTCCAAGACCACTCGGACCAAAAGAGAGACAAATCGGACCAACCTAAAAGACCACTCGGACCAACCTAAAAGACTACTCGGACCAACCCTAAAGACCACTCGGACCCTTTTCTTGTACCTTTCGCCATACGGCCTGTCCCCAGTGAAAGGCACAACCTTGAATAGCATGCTCTCTGAAGACGATTCCTAGCGCCTGCCATATCCCCGCTTCGAAGTCCACAATGAACGATTTTACAGCGGGTGTTGTTGGTTGCAGTTCTATGATTGCCTGGAAAACCTACAAAAAGTGAAAATACAAAACTATATAAATTATAACTGATGTAGAAAAACGCAGAAAAATAGAAATCGATGTTAAAGAAGACAAAACTGTATCACAGGAGTGTAATTTGTGTGGTGAAATATTTCAATCATATGCTTATTAAAGTTGTTATATACATGTATCTTTGTTTATAGTTGGGAGGTTGGATGATTTAACGAGTGTGCTTTAGGTCATAAGGGTTGTCATTGAGACCAGTTACGTGGTTCCAATTCCCAGCTTGTTCTTGTAGATGTCGAACATTGTGGCCTTTCTCCAGGTCCCCCGGTTTGCTCCCACTGCTAAAGATCCATACGCGCAAGCGAATATTGAAATAAAATTGAACCATATGTTAGTCCTGAAATAACCTAGTTTGTGTCGTGTGGCCGTTAAACCCCATCTCTCTCTCTCTCTCTCTCTCTCTCTCTCTCTCTCTCTCGACTAATGTCTTTATAGTTTATTTGTTTTATTTGCCTGAAACCGGAAGCCGTGGATGCTCAGTGAATAAGTTAAGAATGTCTTAGATTCGCTCCAGATGTTGACTTAGTAAATTCCTCAAGAGGTTCCTGTATCAACCCCCCCCCCCCACACACACACACACACACACCCATCTCAGTGATGTGATGGCGGAAGAAGGGCTTGGGAAGGAACAGCGGTGACTTGTTTGGATGGGCCAAAAAACCAAGGTCCTGTGTAAACCTTTGCATGGCCATAAAAGAACCTCTAGCATTTAGAATTCAATAAAATGTAGGCCATAGCGCCACTGTCCAGGCAAAATTTCCTGAAAGGGAATGGGCGCAAGAAAAGGTTATAACATGTTCAAACTTATCGTAAAGTATTCGAAAAAATGGCTTACAGTTAATCAAATGGTAAATCATACTTTGTATGAAATGATGAAATTATGATGAACTACTGTTCTGCTCCAGTTAGGCTAAGGAAGACGGACATACGTCATGTACAGTGTCCAATGAGGGGAAATTTTGCCCGAACAGTGGCACTATGGCCTACTCTTATAATTATGAATTCCAACTGCCAAGGGATCTTTCACGTGCCATACTTCTTAAGATAAATGTACAGTAGAATAAATGCCATAGTGATTGCAATATTTTTGCCATGAGGAACTTGGTTAATGAGCTAGGGGTTTACACACTGAACCACCAAGGCTCCCACTGCTAAAGACCCCTACGCGCAAGCGAATTATTGAAATAGAATTAAAACCGTGTGTTAGTCCCGAAATGACCTGGTTTGTGTCGAGTGGGCATTAAGCCCCATTTCTCTCTCTCTCACAATTTGATAATTACATGCCCTATTAGGAATTTTGTGACCTATTCATCATGTGACAATTAAATCTTCCCATTTCTTTGTCAAATCTGTCCCATGTAATTTTGTTTGACGAAGTAATAATAGTTACTCTTCAAATTGCCCCCAAATATCCTGCCCTTATCGATAGACACTGTGTCATTGACGAGGAAGCAAGGATTATTTATTGCATGAGTTACTCGGGTTGACTAAACTCTGATCCAGTTCATATATACAACCAGGCGTTTCAACAATTTGCAAATGGTGACAGCAAAATGAACACAAGTGCCCTTGTAACATTTTAATACAAATGATAACAGAGTTGCACTTGTTAAACATTGTTGAGAGTAGAGCACAAGCAGAAGAAGAAAAGTAAGTCCGGAGCAGGGCACCTGGACGAACTGATAAAAATTATGGTAAGTAATTTGAATTACCGTAGTCCAATACATGTACCGGTATGTGTTAAAAAAAAGAACTCAACCGTAACACAAACAGGACAAACCGGACCTCATAGGAGGTCGTTTAATAGGATCGCATCTCTTCTCGATAATATCAACCAGTTTCAAATTATTTAAATTCTGCTAATCTTGTATAGGGCTACAACTATTCAATAATGTCGCGCTTGATCAACCGTTTGCACTCTTGTGATCAGCGGGTTGCACTCTTGTCAGGAGGGAGTCACTTGAGACTGACCTTAAATAAATCTTTTTCACACATGACTGCACTCTCTTACTGCATGTCCTACTGCAGATGCAGGCCTTACTCTGTTGGATTAGTGTAGGCCTATGTCTTAGTTGTTGTGTTCTCACGCTCTTCTCCACCAACCCATGACATGATGCACTATACAAATTTAGTAATTACACCTTCATGTGTAGGGAGGGTCTATACTATTATACCTTGATGTGTAGGGAGGGTTTATACCTTATGTATAGGGAGGGTCTATTCTACACAATATTGTTGTTTGATCATTGATAAATGTAAATAAATTGAGCATATAGAGTTTTCCAGTGGGGTTGTAAGGCTTTTTCGTCTTCAAATTTTATTTTAGATTTGTAGTATACAGTACGAGTAGGCCCGATGGGGGCTGGGTTAGTGGCTGAATGGTGACAAGGAGTATGGTTACCTCATACCTGTCCAACCTTCTGCATTTCCTCTGGTTTCTCACACTGCTAAAGACACCTATGTGCAATTGAAATATTGAAATAATATTGAACCATATGATAATCCCCAAATGACCTAGTTTGTGTTGAGTGGATGTTAAACCCCCTCTCTCTTTCTCTCTCTCAATTTGAATTTAATGTCTACCTTGTTTACTTCAGGAAAATAATACAGTTGAAACTTTTCACCAATGTGTTGTATGCGATGAGATTTTTCAACAATACAGTGACTTAGAAAACCACAACAAAATACATGTTAAAGATGAGAAAACAGAGAATGTTGAAAACCACAACAATGTAACTGTAGTAGATTTGAAAACTGGGGATATCGAAAACCACAGCAATATTCTTGTGAAAGACGAAACAGGTCTTGAATCAATTGAAAATTACCCTGTACATTTTGAACGAGAGACAACGGATGATGTTGCTACATTTCATCAGTGTGTTGTATGTGATTCAATTTTTCAAAAATATAATGATTTAGAAAATCATAGTAAAATACACAAACAAGTTAAAACAGAGCCAGAAGAGTCAATTGGATTTACTTCAGTTTGTAAAAAGAGTTTTGAACAATTTAAAGATCTAGAAGTGCACAGCGCTGTTCATTTAGAAATGACAATTCCATCGAAGGAATGTAAAACCACAAAACCCCCAGCTAAAAAAACGAAGAAGGGAAGGAAATCGTTTGACTGTGGTGTGTGTGATCGATCATTTAATTTCAACAGTGGGTTAATAGGTCACATGAGGCTCCATACGGGTGAAAAACCCTTTACATGTAACGATTGTGGAAAATCATTTTCGAGAAAAAATGATCTCAACAGACATTCGAAAATTCATTCTGGTGAGAAACCATTTCAGTGTGGTGTTTGTAGTAAATCGTTCAGTCAGAACAGCAGTCTTCTGACACATATCCAAAATCACACTGGACAAAAGCCATATAAATGTGATGTTTGTGGTAAATCATTTTCATGGAGCAGCGATCTTCTTAGACACATGAGGATTCATACAGGGGAAAAACCCTACTCATGCAACATCTGCGATAAATCATTCGCACAGCAAAGCAGGCTGCTGACGCACATGCAGAATCATACGGGTGAAAAACCTTTTGTCTGCGAAGTTTGTAGTAAATCATTTTCTGCCAATAGTGATCTTATCAGACATATCAGGACACATACAGGTGAGAAGCCATTCACCTGTGAAATTTGTGATAAATCGTTCACCCAGAACAGCCGCCTGGTGGCCCACGTTCAGAATCATACAGGGGATAAGCCCTTTAAATGCGAAATGTGCGAGAAATCTTACGTGACGAATAGCGATCTGAGACGACATTCTAGGATTCATTCCGGGATTAAACCTTATCCGTGCGGTTTTTGCAATCATTCCTTTTACGCCCAATATCAACTAAATAGACATCTTGTTACACATTCGAAGATAAAGCCGTATAAATGTGACACATGTTTTAAAACTTTTAATCATAAAAGCAGTCTTCGAAAACATGTAACAATTCATGTTGAAGGTAAACTTGCAGCAGATATCATATCTGCTAAAAAAGACTGTCAACCTTCATTATTAGGGGACCGGCAACCTTTGTTAGGAGAGGATCGTCAACCTTCATTAGGAGAGGACCACCGGCAAACTTCATTAGGAGAGGACCGCCAGCCTTTATTAGGAGAGGACCTCCAGCCTTTATTGGGAGAGGACCGTTAACCTTCATTAGGTGAGGACCATCAAGCTTCATTAGGAGAGAACCAGAAATCTTCATTAGGAGAGGACTGTCAACCTTCATTATTAGGGGACCGGCAACCTTCATTATTAGGAAAGGAACATAAACACCTTAAAATGAGAACCTCGAGTCACCACTTAATTATAGGAAATACTTACTACACTATGATAAAACTAACTTGTTGCTATGATACATGTACATATATGTATACATATTTACTACACTATGATAAACTAACCTGTTGCTACATGTATACATGATATATACTACACTATGATAAAACTAACCTGTTGATATGAATCCTAATATGCTCACCAATTGTCTATGCTATCTTTGTCAACGATTCCCACAGGAAAAGTTTTGAGGTAAATGTGCTGACCAGAATATATCTTCAATTCTTCAATATGATTATTTTTTTTATTTTACATCTATATTATTTACATTGTTTGTCTTCCATTTGTATTAACTGTACATATGTATTATCGATATTAACTGTACATGTGTATTATCGATATTAACTGTACATGTGTATTATCAATATTAACTGTACATGTGTATTATTGGTATTAATTGTACATGTGTATTATCAATATTAACTGTACATGTGTATTATTGATATTAATTGTACATGTGTATTATTGATATTAATTGTACATGTGTATTATTGATATTAATTGTACATGTGTATTATTGATATTAATTGTACATGTGTATTATCAATATTAACTGTACATATGTATTATTGATATTAATTGTACGTGTATTATTGATATTAACTGTACATGTGTATTATTGATATTAACTGAACATGTGTATTATCAATATTAACTGTAGATTTGTATTATTGATATTAACTGTACATGTGTATTATCGATATTAACTGTACATGTGTATTATCAATATTAACTGTAGATTTGTATTATTGATATTAACTGTAGATTTGTATTATCGATATTAATTGTACATGTGTATAATCGATATCAACTGTACATGTGTATTATCGATATTAACTGTAAATGTGTATTATCGATATTAACTGATATTAAGTGTACCTGTGTCTTCTCAATATTAACTGTACATGTGTATTACAAATATTAAGTTTAAGTTTTATGTTTATTACATTTATTATAACGCTCATGACTGCAATATTTGCATTCAATGGCACTATCTGTGTGTTACTCAAATTAATATATTATAATGATACTAAAAAATATCTTTATATTTTCTTTTTATAAATGATTTCACGATCCAAGTATTTTAGAGAGGAAGGACATAATACATTCTATTCTATAATTAGAATGGAACGACAGGTTCACACATAATGGTCACATAACCACTTTAACATAGGTGTAGATTCAAGCTCCAAGTATTCTGGAAGGAAGTCCAAAATATATTAAGAACTATGTAACCACATAATGGCCACAACATAACACATAATAAGGTGTTAATTTTTTGATATAAATATTTAGTGAAATGGTCCTAAATATTTGAGCCACAATATTGATTAGCAACACCCCTATTCCCAATTAATCCAGATTTTATTGTCATTTAACCATGCTTGAATTATCCTTTCTGTTGTGTTATTAATTTGGATACCGGCCCTTTAAGTGATAATAGTAGTGGAGGCTATGGTGGTCGAACCCAGGCCTCAAGACTATAATGTCAAGGCTTAAAATCGTAATTACATACTTGTGTCAGATCCAATTGAAATAAACTAGGTAATTTTTGGATGTTTCAAGCTTGGTTCTCACTTGGGATGGTGCCCAAGGTGCGTTCAATAAAAGATGTGCCTTAGTTGTTTGGATGCGACAAAAAGCTTTGTCCAAACATGCTGAAAATAAATGGGGTTTAACGTCCTACTGTTCTGCTCCGACTGGGCTGATGAAGACAGGAATACGCCATGCAGTGTGCTATGACTGAAATTTTGCCCAGACAGTGGCGCTACAGTCTACTCTTATATTGAATTCCATCTGCCAAGGGATCTCTTACGTACATGCCAATATGTACATAGAACCTTGTTTTTTTTGTTCCATCCAAATGACTAGACAGCTGTCCTTGTCAGGCCCCCCCTCCTGTACCTCTGACAAGAGAAACTACACCAGAAAATCCTGATGAACTTTCTAGGCCAACACTGGAATGTGTTCCTAATCAAATGAACAATGTGTTCCTAATCAAATGAACAATGTGGTCATATATCAAATGAACAACATGGTCATGTATAAAATGAACAATGGAGTCATATATCAATGGAATATTGCTAGTAAATATAAAATAACGAAGATAATGATTGGAAGACATTTTTTTTATTAAAGCAATTTCTGTGAGCACTATAATGTCTAGAAATAACAAATAAGATATAATAATATCGACATGTATATATATATAACGAGTACATATAACATATGTGGACGTATGATCTCTTTGAATCAGTGAGTGAGTCTAAAATGCGCACATTAGATAATAACGCCTGTTAGCTATCCAAGTCATAGGTTCAACTTATCTCTCCCCCCCCCCCCTCCAAGAGAGAGAGAAATGGGGTTTAACGTCCACTCGACACAAACTAGGTCATTTCGGGACTAACATATGGTTTAATTTTATTTACATAATTCGCTTGCGCGTAAGGGTCTTTAGCAGTGGGAGGAAACTGGAGGACACGGAGAAAACCCACGAGGTTGGACAGGCGACCCTACTCCTTGTCACATACAACCGGGGATTTGAAACCACGCCAGTCGACTCAATGACAGACTTTATGATACCCCGTTTCCAAACCTCTCGAGTAAAATGACAAGAAGTAGGTTCGTCTGCCCAACCTTATGGGTTTTCCCCAGGTCCTTCATAGCTTGAACTAATATGAGAATCTTTCCCCAAACCTCTTTCGAGTGAAATGACAAGAAGTAGGTTTGCCTGTCCAACCTGATGGGTTTTCCCCAGGTCCTTCGGTTTCCCCCATATGTGATTTTGCCATGACATTGGAATTTCTATCAACTCTTCATGTAATTCCAACTGTTACTGGTTCTTTTACCCAATTCGAACATCAAAACAATGTTCAGACCGGCAGGTGCTACCCCCAAAATTAGGGATGTGGGTTTAAAAAAGCCTGAGAGTCTTCTCGGCAAAGTCTGTGATTTATTTTTGGGACAGCCCAGTTAAGATTCCAGCGCTCATATAGTTTCACTACCAGCGATCCTCCAGCTTGCTAATTTACAGGTTTTTCATCCAGATAGTGACTGGCAAAAACAGGTCTAATTACTTACTTGTGTCAGATCCACTTGAAATAAACTAGGTAATTTCGTGACTAAGATTAAGATATGATTCAATTTTGTTAGAATTATTTACTTTTGCGTAAGGATATTTACCAGTTTGAGGAAACTGGCGGCCCCGGAGAAACCTCACGAGGTTGTACAGGCAATTATTTACTCCTGCATAGGGATATTTATCAGTTTGAGGAAACTGGCGGCCTGGAGAAACCTCACGAGGTTGTACAGACAACCCTACTCCTTGTCACAAACCAGCTTGGAATCGAAACCATACCACTTGACTCAATGATTAGACCTTATGATCTAAAGTGCATGTCTTAGACAATTCAGACATCCAACCCGCCTCTGATCCACAGATCAAAGAGGCATTTTCATACAGATCAAAGAGACAAACAAAATGTTTAAACAAATTCATACATAACATATGGATATCAATCAGTATTAACATGAGTTATCTGCCCTTGTCCAGCAAGGTCAGTTTTAGGTAATAAACATATATCAAGAACAAGTTCTGATCACCATCTTGAGTTTGAGCATCATGGTCGTCCATCAACCATAGCAAATATCTTTTATTTTAAGTTTATATTTTAACGCATACCAGTACATAAAATCTGCAATCTGATGAAAATACAGATCTATATTTCGTTTCGTTTTTTATACTTTCGATGGCCTCTACCACATGAAGATCTGACTGGTTGTAGTGGAAGATCACGTCAGAGGCCATACAAGTGGCTTTCGACCCTTTGACATACCTTCGATTAACCAATCATAGTTCTGTGCATCTCATGCCAAAAACTCGCCGTAACAGACCATTTCATTGTCTAATCCCTCACATCATCCAGAACACGCATTATATAATAACTCTCCAGATCCTAGTGTAGTAAAGACAAGTAAAACGAAATTTTGAACTATAAAAAACGAAACGAAATAGGATCTGTGTTTTAATCAGATTGTAAAATCAGTGGACAGTGAAATTGTCCTGTAAAATCTGGTTTTACTATATAGACAAACCACCCAAATCTACCATTAATTCAACTCCATTTAACAATAATTTATATTGATTTTTCATAATTTAACATTCTTTATGACAAATCTACCATTAATTCAACTCCATTTAACAATAATTTATATCGATTTTTTGATATAAATTATTATGATCCAAATTGAAATAGTGGTGGATTTGGGTGAATTTGGTAAATCATATTTCCCTGTAATAGTTACATGAATAATCTGAGACAATAAAAAAAACATTACCTCAGAGTGACTGGAAATACCTTCCTACACACCACATCATTTGGAAATCAGATACTGGATGATCGAACACTAACCCTGGAATCTCATTGATCCACGGCTTGGAAACCAGGAAGGTCCTTGTCACCGATACCAACTTTTGAGTTAAAATCAAAATTCGATTTTTTTTATATTTTTTTTGTCTATTACCTGAATTACCGGTTGGTTAAATATGTACAGAATTAGGTTAAAGATGCATTATCCATGAGCTATATTTAAAATTAAGAAAATATTTTCATTTTATGCAGAAATTTCTTTTTTTCTAGTAGACTGATGAAATAAGCTGTAACTGACTAATGCCCCTGTCAGACCGGGCTGGCGTCCTTCCTGCGCTGCTGCGACCGTACGGCAACCAGAAAATGCACAAGGTCACTGGTAAACGTGAAAACAACACAAGAAAATGTCCCCAAAAATTACAAACTTGAAAAAAGTCACATTCTCATAGCTTTCCAGTTTAGATCGCAGAACCTTGGCGTTTGTTTTGAGTATGTTCAAAACAAACGGTGATCGTTGGTGACCATGGAGACCACAGCACGATAGCTGGCATTTCTACCACGCTTATGGCGATCTTGATACGCTCTAAAACGAATTTTCATCGCCATAGCAGTGCAGTAAGGACGCCACCCCGATCTGGCGGGGGTATAAACACTACAGCACAAACATAAAATTTTCCATGATTAAGTATAAAAATTATCAAACCATTGAAGAACAAACTAGAAAAACATTTACTGACTACCTTATCTCAGATCTTAAAATAGAAAAAATCAAAACAAGATTAACCCTTTCAATGCTAGACGTAAATCCACTGCCTGTGCTAGACCCTTTTTTGAGGAAAAAAGGGAGGTTGGAACTGAATGCCAAGCAGTACTTATGGAAGCTTTTATGAAAAATCTTTTTGTCTGTTGGGATGGGCATGAGGTTGGGCTAAGAGGAAAAAATAGAATTTTGGAAATTTGCATAATAATGTAGTCACGTGACATCATGGCGGCCATTTTGGATTTCTCATTTCTCACTAAAGCTAACATGAAATACTTAAAAGATATTGTTTTTTTTCACTGGATTTTGATAAAGATATATAAAATGAACAAAAATATCAATAGCAGCCATGAGCAATGCCGCCACGAACGCGCGCATCACATCTCCCGCTGCCATGACCACGTGCGGATTGCAATACCTTGTTTTTACTTTCACTTTCACTTTCATCCCCAAGTCCCATATCATTATCAATATAGTCAGTCAATAGATCTACACGTTCGGGCCTCAGGAATTGCCTACGTCTCTTACGATCCAGCAGGCCAGCATTATTATCAACATCAGAGTTATTGTCAGAATCTACTGCAGACACAGGGCTATCGTGTTCACATTGGGCTTGTTCATCATGCACGAGAGACATAGCTAGCCATGGGCGGAACGTCGCGCAACAAATCACACACTTCATAATACCAATCACTGTCCTGACTACTATCATTATCAAGTAACTGGAAACGAATTATGTGTATCACCCGCCTCGAAATTGTCCACGTGTTGGTCAGCAAGACGTCATTCATGACTTCGTCGAGAGTGCATCGTCTACGTTGTCACTATGCACTCCGCCATTTTACGGTTTGCCGCTTTGAAACACGTGGAAATATGTTCTAGTGTATAGAAAATACAATAGATGGCACTTGCAGTTACGGTACTAATTTTAGCGAGGGCTTTACTGAGAACACGGTAATACCGGGTACGCGCATTTTACCGACATTTTATAATACCCGGTACTACCGGGTATACGCAGTGAAAGGGTTAAATATCTAAGAAAAAAATATTTTTTTTATAAAAAAAAAAGGTGTTTCATCATTTCTTATCTGCGAACAAAGCTGATTCACATCCTTAACAACATTCAACAACTATAAAAATACAAAATAATAAACAACTATATATATATACATGTATCTATTATCAATCAAAATAACAAGATATACGTTTATATCTACTATATATAAACAATATACATACATAGGGGTGATAATTTTCTGCGATTGCGTGAAACCCAAAGAAAAACGCAGAATCTGCTGTTCGATTTGCACAGTTGCTGTATTTCACGAAACATAATTGATTAGAAATTACAATCAATTTATTGTTTAAAATGGAATATCCCATCTCCTTTTGTGAAACGGAAAATCATCACCCTTACATGTATTTTAATCAATCAAAAACAAGATATTGATCTGTATCTAATTATCAATCAATAACCAGATATTGATCTATAATAATCAATCAATAACAAGACATTGATCTATATCTACTATCTGTCAAAAATAACATCAACAAGAAATATATCTATTTATCATTAGTCATGATATATATGTAATATATCAATTATCTGTCAAAAATAACAAAAATAAATGTCAACAAATTTTTGACTTGATCATTGCTTCTATTCATTCATATTGCTCAAAATATTCTATTCAAAATATTTTAAATTGCTTGAAACACAAAGATTATTATTAGAAATTACAATCAATTTATTGTTTAAAATGGAATATCCCATTTCCTTTTGTGAAACGGAAAATCATCACCCTTACATGTATTTTAATCAATCAAAAACAAGATATTGATCTGTATCTAATTATCAATCAATAACCAGATATTGATCTATAATAATCAATCAATAACAAGACATTGATCTATATCTACTATCTGTCAAAAATAACATCAACAAGAAATATATCTATTTATCATTAGTCATGATATATATGTAATATATCAATTATCTGTCAAAAATAACAAAAATAAATGTCAACAAATTTTTGACTTGATCATTGCTTCTATTCATTCATATTGCTCAAAATATTCTATTCAAAATATTTTAAATTGCTTGAAACACAAAGATTATATTTCAAATTGCTAAAAACACATAGATCATATTTCAAATTGCTTGAAACACAAAAATTATATTTCAAATTGCTCAAAACAATGATTACCAACTTATCTGTAACAATATATGATCTAGTAATATTTGGAAGAAAAGGCTAAGCAGTCGGTGAAGCTTAAGTTAGTTCCAGTGTAAACTAATATTAGCGTCAAGCTGATGGGACTAACATATGGATTCCGAAAATCCAGCATTAATTTCTAGTGCATACAATATTATATTTAATTTTTTTCCCAGCAGTGGTCTGATGAAATTATGTATATGTTGCAATGTGGCCAAAAATCGGGACTAAGCTTAGTGATTCCAAAAAGTTAATATTAATTGCTAGTTAGGTTCTAACTGTATCACTACAACTCAGGTACCATTGGGTTTCTACTGTGGTGTAGTTTAATTAAAAGGGTCTGTCTGGATTAGATGTTGTTGTTCTTAGTGTTTAGTTGTCTTATTTTCATTTTTGTTACTTTAGCGCACGTGCAGGGGGCTTTCATGGGGGAGGAAACTAGAGTAAACCCATGAGGTTGAGAAGGTGCTCCTATCTCCAAGCCACATAGGCTCAGGCCAGGGATCGAAACCACAACCGCAAGCCAGGGGTGACCGGCCAGCTAGAGGTTTATATCTGTTTAGTTTCTCAGAAGGTGTTGAGTAATTGGCCTGTTCATTAGAAACCCAATGGTTTTCTGTGATTCTCTATGGATTTGAACAGTTTTCCAACAATAGTTTGAAACTAAATGTAGTAGGGTTTTATATTCTCTTTAAATATTTTAGCCAGTTTCCATTGTCCTGTATATCCAGCTAGTCTTGTATTTCCAGTGGTTATAATTACTTTAGTTTACAGTTTAAAGATGCTATTTGAAGATAGTAAGTAGATTTCAGTATCCTGGAAACCTGCTTTGTTGATCTTGGTTACTGACTCTCTTATGATCTGTCCAACTTTCAACATCTTTTCTGAGCTACAAGGGGGGTTTGGATGGCTGAATGGTTAGCGTGCGTGCTGTATCATAAAGTCTGTCATTGAGTTGACTGGTGTGGTTTCGAATCCCCGGTTGTACGTGACAAGCAGTAGGGTCGCCTGTCCAACCTCGTGGGTTTTCTCCGGGTCCTCCGGTTTCCTCCCACTGCTAAAGACCCCTATGCGCAAGCAAATTATTGAAATAAAATTAAAACATATGTTAGTCCCGAAATGACCTAGTTTGTGTTGAGGGGACGTTAAACCCCATTTCTCTCTCTCTCTTTCTGAGCTACAGCACAATTAATCATATATTTCAAGTGTTCCTAATTGTGTTGTCCATAAAGTGCACAACTCTATGGTCGTATTTATTTGCCTGGAAAGCACCTGTCTTTGGAGAGAGATAGAGAGAAATGGGGTTTAACGTCCACTCGACACAAACTAGGTCCTTTCGGGACTAACATATGGTTTTAATTTTATTTACATAATTCGCTTGCGCGTAGGGGTCTTTAGCAGTGGGAGGAAACCGGAGGACCCGGAGAAAACCCACGAGGTTGGACAGGCGACCCTATTCCTTGCCACGTACAACCGGGGATTCGAAACCACGCCAGTCGACTCAATGACAGACTTTATGATACAGCGCGCACGCTAACCATTCAGCCATCCAACCCCCCACCTGTCTTTGGTGTTTTGTTTATGTGTATATAGTGTGTATTTTATACTGGAATAAACTGTTGTGTTGTTAATTAGTTTCAACTGTTTATGTGCAACCCCGACCTGGAGTAGATCATGTGATCCTCCTGCTACATAAACATTAAATACAGAAACTCCTGCTAAAACAACGCAACTAAATGATACCAGAGTTGTAGTGTACCAATCTGATTAAAACATAGATCTATATTTCGTTTCGTTTTTTTATACTTTCGATGGTCTACACTACATGAAGATCTGACCGATTATAGCGATAGTTCACATCAGGGGTCAAAAGACCGACTTTTGACCTATGACGTCAGACATTTGATTAACCAATCAGCATTGATGTTACTAGTGGATTACCCACAGTTCCGGGCAAAAAAGGTCAAACACTCGATTTGACAGATCATTTGATTGGCTGACCCCTCATTTCAAGCAGAACACGAGTTAAATAACAAGTCTTCCAGATCCAAATGTAGTAAAGACAAGTAAAACGAAATTTTGAACTATAAAAACGAAACGAAATAGGATCTGTGATTTAACCAGATTGGTAGTGTATTTAATATTATATTACATTCTTTCTAGGCAGTTTGAGATATATTATTATGGTACGAGATATATTTTATATGATCAGTCATTGATCAGATCAACGTCTCTGGTGTTGTAATGAATGATAAATGGGTTGAATATTATATTGAGATGAATATATTTATGTTATAAGATAGGATTTATAGTTTTTGAGTTTTTTCAGGTGTTTTTTCAGGTCTTGTATAAAATCTAAAGGCTGTACCACGAGTGATATATCTCTTCCGACGGCTCCCAGGCGATGTTCAATCTGGAAACAAAACACAAATAACATTTCATATCTAGGCTTGAGTTCTCACTTCAGAATTTAGTCAGGCAGCCATTTTGAGTTCACAGATGACTAGAAATGAAATGAAATGGGGTTTAACGTCCCACCGCTCTGCTTCGACTCTGCTAATGAAGACGGACAAACGCCTTACAGTATGCTATGAGGAAAATTTTGTCCGGCCAGTGGCAGTACGGCCTACTCTTATAGGTGCTACGCCTGCTAATGAAGACGGGCATACGCCATACAGTGTGCTTTGAGGGAAATTTTGCCCGGTCAGCGGCGCTACAGCCTACTCTTATACTGAATTCCAATTGCCAAAGGTTCTTTTACATGGTCCCATCAAACCGACCTGACACTGTCCTTGCCAGGACCTCCGTCCTGCATCACTGACAAGGGGAAACCGCGATGGAAAATCCTGAGGAAATTTCTCGGCCAACACAGGAAGTGAATCCGAGACCTCCTGGTTAGTGAGCCAGTGTCTTACTCACTGAGCCATCGCAGCTCCCCACAACATATAACATACCTCCATATCCTTGAAGAACAAATTCAAAGGTCGACTGTTGATTTCTGTAATAAACCAGTTACAGGTTCCTGTTTCTGATAAATTCATTGGTTTCTCGTGTAGATTCTGTTGACCAGCCAAACCATTAGGTGCAACATATACAATCTAAAATATTGATTATATTTATAAAACGATAGCCATGCATAACAAGACGGTTTCCAGTGTATGGTGGTTGCTTCAAGAGAGAGTTTAACTTCACAAACTAGACATAAAGTAGGGCATTTTAGGACTTACATTTGTGCATAGGAGTCTTTAGCAGTGGGAGAAAACCCAAGAGGGTGGACAGGCAACCCTAATCCTTCTCACGTACAAGCAGAGAATTGAAACCACGCCACTTGACTCAATGACACAGCTTATGGTTTGACGCATATGTGTTAAAGCACTAGACCTCCCCGCCCCCCTTAATATAATGCTAGCCTTGCATGACCAGACTGTTTATAGTGTGTATCGTGGTGCCTGACAATAAAATTAAATAAATAATAGATGATTTTTACTTGGGTTCCACCAAAAAAACATGTTCTTAACAGGGTGCGTGTCCAGGAATTACAGCAGCAGGGAGTCCAAGGTGGAGACAACGTCAAGTTTGGTGTGAGGTCTGGGGAATTACCCACAAATTTTATAAATTCAGAAGCTGAAAGACAATATTTCTGCTCATTTAGGTGCATACATATTCAGGATTAGAGTGGACTGACGCCAAAATGGTGGCAAGGCTTCGCATGTCAGCTTTTTTGACGTTAATTCGATTAAATTTTGTGCAAGCAGAGGGTGGGTGAGCGGAACCCCTGGGCCACTCCCCTGGACACGCGCCTGCTTACAGAATTTATACAATTCGCACATGTTAGCTTTTTTGACGTTAATTCGATGAATGTAGAAGTTACTAAAAATAAGCTTTTGTGCAAGCAAAAGGCGGGGGAGCGGGCCCCCTGGGCAACTCCTATGGAAACGCACCTGTTTACAGAATTTATACAATTTTCACAGATTAAAGAGCCGACAGTTATCGCTACATAATTAAAAAGTAGGAAATATAAAGGAAATATAATAACACTGTAGCCTTGATTGTCATTGTTGATAATAAACAAAGTCTTGATTATCCATTTTTACGGTTAATCATCAACTGCCGCTGAACCTCAGATTGGATTCAAATCTGTTAAAAACCTGACCTATCAGATGGCATCGAGAGTTGATTATGGTCTTGTCATGGTAGTACATGTCTAATTAATAGTTTATATAATATTTAAGGCCTAAAGAAAGAACTGTGACAGGCAGATTTAGCTCTTACATAATGCATCTTTAAGAAGCAAACATTAGTCTTGCTGGTCAATTTCATTTCCCATTTATCAAGACTGACAATATGACTGAAATAACGTGAAATGAAATGAAAAGGGGTTTAACGTTCAACTGTTCTGCACCAACTGGGATAATCAAGACAGGCATACAGCATACTGTGTGCATTAGGGAAATTTTGCAGGACAGCAGTGTTACCAACTACCTTTATTTCAAATTATGTCAAGGGTTCTTTTACGTACATGAACAACTAGACACTATCCTTGTCCGGCAATCCGTCTTGCATCACTGACAAAGGGAAACCCTACTGGCAGGAACTTTCTCAACCAACACCGGGAGCAAACCCCGAGACCTCCTGGTTAGCCAACCAACATCTGACTCACTGATCCACTGTGGCTCCCAATATCAATGAAAGAAAACCACTGGTTGTACTGTAGTGATTTTTCTCCCTGATGTTGAGAATTGATTCTTGATGTAGTGTTTTTGGCCCTAATCTAAAATCTGATTAAAATACAGATCTATATTTCGTTTAGTTTTTTTTTATACTTTTGATGGACTACACTACATGAAGATCTGACTGGTTGTAGCAATAGGTTGCGTCAGAGGTCATACAAGCGGCTTTTGACCCTATGACGTCAGACATTTGATTAACCAATCAGCATTGATGTTACTAGTGGATTTACCCACAGTTCCGTGTAAAACACCCCTAAAACTCGCAGTAACAGACTGTTTCATTGGCTAATAGCTCACATTATTCAGAACACGTCAATGATAACAACTCTTCCAGATCCTAGTGTAGTAAAGACAAGTAAAACGAAATTTTGAACTATAAAAACCAAAACGAAATAGGATCTGTGTTTTAACCAGATTGCCCTAATGTCAAGCATTAACTCTTGCTGTACTCAGATGTCTTCAGTCCTGATGTTGTGTTTTTGGCCCTGACTGATGTAGAGCATCAATTGTTTTTTTTTTTTTATCAGCTCTAATGTCGAGCAGCATCATTTGTTGTACTCTGTTTTTATAGCCCTGAAGTCGAGTAACATCAATTTCGCTAAATGTACCTTACCTCAGCTGTCCCCTTTTCTCGTTTCATCCCCAAACTCTCGCCTTCTGCTGATCTTCTGATCACAAACACCTTGGCTTTCGGCAGCCTCTTAACACAAATGTCCACATACGTGGATTCTGAATGTTTAAACTGTTTAATGACTGACGTTGCCGATATAATTCGAACATTGTTTATACTGATTATTTGATCTCCGATATGGAACTGTCCGTGAAGACGAGGAAACTCCACCACATTCCATCCAGCTATCCTAGAAACAATAGGAAAATTTTCATGTAAGTACAGAGCAGAAAATATTTGTGGCATAAAGATGTAAAAAACAAACTGCCAGACAAAATGGCTGTTCCATAGCAAATAGTGTAAAACTATGCAATTCCATGGTTGTGGATTATGGACTCTCTATGAGTAGGGGAGTTGGATGGACTAATGGTTAGCACGTGCGCGTTGTATCATAAGGTCAGTCATTGAGTCAACTGGCGTAGTTTCGATTCCCCAGTTGTACGTGACAAGGAGTAGGGTCGCCTGTCCAACCTCGTGGGTTTTCTCCCACTTCTAAAGATCCCTACGAGCAAGTGAATTATTGAAATAAAATTGAACCATGTGTTTGTCCTGAAATGACCTAGTTTGTGTCGAGTGAACGTTAACCCGTATTTTTTCTCCCTCTACACTGTATTGAAATTCGATGCTGTGCGACATGAAAATCCTTTAGCCAGAGTGGATCACATTTGAAATTTGATGGAAGAGTAGGTGGAAATGCTGCTGTCCAAAAACAATTGTTCTGCCTAGCATTGTTGTAGCAGAAGGACTGGATAATACGGACCGAACATTTGACTTACCAGACACTATTACAGGCCTCAACTAAAGCTAGACCACCCATATATTTGGCAGGAATCTTCATTTTTATATCTGACATCAACATCTCTTCTTTTAATATCTCGATCTGATTCTGTTTGAGTGAAATAACAGTGTGGACACTCTTGGCACGATCGACTCTCATCCTTTGCGATAGCTGACGTTTAGGAGCTCGGATATCAACCACACCATCGGGTAATACTAATAAAATACAAGGTCAGAGTTTAAAGGGGCATTATGGGAGAGTAGCGAGTCAACATCTTCAGTATTTTCTGGCGTGGTTCCCCCTTGTCAGTGGTAGAGAATAGAGCGCCTGGCAAAGACAGTGTCAATTCATTCGGATGAGAAGAAAAATCAAGGTCCTTTGTACACATTGGTGTATGTGTAAAAGAACCCTTGGCAGTTCGAATTTGATGTAAGAGTAGGCTGAAGTGCCACTGTTGAGGCAAAATTTCCCTCATAGCAAACTTTATGACGTATGCCATTCTTCATTTGCTCAGTCAAAGTAGGACATTAAAACCCATCTCCTTTCATTTTGTGTATAAAATGTATTGACTCCTTAAAGGGGCATTGTGGGAGATTTGATAAAAAGTTGACAGTTCTTGTTGTAATAGATAAGGTAAATAGAACATGCTGAAAATTTCAGTAAAATTGCTCCACTCTGATTTCATTGTATTTTGAGAACTAGAATATATTTCTGTATTACATTTTGAGAACTAGAATATATTTCTGTATTACATTTTGAGAACTAGAATATATTTCTGTATTACATTTTGGGAATCTAAAATATATTTCTGTATTACATTTTGAGAACTAGAATATATTTCTGTATTACATTTTGGGAATCTAAAATATATTTCTGTATTACATTTTGGGTGGCCTAAATATAAAAAATCGGATATTACCCAAGCCTATACATGATCAAACAAATTATCAAACACATATTACCTCTTGGTGGAACTTGTGGTCTTTCTGATCGGACACTATTACTTCTCATCGGTAATGGAGGGGGTATTTCTTCAGATTTAACTTTATTTCTACGAGGTAGGGGAGGAGGCGAAGGATGGTCATCAAAACTTGCGGATTTCGAATCTACCAATAATGGAGAAAATTTGGGATCAAATGATGGGCTGTTTTCCTTTGCTGGGTGAAATGCAGATTTAGGTGTATTTTGTGGGAGTGAGTCGATTCTTGGAGGTAACAATGGGGGAGCTAAACCTGCTGCCCCTATTACAGCCCCGTCAAAAACCCCTTGATATGTATATTCATGATCATCTTCATCCGTAGAATCAGCATCTTCTTTCTCTAACATCTCCAAGGAGTTAGCTTCTGCAGAAAGGTTATCATTAATCAAATCTTGCGGGTCTGCATTTTGATTGGCAGATTTTTCTGCAGTTGGTACCTTATGATTGGTGTTAATTGTGTCTGGTCTTTTATCTTGAATATGATTGACTATTTTTGGTTCGAGTTTATTATCTACAATATGATTGGTTGCTCCAGTTGATGAAGTTTCTTTAATGTCATCTTGAACTACGTTGGTTTTCATTTTTCTGGGTTTTGGTACAGGAAGAATTGGTTCTAAGGTAAAAACAGCTTGAGACCGCGGGTTAGTTTCTGGTTCAGGGGCTGAAGCACCAAAATTGTCAAAGCTGATGAGATCAGGAACCGGAGCATGAGTGGGAAACGGAGCATAATCATTTTCAAACGGATTATCTTTTCTTGTTGGAACAGGACTTGCCTTTCCACATTTACCAGATTTTGATAAATCCACAGTCAGTTTGTCACTGGAGTTTGTCGAAGGAGAGGCCATCGCTCCTAAGACAGTATTGCTTGATGTCGCCTGTGTTGAATTTGATGAAGGAGAGGCTGTCGCTCCTAAGACAGTATTCCTTGATGTCGCTTGTGTTGAATTTGATGAAGGAGAGGCTCTTGCCCCTAAGACAGTATTGCTTGATGTTGCTTGTGTTGAATTATTGACAGATAATGCCTCTATTGCACCATTAAGATTATTTTTATTTGTGGAAGCCTTATTATTGGATATTACAGTCTTAGATATATCTTTATTGACATTTGAAGTCAAATTTTGTCTGAGAGTAACACCATTATCATCATTAGAAAGTTTCGTTGCTCTGGCTTGAGCCAACTCTGACAGACCACAATAACCATCGTCATTATCGGAATCAGTATTTTGAGCATCATTATTGTTGTTGTTATCACTGATTTTAAATCGTGAGTCAAGGATTTTACTTTGAACGAATGAAGCACGATTACTTGGAATTTTATTTTTTTCCCAGAAAGTAGAATCCACAAAAGTTTCCGATCCAGAAGTTTCCTCGACGCTTACTTTTCTGGGCGCTGGTGTACAATTTGTTTTCTCAATTTTTGGCTTAGATTCAGGCTCTTTCGTCCAGTCGAAAAAAAAATCATTCTTTTCATCCTCAGATGCAGAGTCATCCTGATCATCGACCTCCCTAATTGTACCAAATATATTTTCACCTTCGACATCTTGCACGTTTATATCTTCATTAGCTAACGAGTAGGGATTACTGTCCTCTCCCTCCTCGACCCCTCCAACAGCTCCCTCTACTTCCTCCTCATCTTTAGCATGGCCCCTGATATTAACTACAGCAGGGCAGAAACTGTAAATATGTTTATCATCTCGAGGCTGGAAAACAAAAATATAAAATTTATTAAAAAAAAATTTTTTTATTTCTATATACATAACCATCGACTAAGATTTTCACTTCAAAACAATGTCAGGATAGGCATTTCACTTCAAAACACAACCCAACTAAAGTTTTCACTTGAAAACACATCTAAAGGGTTTTCACTTGAAAACACATCTAAAGGGTTTTCACATGAAAACACATCTAAACTCGGGTTTTCACATGAAAACACATCCAAACTAGGGTTTTCACTTCAAAACACATCCAAACTAGGGTTTTCACTTCAAAACACATCCAAACTAGGATTTTCACATCAAAACACATTCAAACCATGGCTTTTACTTGGATTTTACTAAATTTGGATTATAGAAAGAGAAAGAGAAATAGAGTCTAACGTCCATTTGATACAAACCAGGTCATTTCGAGACTAATATATGGTTCAATTTTATTTCAATAATTCACTTGCGTGTAGGGGGTCTTTAGGTAAACCGGAGGACCCAGAGAAAACCGATGAGGTTGGACAGACGACCACGCCACTTGACTCAATGACATACCCTATGATACAGCGCGCACACGCTAACCATTCAACAATTAAACCCCCCACGTGAAAAGGAGTAGGGTCGCCTGTCCAACCTCGTTGATTTTCTCCAGAGCCTACGGTTACCTCCCACTGCTAAAGACCCCTATGAGCTAGCAAATTATTGAAATAAAATTGAACCATATATGTTAGTCCCGAAATGACCTAGTTTTCTGTCGTGTGGATGTTTAACCCCATTTCACTCTCTCCACAATAGCTGACTGGGTGTGATTGTTTTATATAAATCAATAAGAACAATGCTACTTTAAATTAAAATATTACTGTAGGCCTACCTACCTCTAAAATACCCAGTCTTTGTAGACATAATTCTATGGTTCGAACCCAACTCAACATAATCCTACTGTAAAAATAAAACACACACATTATTTACGGTTCAAGACATGTGTAAAAGTTGGTCTAATGTAAATGAAACCGGCAAAAATGCTCCCCGAAACGTTGCAAAAAGGACATTTTGTATTTTTCAGGGCTTGCCACGAATAAATTGATGGCGAGCAGATGACTGCTCACGCAAATTTAGGTTTGGGCGATCAATAAAAATTGCTCACGCAATTGATTCAATGTGACCATCGCTTTCTGTTTTTGACAGTCCACAACCTTGATATACCATATTTTTACGCTATTTGAGAACGAAGGGCAGCCATATTGTCTGTCAGTTTTGGGCCGATTTTCACGAAATTCGAATACAGCCGTTCTTAGGGTGTAACGGTGATATAATTAAACGCTTTTTTTAAATCGGATAAAAATTAAGACCTCTATAGGGTCCACAAGCTAAAAACATGATTTTTCGTATAATCAGGGGCCATAATTCAGGAAGTTACAGTCCAATATGCGCGATTAGCGAAAGGAACCAAAATCTTTGGGTTATAAACTTAAATTTCAAGTTTCAACAAAATCGGATAAAAATTATGACCTCTATAGGGTCCACAACCTTGATATACCATATTTTTACGCTACTTGAGAACGAAGGGCTGCCATTTTGTCTGTCAGTTTTGGTCCGATTTTCACGAATTTCGAACGCAGTCGTCCTTAGGGCTTGCCACGAATAAATTGATGGCGAGCAGATGACTGCTCACGCAAATTTAGGTTTGGGCGATCAATAAAAATTGCTCACGCAATTGATTCAATGTGACCATCGCTTTCTGTTTTTGACAGTCCACAACCTTGATATACCATATTTTTACGCTACTTGAGAACGAAGGGCTGCCATTTTGTCTGTCAGTTTTGGTTCGATTTTCACGAAATTCGAACTCAGTCGTCCTTAGGGTGTATCGGTGATAAAATAAGAAGTTTTTTTTAAATCGGATAAAAATTATTACCTCTATAGGGTCCACAAGCTAAAAACGCGATTTTTCGTACGTTCCGATATGTGCGGCAATACTATATACCGGAAAACACCGGAAAACACCCGGAAAACACCAGAAAACAACCGGAAAACACCATTTTATACTGAATACCGGAAAACACCGGAAAAACACTAAATACCGGAAAACATCCTAAATTGGTAACCCGGAGCCTGGTCCTCTGTGTGCGGTTTTGGACCAAGTGAGCGCCCATGAAGGAAGGTCAAGATCATTATAATGTTCGTTTTACAAATAGCCGCCCAGTCACGTGACGAACATAGATCTTCCGTTCCTCAACCCATATTATTTCCACAGTCATTGTCATTAATCACAAATTACGGGATGATATACGAAAATGCAGGTTTACTTTAAAATAGTGAAAATGATACTTTTCCATCTACAATCTTCAGATCAAAGGATGCAAGTTCTTACACAGTGCAGCATAATTTGTGCAACAGAAGACATGTCGAATATCGATTGTTCGGAAAAAAAATTTTCTCGGGGACATTTTTTTTTCCGAATACGCATTCGGTGTAAGTCTTCAGCCAACAGGAAGTGGTTAACATAGTAATGTTTTATTACGATAGTAGTACATAATTGGTTGCCTGAGGTTCTCGGGGGGGGGGGGGGGGGAAGTAGCCTCATCATCTAGAGTCCTCTATTTCACAAACAAAAACAACAATTGCTTCCTTGAAAATCAACCCTTTTCACAGACGTCCAGCTTACCACTTCCCGTCAATGCAGTAAGATAGAATATGTAGTTTTCTCATGGACAGTTGGGCGGAAGTTGGAGTTTTCTCAAGGAAAACTGGTCAACAAGTTGGGGAAAAAAGCTCGAAAAGTAATCCAGAATAAAATCCTGTGTGCGGCCCTCGGAATATGATGGAATATGTTGAATATTATTATGGTTCAAGTGATTATATTTGACCCTGGAATGAAAGTAAGCTCAGAAACAAGTAGATTTTTAGCCCTTCCAACGAGATGGATAGCTCTTGGAAAGGATAGACACTTTTCAGATTACAGCCTGTCCGAGAATTGCGTGGCATCCATTTCGTTTGGTGATTAGGACACATAGCGGTTAAACCTGGAACTTCAACTCAAACTATTCTGAGATTTATTAACTCGCTTTTGATGATACTTGCTGTTTTATGATGCGATTTTTTGTTACCTAGGGAGGAGTTGGCCTAATCGTGCCTTCCACTAATTCGTACAACCCTGATGCCAGCGTTACTAGTAAGAATCAGGAGACCGGCGCAACCGGCATATAACGGGGCCCTCAGAGGGCTGTGTTTAATCTACTGAAATACTGAAACACTGAAATCTACTGAAATTTACTGAAAACTAAAATTAAAATACAAAATAAAATATGGTCAATGATGGAGGTAGACTGATTGCGTCTTTTAAAACATTCAAAACATAATAGGCATCAACAAAATTTTGGAGAAAAAAAAATAGGATTTTTTTTGGGGGGGGGGGGGGGGCTATTTGTAAAACGAACATCGTAATGACCTTGACCTTTCTTCATCGGCGCTCACTTGGTCCAAAACCGCACACAGAGGACCAGGCTCCGGGTTACCTATTTAGGGTGTTTTCCGGTATTTAGGATGTTTTCCGGTATTTAGTGTTTTTCCGGTGTTTTCCGGTATTCAGTATAAAATGGTGTTTTCCGGTTGTTTTCCGGTATATAGTATGGCCCCGATATGTGCGAATATCGAAAGTAACCGAGATCTTTGGGTTATAAACTTACATTTCCAGTTTCATCAAAATAGGATTAAAATTGTGACCTCTATAGGGTCCACAACCTTGATATACCATATTTTTACGCTATTTGAGAACGAAGGGCTGCCATTTTGTCTGTCAGTTTTGGTTCGATTTTCACGAAATTCGAACTCAGTCGTCCTTAGGGTGTATCGGTGACAAAATAAGACGTTTTTTTAAATCGGATAAAAATTATTACCTCTATAGGGTCCACAAGCTAAAAACGTGATTTTTCGTACAATCAGGGGCCATAATTCAGAAAGTTACGTTCCGATATGTGCGAATATCGAAAGTAACCGAGATCTTTGGGTTATAAACTTACATTTCCAGTTTCATCAAAATAGAATTAAAATTGTGACCTCTATAGGGTCCACAACCTTGATATACCATATTTTTACGCTATTTGAGAACGAAGGGCGGCCATTTTGTCTGTCAGTTTTGGGCTAATTTTCACGAAATTCGAACTCAGCCGTCCTTAGGGTGTAACGGTGATATAATAATGCGTTTTTTTAAAACGGATAAAAATTATGACCTCTATAGGGTCCACAAGCAATTTTTCGTACAATCAGGGGCCACAAGCGATTTTTCGTACAATCAGGGGCCATAATTAAGGAAGTTACGTTCCGATAGGCGCGAATATCGAAAGGAACAGACATCTTTTGGTTATAAGCATACATTTCAAGTTTAAACCAAATCGGATAAAAATTGTGACCTCTACAGTGTTCACAAGCTAAAAACGGGATTTTTCATACAATCAGAGGCCATAATCCATGAAGTTACAGTCCGATATATACCAATATCGAAAGGAACCAATTTCTTAGGGTGATAAACCTATATTTCAAGTTTCATTGAAATTGGATAAAAATTGTGACCTGTAGACTGTTCACAAACAATTGTGGACGGACGGACAGGGGCGACGACAATATACGTCCACATGAAAATGTGGGCGTATAAAAATATGTAATTATCGCTTTAAGAATAATCATGAAAACCAGAAAAAATTACACAATTTTGTCCAGACAGCGGCACTACGGTCTACTCTTTTATTGAATTCCAACTGTCAAGGGTTCTTTTACGTGTACACTAGATCTTGGGTTTTCATCCCATCCAAACGATCAGACACTGTTGTTCCTTATCAGGCCCTCAGGCCTGCACCATTGACAAGGTGAAACTACGCCGGAAAATCCTGAGAAACTTTCTTGTCAACACCGGGGGCGAACCCAAGACCTGGTTAGCAAGCCAGCATCCTACTCACTGAGACGCTGCAGCTCTACTGAGAGTAAACATTTCCTATAATTCAATGAGACAGCAAGTTAATATATACAGAATCATCTATTTGCACCAGTGGATGGTTACAGTATACATTTACCATGGTTACAATATATATTTACCATGGTTACGGTATATATTAACCATGGGTATGGTATATATTTATCATGGTTATGGAATACATTTACCATGAATGTGGTATATATTTACCACGATTATGGTATATATTTACCATGGTTATGGTATATATTTACCCATCATCGGTTACCCAGTGTACTCATTCTGTTCTACTCCACTATACCCTGGGTTAATCTATGTGCTACTTTTTATCGACCAATCCCATAAATTGTTAATTGAAAAGGAAGTTGGCAAAGGGAAGTAACTCTCATCGGACAATGTTAGTGAGTTGACCTATTCTAAATGCGTAATTATTAATAACCAATTATATATTATGTTAATGAAGACCAGACGTTCTTATAATAATGTAGGGTCAATAGTTTTATTGAGAACCGTTCGTTCGTTCCCGGAATTTTCTGTCCACGTGATATCGTAGACAAGTTAATGTGAATCAAAATTGCCAAGTATAAGTTCAATAATAATAAACATAACAGAATGATATATTTCTGACAAAGAACAAATAGTAATAATAATAACAAAAGTCAAACATATAGATGTTATACATATTTGAAATCAACAATACATACTGCAGATTTTGATAATACAATTAAATATAAATAAATTATAAATATATACATTATTTACATAAATCATTCAGTAAATGGACATGAATATGGTTATCTACCCTTATAAAAACGAAGGCGAAACGATTGGTTTGTAAACTGTTTTCTGATTGGTTCGTTGACTGTAGCTAGATTCTAGGCCAGGGCAGATAATTTGAAATCGTTGAAACCCTATGGATTAACCCAGGGTATAGTGGAGTAGAACGGAATGAGTACACTGGGTAACCGAGGATGGGTTATGGGATGTATATATATATATATATATATATATTTACCCTGGTGATGTTATACATTTACCATGGTTATGGTATATATTTACCATGGTTATGGTATATATTTACCATAAGGTTACGATATATACATTTATATTAAGGATATAAATTTACCTGGAGGCAGCGGCAAGTTGAACAACATCATCCGTTAATACGATACAAAATGAAAATGTTTTGGTTCTTTTCGATAAGGTATATGTAATCTGTTTACATTTGGTTAAATTTAAAACACTGCCACCAGAACCAGTAAACATTTCTTCTTCCCTTGAATAGAACTCAAAATATGGGACACCACTTCTTAACGCTAATACACACCATTTCCGTGTATCCAGCTTCTGAAATTACAATCATAATGTATACAATTTAGAAATTAAAAGAGAGAGCGAGCACGAGAGAGAGAGAGCGAGCACGAGAAAGAGAGAGAGAAAGAGAGAGAGAGAGATGGGTTTAACGTTCACTCAACACAAACAAGGTCATTTAGGGGCTAACATATGGTTCAATTTTATTTCAATAATTCACTTGCACATAGCAGTCTTTAGCAGTGGAAGGAAACCGGAGGACCCGGAGAAGACCCACGAGGTTGGACAGGCGGCCCTACTCCTTGTCACGTAAATCCGGGGAATTGAAACCAAGCCAGTTGACTCAATGACAGACCTTATGATACAGCACACACATGCTAACCATTCGGCCATCCACCCCCCCCAGCCCCTCGATTAAAAAAAACATGCGGTCTATGTATGTTTGAGTCTCGTAATGGCAGATCATTTCAAACATAGTTTGTGTACTGGTATGTTTTTAATCGCAAAATTCTATTTGAAAATAGTGTTGAATTATTATAAATTTGTGTCAGCTGCATCAAGAAATGATTCCTTTGGCAAACAAAAAAGAATCACGGTGAAAAATAGACGGCAAGGATTCCAGAATTGCCTTAGAACAGAGGTGAGGAAGAGCGGTATTTTCATATTGCAGCTTTATAGGGACGCATAGAAAATGTCAGCAGATATCGTCCAATCAGAGACAGCTCCTAAAGGAACTACATTATGTAAGATTTAGATAAATTTGATATTACTTGTTTCTTAGTAAAGTTATCAGGCTGTGAAGTGTTCACAATGTAGTATTGATTGTCAGGTACCAATGTTACGATAATAAACAATGGCTTAATTATCTATTTTTTAAATTCAATTATTAAATGGCAATCCGATGGTCTAGAGCAGGGGTATTTAACATCCCGTCCGCCAAGGGATTAAATGTGTCTCATGGAACAAATTTCAACAAACTGACGTGTCGATAATTCTTAGAAACTAGTGGTTGAAGTCATTTATTATTGTTTTCCAGTTTCAGTAAAACAATGACTTCTATATTGTATGTCATAGATATCTAAGTTAAATTACCTGTGTGTCAAGGACGTTTGGCTTTGTTTTTAGAATTCAGTAAAGTTCAAGGACGCTTGGCTTTGTTTTTAGAATTTTTGTATATTTACGGCCGACTTGATGTAAAATTTTAGTTCATGTGTCCCCTGAATCGAAATGCGTTTGACACCCCTGGCTTAGAGAGTTGATTATGAATGACAAGGACAGCTGTCTAGTCCTTCGGACATATCAATTCAGACTGGGTGGCTAGTGGGCCAGCATCTTACTCACTTAGCCACCCTCACTTCCATATTTCAGATGAGAAAGAGAGAGAGATATGGGGTTTAACGTTCACTCAATACAAATTAGGTTATTTCGGGGCTAACATTCATATGGTTCAATTTTATTTCAATAATTCGCTTAACTGTAGGGGTCTTTAACAGTGGGAGGAACCGTAGGACCCGGAGAAAACCCACCAGGTTGGACAGGCGACCCTCCTCCTTGTCACAGAACAAGCAGGGGGAATAGAAACCAAGCCAGTTGACTTAATAATAATAATAATAATAATCGTTTTCTATAGCGCTGAACATTCAGTCAGTCTGACTGCTCTGTGACTTAATGACAGACCTTATGATACAGCACACACACGCGAACCATTCGGCCATCCAACCCCCCATTTCAGATGAGATCCATACTTACTGATAATAATCCTGATAGTGGTCGATCAGAGACTGGTATTTTACGTAACACACCCTGTTTGATCACGTTATCCATTTTTACCTTTTGACCTTTAAATTCAACTCTCACCTTGAATCTTCACTTGTTAATTAACCAGCTGAAAAATATGCAATTTTAGACATGTATAAATGTATATTCCATAAAAAAAGTAATGGGATACACTTGTGACTTATGATTTGATAGTTTTCTAGATCTTTTACGTGGATGCCAATGTATACACAGGGGCTCGGTTTTTTAATCCCATTCAAAAGCTTAGATGCTGTTCCTTGCCAGGCCCAATATAAAGACCAGTGCAGCACTGACAAGGGAAATCAATGCTGAAAAATTCCAACAAACTCTCACGGACAACATCTGGACTTGTTGTTAGATGAGCCAGCAGCCTAATAACTGCGTCACCGTGGTTACCTATATACGTAATAAACAATGATATATAATAATAGAGTGCATTACTTAATAAATCTATTGTAATAATAATAATGCACTTTTGTGTAGCGCCTGAGTTCCCAACTTTTCATGGGTCGTGGCGGACTACTCTAAACAGCATATAAATCTCTGATATCTATACACCTCTTGCCACATTGCCAATTGTCTTTCCTCTCTCACGACCACGATTAGTTTCCTCAGTCTCTCATTACAACAATTTGATCTAGAAAGTTTTAGGGGATTCACAATCTATCTATGTCGGTATGTGGCTGATTTACTCGGTGACTTTGTGCTTTGCCATTTAGTGTGCTATGAGGGAAATTTTGCCCGGCCAGCGGCACTATCGTCTACTCTTATATCGAATTCCAACTGCCAAGGGATCTTTTATGTGCATTCCAATGTATACACGGGACCTCGTTTTTTTGTCTCATATGAAGGACTAGTCAGCTGTCCTTGTCAGGCCCTCTGTCCTGCATCACTGACAAGGGGGAACCACGCCGGAAAATCTGGATGAACTTTCTCAGCCAAAGCAGGGATCAAACCCCGACCTCCAGGCTAGCGAGCCAGCGTCTTACCCACTTAGTCACCCTGACCCCTCAAAGTAGGGCATTATAACCCTTCTCATTTGATTTTGTGTATAAAATGTTGTGATTCTTTGATAAATCTAGTTATTCATGTATAAATAATACATGCATTTAACAATCGTGACTTACTCATCCTGTAACAGGATATTAACATAGCTTCGTAAATATAAACATTGACCATACATTTCCTTTTATTCTTAATTACACTGATGTTCACTTGAAGTACAAGTACATACGATCGTCTGCAATACACTGTATGGATACATTTTTGGCGTATCAAAATTTTTCTACTTTTATTTTACATTTAAATTTTAGCTAGACTGTTTATAAAGACTTCGTAATCAGTCATATTATTTAGATTTTGCAGTAAACAATAAGTCTGCAAAGACAAGACCAAAGTTGTAAAATCATATAAAAAGAAATGTGTATTCACATAATTCAGTCATATTATAAGCTTTGCAGTAAAAAAATATGTGTCGAAGACCAAATTCATAAAAACAATAAAACTATTGAAAATAAAACTGTGCTTTGTGATAAACCCTGACTTTATCGAAGTATTGCAATACTTTTTGTCAATTTCTGGCCTTAATACACAGGTACATTTAACTTTTAGTGCTGGGTTTTGCCACTGCAGTTATGATACATATTGCACAATCTGGTTAAAACACAGATCTTTGTTTCGTTTTTATAATTCAAAATTTCGTTTTACTTGTTTTTACTACACTTGGATCTGGAAGAGTTGTTATTTAACTCGTGTTCTGAATGGTGTCAGGGATAAGCCAATGAAACGGTCTGTTACGGCGAGCTTTAGGCGTGTTTTGCACGGACTGTGGGTTATCCACTAGTAACATCAATGCTGATTGGTTAATCAAATGTCTGATGTCATAGGTCATAAGTCGGTCTTTTGACCCCTGACGTGACCTATGGCTATAACTTGTCAGATCTTCATGTAGTGTAGGCCATTGAAAGTATAAAAAACGAAACGAAATATAGATCTGTATTTTGATCAGATTGCATATTGCGATGCAGGTGCAATGATACGTTTGTATCATGATTCATAATCAGGTCAATATTAACCAAGAAAACAACAGGATAAATGAATAATTGATATTTTTAGTCCTGCGGATGTCGAAAAAATAAAACTGTTTGATGTGATCAAAATAATGACAAAAACAATTTGAAAGTGTTTTTGAACCTATGGATAATGTGTAATTAGAAGTGAAGAGACAAAAAGAAAAACATAAAAAAGAATCGTGATGGATCGATTCAGCATCTCACAATTCAAAATGCAAAAATTTAGCCTTGGCAGTGGCACTATAGCCTACTCTTATATCAAATTCAATTCTGTCAAGGGATCTTTTACGTGCACACCAATGTATACATGGGACCTTGCTTTTTCATCCCATCTAAATGACAGTTGTCCATGTCAGACCCTCCATCTTGCACCACTGACATGAGGAAACCAAGCCGGAAAATCCTGATGAACTTTCTCGGTCAAGGAAGGGATCAAACACATCACATAGATAAACCGTTTTAACCTAGAGAAAATTTATGCAGTTTGGGAGGTTGCCAGAGAAATAAAATATAGAATTCAATCCATTTAAATATTTACATTGTCCTCGATACCGTTTATAGTTTATTAAACAATTTGAGAAACTGAGGAAGATTGTATACGTTAAATAAGCTATCAAATGACCTTCCTTGTTGTTAAATGTTATTATACAAGTGGTTGGCATGCTAGAAACATTTTGCAAGATCTTTGTGATATATACATGAATTTAAAGTTTCATCAAAATCGGATCAAAATTGTGGCCTCTGGTGGGTCCACAACCTTGACGTACCATATTTTTACACCATTTGCATGTACATGTACAGTCCCATACCTGTATTAAAGGACAAGACCAACAATTTTCAACTAGGTTTCGACAAATCTTAAATATATATTCAGAAGTAATAATCTCTGTGACACAAGCAAAAAAGTTTTTGTGAGAAATTAATTTTTATTAAAACTGGAAGTGATGTAGTTGGTTCAACACACTCACTGGTCTCTAGAAAGCATATACATACATGTAATTGGCATATGGAAACCTTATTGAAAGTCATTGGCTTTTCCCTTTAATATGATTTTAACATCACTTATTAAATTTTAAAATGAATATCAGATGCACAACAAGGAAAACAGGAGAATATTTCCTATACATTGTATCATTCTTTTGTCAGTCATAAATAGCTGTGTGTTTACATGTAGGCCTATAAGATATGTATTTCAATGTTGGTATATTCTGTTTACAAAAATGATTCAAATAGCCAAGTCAAAAAATTTAAGGACATCAGGTCCTGAGGTCACAAAGCATTCTCAGACTCAAGTCAAGAATTTACTCAAAATTGTTTCCTTATGTTAAACAGGCATTATGTAAGAGCTAAATCTGCCTTTTGCAGGTTTTTCTTTGGGCCTTAAATATTATGTAAATTATGAATAAGACATTTATAAACATGACAAGACCATAATCAACTCTCGATGCCATCGGATGGCTCCAATTTTAAGTAGATTAGAAGAGTTTGGCCATTTAATCATTTAAATGAAAAATGGAGAAGCTGGGCTAAGACTTGAATGACCAATCGGTGGTTATGATCAATGCACACATCTTGTCAATACTACAACCAATTTGAATGGAATTTTCATTATATTCATTTTGCATTATCTATTTTTGAAATATTACAGCAAAAATGGACAGGTTTTTTTTTAAAATCTAAAATGCCTTTTATAACTAATATATAGCCCTTTATAAAACTTTTGTTGTTTTAATGTATCAAATCAAATACATCAATAAGAAACTATGTGCAAAATTTTTTTGTTTCTGGATCAAAGATATTTCTCATAAACAGTAATTGAAAGTTGAGTAAATTCTTAATCAAAGATATAAGTTATAAATATTGAATGTATTAAATGGATTATAACAATGCACTTTGGAAACATTGGATTAACAATGCAGATTAACGTACAAGTAGTGATTTAGATTCAATTCTTAAAAGTTTTATTATAATTTCTAACCAATTGTATTTGATGAAACATGGAACAGTTCAAACTGAATGACATTAGGTTACGCTAGCTTCGTTAATTCTAAACATTATTATATTATTATTACTTTGTTGTTTGTGAACCAGCCATTACTAATTACTTTCGCGTTGTCTTGTAGCTGTTTTTCTTTAGACATTACAAATCGCACTCTAAACAATAGAGTAGAGTACACAACCTTGTGTACTGATTTTAAAATGTTTTATGTGTCTTAAATATTGGAGATTATGATCCCATATTTTGACTGAAAGATAACAACATCAAAATTGATCGAAATGGAACAATATTGAATTCTAATTTGCATTTTTAATATTGAACAAAACTATTGAACAATATGGATACTATTGAGTTAGAGGTTTAGCTACTTTAAAAACAAAGTTAGGGAATGTCAATGAGTCCTGAATACATCAGCTATAATTTATAGTAACAATGTGCCATAGGCATTTGTTGCTAAAATATTAAATTTCTCACTGCTTAATCCACGCTAAATACATATATTCAGATTGATTATTTAACATTTAATTAAGAAAACAAAATACCATTACACTAGATAGGCCCATAACTTTTCTATGTTACCAATAAAATATGGCGGCGTCTTATTAAGAGAGGGAGAAATGGGGTTTAACACCACTTGACAAAAACTAAGTCATTTCGGGACTAACATATGGTTCAATTTTATTCTGAAATATTGCTTGCACATACATAGGGGTCTTTAGCAGCCGAGATCAACTCAGCCGTCACTCTCTCATCCTTCACTAAGAATACTCACCCGTCACTAACTGCGAATCAAGCTGGCCGTCCCTTGCAAATTCGCTGGATGACCATGACTTCAGTAAAATCATGTGCTCGGTATGGGCTAATCCGTGCCTTCGATAAATAAAATGAATTGAAAGTAGTCTATTTTTAGTAACCCATTTCTTTGCTCAAAATAAAAATGCTTTTATCTCTTCTAAAGTATGTAATCATGAATGTGCCAGAAAATAACAAGTAGATTTAAAGAGCCATATAAACCTACTTTCCGGTGATGTATGACACAATAACTGGAATTTCGTTTTAAGACAGGCATTTTGACATTAAACACTCGCCCCACCCCCACCGCTATCTTTAATCCAGCCAGTGAAGGCTACCAAACTTGTATCAATTTTAATTTAAAAAGTATATATGCAATCCGCCGAAAATATAATAAATACATTTCAAGAGAGGATTAACTTTACTTTTCAGTATAGATCAACGGAATTTTGGATTAAGTCCCGCATTTTTATTTCAAATACGCCCCCCCTTCCTCTTTCACTTTTCAAGGCAAGTAAATATAAATGTGCCAGAAAATTATTTATATATTGGAAAAGAGCGGTGAACGTGCTTTCTACTGATATGTAGCATGATATCTGGAATTTCGTATTAAGACCCGTATTTTAAAATATATAAATAATTTTCTGGCACATTTATATTTACTTACCTTGACAGACTATCAAAGTTGGATAATACTGAACTCTATTAAGTAATTAAGTGGGGGGGGGATATTCAATGTCTAATTACGGGTCTTAATACGAAATTCCAGATAACATGCTACATATCAGTAGAAAGCACGTTCATTGCTCTTTGCAAATATATAAATAAATTTCGGGCACATTCATATTTACTTGCCTTGAGAGGTGATCAAAGACGAACGGTACAAAAATCTATTAAATGATGGGGGGGGGAGGCGGTATTTAAAGTAAAAATACGGGGCTTAATACGAAATTCCAGATATGATGCTACATATCAGTAGAAAGCACAGTAACTGCCCTTTCCAAATATATAAATAATTATCTGGCACATTTATATTTACTTGCCTTGATACATTATCAACATCGAGTGAAACAAAACTCTATTGAATGATGGGATGGGGGGGGGGTATTCAATATCTAATTACGGGTCTTAATACGAAATTCCAGACATCATGCTACATATCAGTAGAAAGCACGTTCATTGCTCGTTTCAAATATATAAATAATTTTCTGGCACATTCATATTTACTTGCCGTGAGAGGTGATCAAAGACGAACGGTACAAAAATCTATTAAATGATGGGGGGGGGGGGATTCAATATCCAATATCTAATTACGGGTCTTAATACGAAATTCCAGATATCATGCTACATATCAGTAGAAAGCACGTTCACTGCTCTTTTCAAATATATAAATAATTTTCTGGCACATTCATATTTACTTGCCTTGAGGGGTGATCAAAGACGAACGGTACAAAAATCTATTACATGATTGGGGGGGGGGGGTGTTACAAAAATCTATTACATGATTGGGGGGGGGGGGTTAAAGTAAAAATACGGGTCTTAATACGAAATTCCTGATATCATGTTACATATGACTGAAAAGCACATTCATTTCTCTTTTCAAATATATAAATAATTTTCTGGCACATTTATATTTACTTGCCTTGAGAGGTGATCAAAGACGACGAACGGTACCAAAATCTATTAAATGATGGGGGTGGGGGGTGTATTCAATATCTAATTACGGGTCTTAATACGAAATTACAGATATCATGCTACATATCAGTAGAAAGCATGTTCACTGCTCTTTTCCAATATATAAATAATTTTCTGGCACATTTATATTTACTTGCCTTGAAAAGTGAAGGGGGGGGGGGGGTATTTGAAATAAAAATGCGGGGCTTAATCAAAAATTCTGTTGATTTGTACTGAAAAGTAAAGTTAATCCTCTCTTGAAATGTATTGATTATATTTTCGGCAGAATGCATATATACTTTATAAATTAAAATTGATACAAGTTTGGTAGCCTTCACTGGCTGAATTAAAGATAGTGGTGGGGCGAGTGTTTAATGTAAAAATGCGTGTCTTAATACGAAATTTCAGTTATTGTGTCATACATCACCGGAAAGTAGGTTTATATGGCTCTTTGAATCTACTTGTTATTTTCTGGCACATTCATGATTACATACTTTAGAAGAGATAAAAGCATCTTTATTTTGAGCAAAGATATGGGTTACTAAAAATAGACTACTTTCAATTCATTTTATTTATCGAAGGCTTGGATTAGCCCATACCGAGCACGTGATTTTACTGAATTCATGGTCATCCAGCGGATTTGCAAGTGACGGCCAGCTTGATTCGCATTTAGTGATGGGTGAGTATTCTTAGTGAAGGATAAGAAAGTGACGGCTGAGTTGATCTCGGCTCTTTAGCAGGGGGAAGAAACCGGATGACCTGGAGAAAACCCGTGAATTTAGACAAGCGACCCTATTTCTTGTCACGTACAATCGGGGAATCGAAACCACGCCAGTTGACAGACCTTATGATACAACCATTCGGCCTTTCAACCCACCCCCTCGTCTTTTTAAGAGCAAGCGGTATAGATTATTAATTAGACATTAATTAACTTATCCAGACCACAATCAACTCTCGATGTCATCGCTAGCCTGCGATATTTACTGGATTATGATCCAATTTGCTGCTCAACTTTCATTCATGATTTAATCATGAAATAGATAACCGAGACTGTGTTTTATCGTACCGACTTTAGTAATGATTATCAAGACTAGGCCAAAAATTCAATCACTAAATTCTCGATTCAGAGTGGATCAATTTGACTGAAATTTTCAGCAAATTCAATTTACGTTATCTAGTTTTAACTATTATAGTGAGAACTGCCAGCTCTTTATCTAATCTCCCATAATGTATCTTTAAGGAAATTTGATATAGTACATTGTAGCCTACATGTACATCGTTTTAAGAGAATGGAAAATAGCTACTGCTGAGTCGGAGTGGGATGTGACAGCTTACATTATCATGGTTTTTAATAATTTCCTATAACTTTCTTCATTGTGAAATAGAAACAAGATACATGTACATAGTCAAGATACATAGTCATTTCCATAATAAAATAGATAAGATGCTTATTGCATTGAGACATCCATTTAGGCCAGCTTGTGTACACACATTTAAAAACAAAATCACATTCGCTAATAATAATACTAATACATTTACGACAGCCATGAAAAGGTCTTATTCAGCTCAATAGACTTTAGACGTGTATATACTGTTTGCAATTCATACATTATACGTACACTGTTTGCAATTCATACATGTATCTATTTACATTACCCACAGCCACAGGCCTAATAAATTATATATTTAATAACACTTCCTGGTTCAACATATCACTAATATCATAACCGCATACACTGACTTAATTCTGTCCAAAAGACACAATTCTTACATTATAATTATAATGATAAAATATCCCAAGTTAAAATATTTTGGATATTACCGAAAGCGTTGAAGACATTGACAGACTGTCAGATCTGTCAAGAGCTAATACGACGAAATCGTGATAAATGTGTGTTACTACTGGGCATTAAACTGTGTACTTTTACTGTTGACGTTGACGTTGTTGACAAACCTAAAAGTAAAGAAATCCAAAACAAAAGCCAAAAGTCGCTCTTTGTAAATAAAAGGATGAATTTGAAGATGGAATAACCTATACTTACGTATTATAACCGTTTAATATAAAAGTCTCTCCATGGTCGGCTACACAATCATCCTTACTTTAGGAAATAGTATCTGTCAAAAAAAAAAAAGTTTGTTTAGCAAAGCTGGTCAGAGTTATCCTTTCTTGAATGACTCATTTAAAGGGAGACAACTCCACTTAGCACAAAATGAACCAGCCCACAATTATTATTGTATAAACTGACTGTTATGGTGGCTGAAAGCGTCCATTTAGATCGGCGGGTTTCTGGATACAACGCGAGAGTCGCCGTTAAGCCAGCACGACGAAAAAGGCGCCGATCGGCGACTTTTTCGTCGTACTACCTTATCGGCGACCCGCGACTTTCACAAAACGAGAGTCGCCGTTAAGCCACGCGCCGAAAAAGTCGCCGAAAAAATCGGCGACTTTTTCGGCGACTTGGTTAACGGCGACTCTCGCCTCGGAAGTTTATAGTAAGTTACATGCGCAGTGGCTACATTTTACGCACACAGATCACCAATGTACGCCGTAATGTAGGGCGAAAGTTATTTTTAGTCTTTCTCTCCCTTTCCCTTTTCCCCCTTTTGCATGGCGATTTTTGGTGTAGAATCGAAGAAATGGGTTTGAAAATACATTTTCTGCCAGGTTTTGGTGAATATTCATGATTTTGAGAGGTCGGTTAGTTTGAAATATAGGGCCGAAAATTGCATGTTTACTTGTCCCTACTTCCAGCTTGTGTATTTCAAGTTTTTCATGGTAAACCTCATACATGCTTTTGTGCAAGAGTTTGCCACATTTTGCTCCATCTGTGGCGGAAAGTAGGCTAGCCTACAAGTCCTAACTCATCCAAAAGCTCCTCCATTTTATATACAAGAAGTAAAATGTAGCCATTGCGCATGTAACTAACTATAAACTTCCGAGGCGAGAGTCGCCGTTAAGCAAGTCGCCGAAAAAATCGGCGCCCTTTTCGGCGCCTTTTTCGGCGTGTGGCTTAACGGCGACTCTCGCGTTGTATCTAGAAACACGCCGATCTAAATGGACGCTTTCAGCCACCATAGACTGTGATGCGAAAAATTACTGTAAGAGATTGTAAAACATTTCAATTAAAATCTTTCAAGTATCAGAGGGGCGAGTTTAACAACTTTTTATTCATATTATTGCCATTTAAAAAATAAAAATATAACCGCACGATCAAAGCCCGTTAAATTATCAATAAAAAGTGAAATTTTTGCTTAATTTAATTTAGTTAAAATTTAGAAAATATTTCATTATTTTGAAAATTCCAATAAGTTATAAGCATTACCGAATAGGACAAAATATACAATGTATAGTAGGTCCTAATTCCTATTTATTTACAACAATTATTAGGATTAGTTAAGATCTTATCTGTATCGTAGTGATAACAGCGATTAGTTTCGTAAATATATGGTTTATTTACATCAGAACAGAATATCAAACAGCTACAGAATTACAACACGAACATATATTAAACAGAAACTAAACTACGGTGAGTCCATACGCCAGTCTCTGCTTTTCTCTTGTCTGCGTCTCTCCTCCTCTCCGCTCGTCTGTAATCGTCTGTCTAACTGTCAGTAAACCCCTGATTATATAGCGCCGGAGAATAGACAAGACTCATGATCGTACATGCAATTGTCTCTTCATCACGTCGTGGTTTTTCTTACTGACCAGTGCATATTCCTTTGAAGTCACGTGGAGCTTGTACACAGAGCATATATGTAGTTTGTAAATGACATATGGGATTAATTACATAATTAATTAGATCATAACCAGTTCGTGCTTTAACAGAAGTATAAACTAGTTGAAAAGTCAGTATAATATATTATCAAAAGCACTTTCGGTCAATAAGTTCTATGCACCTAAATGATCGTTCAATTTGATGAAAGTTATAGAGTACTTTGTCACAAGAGAGAGAGAGAGAGTGTGTGTGGGTGTGTGTGTGTGTGTGTGCATGGGCGTCACACATGGGGGGGGGTCGGGGGGGGGGGGGGGGTCTGAATATACATAGTAGGCCCTAATTCCTATTTATTTACAACAATTATTAGGATTAGTTAAGATCTTATCTGTATAAAACCTGTACATATCCCAATATGGTTTACATTGCTAAAAGTAACTGTGTTCCATAAAATTGTGTCTAGTTAGCCTGACAGTAATATTTTGTTAATTTTCTTTGCCACTTATCAGAGTGAATCGCATGTAGGTATCGAAAAACATTATCGCCTAAACCAAATATTTATCGCCCAGTCAGCCAGCCACGTAACCATAATATGCTTTGCACGCGGTGGATGGACCAATCAGCAAACGAGTTGTGTAGACAGCATGGCCACATGGTGTTTCTTTATATTTTTTTAGGGGTTTTAAAAAAGGGTTAGGGCTAGGGTTAGGGTTAGGGTTGCGGACCCCCCCCCCCCAATATATATTTCACAGCTACGCCTCTGTGTGTGTGTGTGTGTGTTTGTTTGTGGGGGGTGGTAACGTCCACGCTACACAGGCTACATATAGCTCATTCCGGGTCTATAGTACATTAAATAGAGAGAAAGAGAACGGGGTGTTGATAACTGGGACAATGATTACTGGCGGTCACCACAAACATTCAAAGTTTGTCAATATTTTTTTAATAGTTTTGTGTCTAAAGCCAGTTTTCCATATACATTTGCGTTGGACCGAATTTTTCACAGGCGAAAACGCGTAAATGGTAAACGTACCTTAGGGTATGCCCATGGAGCGTCGTATTGATGATACAACGTCACTCATCTCAAATTAGAAACCTGGCAGACAGAACTCGGCAGAAATATCTAGTAACCTGAAATCAAATAAATTGAAATGGGGTTATAAGATGCCTTCCCGCGTACAAACTGGTTGATTTGATGAAATATATGGACTAAAAACATATTCATACTAATTAATCTATCAAAAATTTGCTGCAAATCCCTCTCAAAACAACGTATTCGCGAGGAAATACCCAAAGGTATTAAAAAAAAAACCCTATTTTTAGAAGCCATGTTTGTCATGTACCTTGATTGAGAGAGCTAGGGCCCAATTTCCATTTTTTTTTTTTTTCGTTTTTGGGCCATCATCAAAGTTTTTTCTGGGAGTGGCCAAATGGTGTAAACAATAAAATTTTAGTGGATATAAAAGTAAAAGTATGAAAATTATTCCATCCCGCAAATTTACTGTTCATTGAGTGTGTTGTGTTCAGTTCCAGAAAATTCGCTCCGCTAGGCGGTACCAATCTGTTTCACAGAGTACTAGGAAATCTTCTAATATCTCTGTAAAAGATGACTGCCTTCAACGCATGACGTCATATCACGCGGCGCCAATTATTGGCTCAGTATGGCGCCTGCATTGTTTACATTAGACGTTACTGATTCGAGAAGAATGGCGCCTTTTACTCATTTTAATACCCATTTACACTAAAATAGGAAATAATTTTTACCTACAAATACTTCAAACGTCTTTATTTATTTTTCTAATTCGCAAAAAAATATTTTAGAATTTAATTTGTCGGATGAAAAAAGTTAATAATTGTGGCTCATTAAGTCGCATCGATGTCATCCTTATCAATGTCTTATCAGTGATTGTCGTGGCCTAGCGAATATTCACTGCGGATCAGTGTGAGGCGGTACTTGCCAATATTGTACATGTACCTTGCAGTGCGCAACTGTTTGTGGGCGCGGCAGAAATGATACCCCCCCCCCCCACTTAGGAAAATCGGCCCGTACGCCTATGGTACCTTTATAAAAAAAACACTATTAGTATTGCATTCCGACGGAGATTCTATGAATTGGCTATTTCGTTTCGTTTTTATTATTTTTGGCACTCGATTTTATATCAGCCGGCTGAATCGATAATACGGAATGTTTATAAAAAGTACACGTCCGTGTTGTTGTTGCCGTCGAATGTCTGTTGACACTGGGATTTTTTACTGATTAAATCCTATCAATTAAAAGGTGACACATTTTCTTCCTTTGAATGAAAACTATGTGTAATTTTATAAGTACTGACATTGACAAAAACCGTTAGATATGATTGAAACTCGAAAGTTTGCGAAAGAAAATGGCATTATTATTGGTTGGATAACGAGTACGACTACGACGAATAGCAATTTATTACTATTAGGCCTCCGCCTAGTCACACTGATCGGGAGTCAATATTCGCTAGGCCGCTACAATCACTGATAAGGATGACATCGATGCGACTTAATGAGCCCAAAATATTAACCTTTTTCCTCCGACAAATTAAATTCTAAAACATTTCTTTTATGTATTACTATTAGAAAAATAAATAAAGACGTATTTGTAGGTAAAAATTATTTCCTATTTATTTAGTGTAATCGGGTAATAGAATAGGTAAAAGACACCATTCTACCCGAACCAGTAATGTCTTATGTAAACAATGCACGCGCCAATGATTAGCGCCGTGTGATGTGACGTCACGTATTGAACGCAGTCATCTTTGACAGAGATATTGGAAGACTTCCGTAATCGTCTGTAAAACAGATTGAGGCCTAGTGTGTACAGAGAAATAGATGGGGTTTAAGTTAACATAAACTTGACACAAACTAGCTCATTTTGGGACTACCATGTGTTTCAAATTTATTTCAATAATTCGCTTGCGTGTAGGGTTCTTAAGCAATGGAAGAAAACTCACAAGGTCGGACAGGCGACACCACTCCATGTTGCTACATACAAATAAAATGTTAGCTTGAAATCTTGTCACTTGACTCAGTGACAGACCTTATGATCTAAAGCACAAAGGTTAAGCTATTCGGCCCCATGACTTCCGGTGACGAATAAAGAACAGATTCTGCATCAATTGAATATTTCACCTTTCTGTTTATAAAGCAATTATATAGAACTAATTAAAAGTCATAACTTAGTAACTACCATGAAAGAGAAATGGGGTTTCACATCCACTTGACACAAACTAGGTAATTTTGGGACTAACATATGGTTTAATTTACATGATTTTGTCAAAACTTTTTGGACCACGACCTGGACTCCAAGCACTCTGTGTTCTTGATCTTCTTTTTGGGGAGCGAATTTCTTAGAGAAAAAAAATAAAGCCTAAGGCTCTGCAAATTCCAGTATTGTACCGTATACACATAGCCGAACTGAAACTTAGTATGCTAATTTCGTAGATAATTGCACAGCGATTGACAGACATTTTGATATGATGTCTCTATTCCATGGTTATACATCATAGTTGGTTCTTGGTCCATAGTATGATTGTATTTGTTTTTATTAAAGATGCATTATGTAAGATTTAGATAAAGAGCTGGTCGTTCTTGCTATAATAGTTAAAAAATAGATAATGAAAAGGGAAAATGTTGAAAATTTCAGTCAAATTACTTCTTTCTGAGCTAAGTTAGGGCTGTTTGGAGAATAAGATAGTTAACAAAGTCTTGATTATCCATTTTTTAGTTAAATAATTAACTGCCAGTCGTTTTTTAAATCCGTTGAAAATCAAGACCATCCGATGCCCTAGAGAGTTGATTATGGTCTTGGTAAGTTAATAAATGCCTAATTAATAATTTAGCATGTGTGCATTATAAGGCCTGTCATTGAGTCAACTGGCGTGGTTTTAATTCCCTGATTGGATGTCAGCTGTTTCGTAACCTGGCTGTTTCGTACTTAGTTCATTCGTACCTCACATGAGCCGTTTCGTACTTCACTTCGTACCTCAAATTGATTCGTACCTTTTCCTGTGTTGTTTTGAAATCAGTAAAAAGAAATTGAAATAAAGGTGAAACTATATTGATCAAATCCAACGGCTACGCTAAATGTATAAAAGTGGCTGCCAAGCCATAATTAGAATATGCACGAGATTAGTTTGTTTTTCTAAATGTGTTTGAAAGAAATTGAAGTGAAACATAAGTAAACGTTTTGATCAAATCCAACATCGGTTACGATCGAAAGCCATTTTCATGGAGTTCGGTTTCAATAACAGAATTACCTCCTGATATATCAGATCAAAGAAACGCGTACGCCCATCTTCAGACGTAGGCACCTTTTGGAGACTTGCTTAGATAAGAGATGCTATTACCTTCAACGTAGCACACTCTCTACAGTGAGTTAAATTGATTTAAGGTTTATTATATAATGAATAATACTTTAATAGGCCTACATTACGTGTCGCATTTTGGAATTCTTAGTATATTCAATCACTTTTAACCACTTTAACAATCACCAATCAATTATCGTCAATAATCACAAATCACAATCATAACTCGGCAGAATGGGTTCAATAATCAACACCAGATTAAATACTTTTTCAATCGTTTTTTTTTAAACTGCTTTAACAATCACCAATCAATTGTCGTCAATAATCACAACTCACTGAGCAGAATGGGTTGATAATCAACACCAGATTAAAAAAACAAAAGGCAGGTAATCGTTTATTATTTCAATTTCTTTCAACAACACATAGATTTATTTTAATTTCTTTTATTTTATTTCAGCAACATGTAGAAAAGATACGAATCAATTTGAGGTACAAATCACGTGTGCATTCCAATTCTCGTTCGGCAGCCATTTTTATAAATTTATTTTAGCCCAGCCGTTGGATTTAGGAAAAGGAACTAATCAATTCGAGGTAAAAATCTCGTGCATATTCTAATTCTGGTTCTGCATATTCAATTTGTTTCAAATGATTTCAACAACATAGGAAAAGGTACGAATCAATTTGAGGTACAAAGTGAGGTACGAATGAACTAAGTACGAAACAGCCAGGTTACGGAACAGCCTGCACCCCCCTGATTGTACGTGACAAGGAGTAGGGTCGTCTGTCCAACCGCATGGGTTTTCTCTGGTTCCTACGCTTTCCTCCCATTGCTAAAGACCCATAGATGCAAGCGAATTATTAAGATTAAATAGAACCATATGTTAGTCCTGAAATAACCTAGTTTGTGTCGAGTGGACGTTAAACCCCTTTTCTCTCTCTCTCTGATCTGAAATATTTTGATTTTTCTGTATATTTACAGCATATGGGAAGAAGAGGCAGCAGAATGGGTTTACGTGGAAAACCCGCACTTATTTTGATTGCTATCGTGGGATTATTAGTTACGTTCGGTTTGTATTATAGTAGAAGTTCTTCGTACAAAACGATGGACACACACGATCACCATCATCACCATGACCGTATAAACCTCGGGGATTTCGATGCAAATAAATTTATGCGGGACATAAATCCAAGAAGAGATCCAGAGTTAGGCAATGAGTTAAAGCAAAGAAATCTCCCCGGATTGAAAGAAACAGAAATTCATGACACGGCAGCTAAAGGGAATAAAGTGAATGCTTTTGAAAACTTTGATTTTAAAGATGGACATGATAATCTCGACAGAAGCCAAGTTGATGAGGATGATGATGATGACCAAAATCATGTTAATTTGGATAAAAATATGCATGATTTGGACCGAAATCCAGACAATGTCCACAAGAATGAAGATGATGAGATTTTACAAGAATCAAATAAACCGGAACCAAAAACGCTTTCTGGTCAACTCCACAGGTTGTACCGCAAACCCAATCCTAGATTAACAGATACATTCCACAACATGAAGCATATTGTCCATCTTGATTTGAAAGGAGCTGCCCCAAAACTAGATTACCTCGAAAATCTGCTACCCTTATTATCGTCACTCGGAGCGACTGGGTTGTTAGTGGAATACGAAGACATGTTTCCCTATGTAGGAGATCTGAGTTTAATTGCCGCAAAAAATTCGTACACAAAATCCGACATGATCCAGTTTTTCAACCTCGCGAAGAAAAATAAGTTGGAAATAATTCCATTAGTACAAACATTTGGCCATCTTGAATTTGTTTTGAAGCATGAAAAATATATGAACCTTCGTGAAGATTCTGAAACACCTCAAGTCATCACTCCTCTTGTCAACGACACTTATACTCTTCTAGGGGCCATGATTGATCAAATTATGACTGTTCACGCAGAATCACAGTTTCTCCACATCGGATGTGATGAGGTATATCATCTTGGAGAGGGCAAATCAGCCCCTATTCTGGCACAAAAAGGTTACACGAAAGAGGACCTTTTCTTTGAGCACGTGAGTCGTGTAGTTCGATATGTGAAAGAGAAATATCCAAAGGTGACCTTGATTATTTGGGATGACCAACTGAGAGATGCATCAACTGATAATATAAAGGTAAAATTCTGTTTTTTTCTGGTGACTGGGAGTGGGAAGAGAGAGAGAGGGAAATGAAATGAAATGGGGTTTAACGTCCTACTATTCTGCTCCTACTGGGGAAGATGGGCATCCTCCATACAGTGTGCTATGAGGCAAATTTTGCCCAGGCAGCGGCACTATGGGCTACTCTTGTATCGAATTCCAACTGCCAAGGGATCTTTTACGTGCACACCGATGTATGCACGGGTCCTCGGTTTTTCATCCCATCCGAATGACTAGACAGCTGTCCTTGTCAGGCCCTCCGATTTGCACGACTGACAAGGGGGAAACCGTGCTGGAAAATCCCGATACGAAGAGAGGGGAAATGGAGTAGGAGGGTTGGGGAGGGGGAGGAGAAAGGAGTAGTGTTATAGTCCACTTGAAACTTTCAATGTCATTTTGGGACTAACATATTGTTAATGTGCTGTAGACTTCAAGGTCTGTATATGGGAAAATGCATTTTCACATGACGAGGAGTTGGGTAGCCTTCTCTCCTTCTACCAGAATTATCCTTAAGACACAACAATTACGGTTAAATTTGTGAAAATGTATCAGACTGACCTAATTTAGAAGTAAGAGCTCTTCTGTGTGCCCTAAAAGCAAGGGTAATTTACTGTTATGGTAAGTGCATGTATGTTAAACAAGACAGACCTACGGACATAATGTACAGATACCGGTACCACAAACAACAAAATCTGAATCCTACAGCATTCCGTGAAATCCATTATCATTTTCATGTCCCTATTTATTTCCTTATGAGTAATCTGTATTCTGAATATTCCAAATTACGACATCAATCAGCAGTCCTGTCACATGATTTGCATTGAATTAACATTGAATAATCTGGCCTTAAATTAGTGGGTGTTAACCGACAAGCATTCACCAATCAATTCACCACCAATGGGTTTTCTCCAGGTCCTCCAGTTTCCTCCCACTGCTAAAGACCCCTACGCGCAAGCGAATTATGTAAATTTAATTAAACCATATGTTAGTCTCAAAATGACCTAGTTTGTGTCGAGTGGACGTTAAACCCCATTTCTCTCTCTCTCTATTTCACCAATCAAATTCAATTATCGGTGAACCTAAAACACGTGTCAGTCTTTGTTGATTACCTTGATAATTTTATAAGTTTGATGCAGGGGTTGCATGCAAGTTATTAAGTAGCTCCTTAAAATAACTTTATGCTTAAGTTTTAGTTGCTTTTCATATTAATATGTATGAATTTTTTTCAGAAATTTGGTTTGGGAGGAATTTTGGAGCCGATGATATGGGCATACACTCCAAACCCGGGTGACAAATTTACTGCAGACATGTGGGAAAAATACGAGCAGGCGTTTAGTCACATGTGGGCAGCTTCATCTTTTAAAGGTGCTACAGGAAGTGCCCAGTATTATACAGATGTTACCTATCATCTCAGAAACCACTATGGTTGGATCGACATAATAACTAAAGTCCATTCAAATGCACCTAATCTTAAATTCCGTGGCGTAGCTCTAACTGGATGGCAACGCTACGATCATTTTTCTACCCTCTGTGAATTAATCCCTGCTGCTATTCCTTCTTTATCCGTCTGCTTGTTGACAATTTCAAATGGGGGGTTTACAGAATCTGAATATAATATGGTTCAGCATAGACTCAGTTGTGATGAAGATATGGTTCAATGTGGATTCCCTGGTAGTGATGTTTATTCTCTGATGCAAGAGTTACGGACCTTTGAGAATGAAACCAAAAATGACGAAGGACTCAATTCTCGATTGAATGGTTGGTTAACAGATTATAATGTGAAACATGGTTTTGGTAGTCCGGGTCAATTAAAGGTACTTGTCAAGACTATTGATGAAGTTATGCATAACTATAAAGAACTACACGACAAGTTTTTGTCAGTTTTAGCAAAATATTACTATGAGTCGACATTGGATGAGTGGATTGATGTACACATTGATCAAAAGATACGTTATTATTATAACAAAGCAAACGCAGCTAATTCCTTGATGTCACGTCGAGTCTGGCCTCGGCGCCCTCTAGTTTCATTTAATGATGTAGTGACTCAGAATCCTCAACACCAAGTACTAGACAACAATGATCCGTTAATTCAAAATCTAAAATTTAATAGTACTTACACTTCTGAACTGGCAAAAATAAACGGATACGTCCAAAAACAGTTTGCTAGAAAACAAAATCACGCAAAACAGTTTCTTCCAAGTTTTGGTTCTGAACAAAGAGATCAAAACAAATACCCAAAACAACAGTTTGCTCAAAAACAAAATCCGGAGAAAATCTTCAATCCAAGAAATGTTAGAATTCAAGCCAATCAAAATCCTGGTAGAGGTCAAGGGTCAGCCATCGAAAGTCAAAGGTCATTTGATAAAGGTCCAATATTACCCAATAGAATTCAGAAGCCACTAATTGAGAGGGAAAAGTTATCATCATTTGATGGTCAAGAACGTAAGAAACAGTCTATGTATGACTCAAAGAAAAATGATGGTGATGCTTTTGATCCAAACAGAGTTGGCCCACATAAAAATTTCCCAGATATAAAAAATGTTGGTGAAGTTCCAGATTCAAATGGAGTTAATCCACATAAAAATTTAAATAATCAATATATGAAAAATGTTCCTGTTTCAAATGGAGTTATTCCACTTCAAGATAACCCTGATATAAAAAATCTGGGCAATGTTCCTGATTCGAATGGATTTAAACCACGTAAAAATTTAATCTTGAACCATGTTGATGACTTAAATAACAGAGATATAGAAAATGTAGCCAGAAATCCCGAAAATGTAGAAACTGAAAATAAAGAACGAGTTGTAAATGACGGTGTATTATCCAAATATATTAATCGTTTCCATAACGATAATGTCAACAACCAGAGAATTGATCAACATCAGTGATGGCTGTAGTGATGGAGACACAGCACTGGACCAATTGTACACATTTGTTTTCATTTCCAAAAATAGTAATCTAATAATCTGTCTGTTTTTTTTTTAAATCCATTGATAAATGCTCACCTCACTGTCCTCAGATCGTCTGTTGTCCATCCTTGTCATCTTCTATACGTCGTCCATCGTCGTATGTCCACAATTTTTTGTGAACTAAGACTGCTGTTCTAGTAAAGTGTCATGAAAACTATCACTGTAACCCGGGTATCATTTAATCTTGTGTATCTAGCACTAATTTCTTTCACATTCGTTTAATATCAAATCTTTGTTTAAAAATTTGTAAAAATCATTTTAAAAATCACCCAAAATCATCTACTTTGTACTGCTATTCTCGTTAACACACTATAGACAGCTGTTCTCGTAAACACTCTGTAGACTGTTGTTCTCGTGAACACTCTATAGACTGCTGTTCTTGTAAACACTCTATAGACTGCTGTTCTTGTAAACACTCTATAGAATGCTGTTCTCTTAAACACTGCTCTAGACTGCTATTCTCGTGAACACTCTATAAAAATTTGAGTTTTCAAACATATTTGAGAACTGTTAAGGTTTGTGCCATGTCTACCTCTTTGGGAGGAGAACGCATATTAATTTTAAACCATTCCCAACAATTGCTCAAGTTACCTTGATTTAGAAAACCTGTTTTATCACAGATTTTATGGATGGCAGGATGACGTTGCTGTTGGCGGGCGTATTCGTTTCTAATGGCAGTTAATGTTTATATATTTCTTTTATCTGTCTATTCTGGGAGATGTTCGTTTCTAATGGTAACCAATGTTTATATATATCTTTTATCTGTCTGTTCTGGTAGATGACTGTTTATCTGTTAAATGTATAGTGTGTGTTTCATGTGAACAATACTAGTTGTTGGTTCGTTAGTGACACCATGAATCCATTTCTGGGGGGTGCATCTAAAATAGTGTTTGTTAATTAAGGTGTCTTGTAAATATAAATGATTATGAAAAAAAATTGTAAATATTGGGCTTTTTTTTTAATGTTAACCAAGTCTTGGTTGGTTTGGAACCGCACTAACCGTATCATAGTACATGTATTTTAACATCTTGTCACCATGGTGATTTAGAATATAGGTATGCTTGAGCTAAAATGTAAAATTGTTTTATTTGTTAATGAATTAAGATTATTCCATATTTACCGGTAGTTATAGCAATTATACTGAGGTTGTAAAATTATTGAAACTGTTATTAAGGATTAATTATGTATATTAAGATTGTTGCTATAGTAACCATGGTTAGATTTGAATTTATAGTTATTTATTGTTTGAGGTTACTATGGGAATTATAGTAACCTTGGTTCCTCATTGTTTTTCAGGCTGCTTTGGTAACCATTAATGTCTTATAATTTTATTGTTATTTTGTTGCTATGGTAACCATTAATATATTCAAATTAATTGGTTATTCATTGTTTATCCTGTTACTATGGTAACTATATTAAGGCTGTTTCTATTGTAACCATGATTAGAATACAATTTTAAGGTTATTCAGTTTATCCAGTTTCTATGTAATTATATTAAGGCTGTTGCTATAATAGCAATCATGATTAGATTTTAATTTGATGGTTATTCATTGTCAGGTTGTTATGGTAATTATATAATGTACATGTATAGTAGGCCTATATATGGGATTTTTGTAATTATAGTATTGTTTGTCATTTTGCTATGGTAGCAATGGCAAGTAAGAGGGTTTCTATAGTAGCAATGGGGGTTTCTATAGTAACGTAGTTAGTGATAAGTTTGATATAATGCTACAATTATGTGAATTATTAGTTTAAGTTTGTGACTAAAGGTTAAAGCAAAGATCTGTTTTAGTTCAAAGGTCATTTTAATATTGAGATCTGTACACATGTAACATTATCATCTGAACATTTGGACCATTTCATAAACTGATAAAAAGTTATAAACACAAAAATATGATGTGGAACAAATTTTCTATTTTAAAGATACATTATGCAAGAGCTAATTCTGCCGATTGCAGGTCTTTCTTTAGGTCTGAAATGTTATATACACTATTAATTAGACATTTATTAACAAAACAAGACCATAATCAACTCTTGATGGCATCGGATACTCAAAATTTTAACTAAATTAGAATGGTTCACCATTTAAAAATTTAATTTAAAAATGGGAAAGCGAGGCTAAGTCTCGAATATACCACAATGCACACATCTTGTCAAAATTACAAACAGTGATATCTTGGGTCAGAATAAAGTAATTTAAATGAAATTTTCAATATTTTCATTTTGCATTATCTATTTTCGAAATAAATGTATTATAGTAAGAATGGTCAGCTCTTTATCTAAATATTAATTAATGTATCTTTAATTAAATCAACGTTTCATTGAGGGCTCTGTCCAACCTCGTGGGTTTTCTCCGGGTCCTCTGGTTTCCTCCCACTGCTAAAGACCCCTGCGCGCAAGCGAATTATTGAAATAAAATTAAACCATATGTTAGTCCCAAAATGACATAGTTTGTGTCGAGTGGACGTTAAACCCCATTTCTCTCTCTCTCTCTCATTGAGGGCTCTGTCAGTGTTATCAAACAAAATGCTAACAGATATTGTGCCTCATATTTAAATGCTTTAAGTTTATTTAATTATTAAAACTGATCTGTAATTATCTTTAGGCAACACAAATAAAATAACTTGTTTCTCGGGCACCGCCCGCACGCAAAATTGGTTGCGCGTGCAGTCTATTTATTAGTCTTGATGAAAAAAAATAAATATGTAACGCCCGCCCGCACATCGACAAGCAAGTCGTAAAAAAAATATCCCGCATGTACCTACATCCGCCATACATGTATATCTATTCAAATGTATTAAAACTGATTCAGATGAACATGCTGTCTTTTTTATCCGAACAATGGCGAAGTTTGGCAGATTTGCCTTTTTTATTGATATCGAAAGAACCTCCATTTTGTATCACGTGATATTAATTACCTCCCCTGATAAACTAGAATTTGATTCGTGTTAAGTCATTGGCGACAATATTTCAATCATTCGATCGTAATCGGCTCATTATTGCCGGCTTCAGTCGGTCCTTGTTTGGAAAATCCTATTGATAAAATAATGAACCGTAGAACAGGTTAATTAATTATAGCTAAGAATACGATACGATGACGATAGTCGTCATAATGCATACCTTAGAATCTGGGTCATTATTAGCACATTTACGGTAGTTTCGATAATCCGGAAAATAATAATTGGATTACCGATTTGATGGTTTTACTGACCAGTTGTTAGTTAGATTTAAATAGTCATTCAATATAAACACCGGATAGAACACCGAATATCCTGAGAAACACACCGAATATCCCAAGAAACAGTATTTCCGGCAATCTCCAATACCGATGACACGGTGTGACATGCCTTGGTTGGAATTCGGTAAATAATTATAAATAAACCGGCGATACTAGATTTAGTTTTAAATACTGTTTACCATGATTATTATTTTTGATACACCTGGTGAAAGAGGCTTAGTTTTTAAAAATATTGTTGTCTTTATGGAGGGCTATTACATAGTCGTATGGAATTTTATTTTAAACCAATTTCAATTATGTGAATTAAATATGGAAAATTATTTTCCTTTCAGTCAGTGTTCAGTCTCAGTGTTTTAGTAGACTAGATTTTGGGTTTATGTTTTAAGTATGTACAATAAAGTTGAATATAACGGAAAGCAAAAACGTAAACAAGTAATGACTTTCTCATTTAAAAAAAAAAAAAAAAGAAAGACCGCCCTCCCGCCCCAACAATTTTCAGCAATAGCCAAATTTTATTTTGCACCATCAATGAGTAAAAAAAAAAAAGAAACCGCCCTCCCTCCCTACAGTTTCAGCTGTCAGTTGCCCGAGAAACAAGACATTTATTTTGTGTGGCCTTATGTATCCAATGTTTGCATTTATTTAATCTGTAATTGTCTTTAGGTATCCAATGTTTGCATATATTTAATCTGTAATTATCTTTAGGTATCCAATGTTTGCATATATTTAATCTGTAATTGTCTTTAGGTATCCAATGTTTGCATATATTTAATCTGTAATTATCTTTAGGTATCCAATGTTTGCATATATTTAATCTGTAATTATCTTTAGGTATCCAATGTTTGCATATATTTAATCCCACCTGAAAGGCGGCCTGGAAATGATAATTTTAGTATGGATCTGCAAGTGTTACCTGATATTTTGTACTGGATATGTACAACACTGATAAAATAAAGGACAAATTTTTGTCAGACTAAAGGACAAGATGATAGAACTCAGGCCTGTAGCCAGCTTGCTAGCTTCGGAGGGGCAGTGAAGTTTTTAGGGGGGTGGGGGCACACCTGGCACAGTTAACAGTAGGTATTTTAGAGCTGTGGCCGGCAAATTTTTTTTCGAATGGGGGGGGGTAGGCAAATCATTTTTTTGGCATTGCCTTGCCCCCCTCTGACTATTGTGCCTTACAAATGATGAATTTGTACCCAACAACATCTGTGACAGGTACCTAATTTCCAGGTTTGTCTGAGAGCAATCTGATCAAAATACAGATCTATGTTTCGTTTCATATTTTTATACTTTTGATGGCCTCTACTACATGAAGATCTGACCGGTTGTAGTGGAAGGTCACGTCAGAGGTCAACCATTTAGAACAAAATTTTAAACTATAAAAAAACGAAACGAAATAGGATCTGTGTTTTAATCAGATTGATCTGAGAGCCAATGCACACAAAACAAAAGAGAACAACCCTGAATTTATTTTTGCCTGACAGAATATTGACGATGAAAAATTGGCCCGTTACCCAAATCTGATTAGAATTTTTCCTACTTTTGTAGCCTGAATTGTCTTGATTGAAAGCCTGTGCACACAAAACAAATATGAACACTGACTTCTTATTTGCCTGACTGATTAAAATACAGATCACGTTTTTTTTTTTCTTACTTTACTATCCTCATAACATGAAGATCTGACCAATTAATGTGGGGGGATGTTATAGGTGAATGTATGCTGAATTGGCATCTTTGTTTCTGGTGACCTTTCTAGAGGTTGACAAAGTATCTCCTAGAATTCTGCACATACTTTGCATAAATTTGGACTCAACCGGCCATTTCATTGGCTAAACTCTTCTTACCTCAAGTAAGACTTGGTTGATTTTTTTTTTTTTTTTTTTAAAAACAATACATAATAGATTTGCAATAAAGTCCCCAAAAACTTTGAAAAAAAAATACCCAAAAAGGATCTGTGTGTTAGTCAGAATTGGCCAACAATCAGAATTGGATCCATATTTAACCATTTCCCCCCCCCCCCAAACAACCAATTAGAATTGGATCCATATTTTAATCTGTATTGGCCAACAACCCATATCCTTTGTGTGCTTCTGTTCATATATTACAGTTATTACAACTATTTATTATAAAATTAGTCTACTTCTGTTTAGGCCTCACCAATTGGATTTTCTGTTCTTCGGGAACACCTGTTAAATAATTCTGCCCTCAATTTAGAAACAAAAAGTAGGGCTACTATTAGTTGCTCTTTCCAAAAGCTTTCGGTTCATTGAACTTTTAACAAAACATGGCATACAAGATAAAAGTGTGTTATTTATTGATCTATACCCTGTAGAACTAAATATAAAATTGGTTTGGCCTATGTTTAACAATTATCTATTAATATTTTCCAATTATAAAAATAGCCTAAATTGATGTTCTAAATGATTGTTGAATTTGCTACATTTTACTACATGTAACTAATTTTTTTTAATAAATTATGGTTAATTTATTTATGGCCTTTAAAAAACATAAGCCCCGTTTACACTTCTCAGCACGGTACCAGGCCGTAATAAATTTCAAGAAATTTACCCTTTTACATTACTCTAAAATAACTGGTGTAGTCCTGTTAGAGGTAGTAGTCATTGGTTGATATCATGGCAACCATTGACATCAAAGACTATAGTAAAAGTTATCCTCTGCTGAGTGTAGAGATAGATGTCATTGGTTGATACATGTACCATGGTGACATCTATAGTATAATGGTGTGACCGATGAGTTATCTACCGCTTGGGTGTAGTTAGAGGTAGGTTTGTACCATGGCGACACTAGTAAAATTTTCATTTTTTGAACCTAGATAATAGTGATGGGGCGTGGAGAGAGAGCAATAGGGTTTACTGCCACACGACACAAATACGGTTCCATTTTATTTGAATAATTCGCTTGACATACAGTTTCTTGAGCTGTGGGAGGAAACTTTAGAAAACCCACAAGATTTAGGGTGGGGTATAATGAAATGGGGATTAACGTCCTACTATTCTGCTCCTACTGGGGTAATAAAGACGGGTACGCCATACAGCGTGCTGAGGGAAATTTTTCCAGGACAGCAGCGCCACGGTCTACTCTTATATCAAATTCCAATTGCCAAGTGATCTTGTCAAGTGGGTATAAAGAAAACACATATGATTGAAATGTACACTAGTTTATTTTGATGTGTAATAATAAAATATGCAAATGAGACGAAATAATATTAGCACGTTTAAAATATTCAACACATTTTTATACAGCATTCTTCTCAACAAATATAAAAGCTCTCCAATACACACGTACATCCCATGACGTCATTCTCGATTCAACAAATCTCAGCACTTTGACTTCTTTACGAATATTCTGGTATGCTCAAAAATTCTTAAAGTTGTCCGATTCTATTCTTCTATTTAAAGTATGATCAAAGCCAAATTAGAAACAATCCTAATTAAAGCTCTATTGTGACAAACTAGACTACATGATCATAGCTACATTTTTTAAAAAAAAAACCAGGCCATATTTAATAGGGAACACACCATACCCACTGGTGTTATGTTATAGAATTGACATAAAAACTATCCAATCGTAAAGCTGGTTGGTATTACAAACTAGACTACATGATCGCTAGGGAACACACTGTAACCACTGGTATAAGGTTATAGATGTGAAATAAAAGCTATTCAAACATAAAGATGGTTGGTATTACATAAATAATATACACTTTATTAAGCAGCCTTGTTTTAATAAGGAATTGACCTCAAGTTTAGTAGACTTGAACATCATGTTCCATTAGCTACACAGTCTGTTATCATGAATAGGGTGACCCACCATAAATAAATATCTCCATATATCTCGACAATTACGCCACAATATTTATATATATGCCAAGCCTCAAATCAGTTTCACACAATTATAGTCACTAAATAAACGATCATGTTGTACTTAATAAGCTATGACCATTAATCATGTATAAATAATAGACTGAAAACTGGTTCCAAGAGTCGTCCATAACATCCAGACACTTTTGAGTAAAAGATAGGTTACGTGCCCTTGTTTTGAAATTAGTCTCGCTTAACCAGTCTATCGACCATTCTACGTCTGATTGACAGGTCGGGATAATCAAGACTACTTTTTTACGAAACGTACCAGAAAGCTAGAACAAGAAATTGAATTTAGAAATAAGCACGTTAGGTAGCTCAACAATCGTTTTAAGAAGCTTGTAAAAGTAAAATGAAACTACTGCTAGTATCATGTTCCTGCCTAACCCGAGTGATTCAGATATATTATTTGTACTAAACCAAAAGATGCCGCTCTTAACGGTACAGTCAATGATAAAGCGATTTAAAAAATGAAACGAACGTAATTTCTAAATCTGCTGTAATAACCAAGAAGCTTAATTTAACTGCTATCCAAAATCGTCGACAATAAATTTTTTACGGCTGTAATAGTTGATAGATTTGTAGAGAATTGCACGTGCCATGGCTATTTATAGTATCATACTGTCAGAAAGTTGGTCTCGCTTCAGTGGTAGTCTCGAACTATCAGCGGTGGACTGTATTTTTGTGAGTACATGGGCCACCCTATCATGAACCAAAGTTCAGTAAGTACTGAAGCATCATACCCAAACTTTGCCTTGTGGAGACCAATGTTGAACAAGGGAACATAATGCCACTTTAAGTACTAGTGATACAACTATTAGCAACTGGAAAAACTAGACAGAACTGCTATTAGTGCTAGCAATACTTCTTAAAGACCTACTAAACAAGGCTATAGAACCATCAAGGCCACTAAATGCATTTTGTTAGCTGAATATGCTAAAGGCCAATTATTCTGGATAACAAAGACTACATGCTCATTTGTATTGCAGTCCAGTGTTACAAAAAAAACCCTAGATAACAGAGACAATGAGTAAAGTTATAAATTAGTTGTATCCATTCAGCTTTATATTGGTTACTAAAGGACTGGATAACAGAGACAATGAGTAGTGTTACAAATTAGTCTTATCCATTCAGCTTTATATTGGTTACTAAAGGACTGGATAACAATGATTTATACAGTGTGTTAATATGTGTATAACAATGATTTGTCGCATGGTATCAAATGAGATAATGTAAAATGAAATAAAATGATTCGTATGAGAAAAAAAACCAAGTGAGATTAAATCTTAACACTGGTCATGTGACATACAATCACTGGTCATGTGACATACAATCACTAGTCATGTGACACACAATGATTGGACAATATATATATAAATATTTACAATAACTTGTTAAAACGATATCCCTTAGACGATGATTCCATTATTTTGTTGATCTGCGGGATGGTTCTGATGCAGTCGGAGGTGGGGGAACACCTTTTCTCTCGAGGTCTTCAATATATGACATCAATATCTTATTTCGTTCATTTTCATCACAGGACAGCACCAAGTATCTCTGGTCATTCTGAAATAATATTGGAAATAAATTACTACTGAAAATAATCTCGGAAAAGAGATCAAGGGCTATGACTCTGAATGGCCTAATCAGAAATCAACATGCATTTTCAAATTATGATCATAAATACCATGTATATATTGCAAAGCAATCAGATGGTAACTTGATCTACTGGGGCTCAAGTGATCAAGAGAGAGAGATATGGGGTTTAATGTCCACTCTGCACAAATTCGGTCATTTCAGGACTAACACATGGTTCAATTTTACTTCAATAATTCTCTTGCGATTGGGGGTCTTTAGCAGTGGGAGGAAACCCACAAGGTTGGTTCATCAATCATACTCCTTGTGACGTACAAGCCAGGAATCAAAACCATGTCACTTGACTCGACTTAATGACAGACCTTATGATGTCATGTGCACTCGTTAAAACCACTAGACCCTCCACTAATAATGATAAATTACCTCTAATATAGTTATAATATCTTTAAAATGATTATCACTTTCTTCTATCATTTTCTTTGACCTAAAAAAAAAAAAAAAAAAAATGAGAAATAATATACAACTAAATATCATCAAGATAGCCAAATTCATTACATTGAAAATTTGTAAATCACTATGAAGTACACCATCCTATTTGAAAGAAATGTAATGGGGTTTAGCGTCCTATTTTTCTGCACCACCAGGGCTAATGATTATACGCATACTTCATGCCTTGTGCTATGGCCTCATATTTTTCACCCCATCCAAACAACAAGACATTTTTCTTGCCAGGATAAAAGTCCTGCACCACTGACAAGGGAAACGAAATGAAATGAGGTATAACGCCCCACTGTTCTGCTCTGACTAGGCATTTGCTATACAGTGTGCTATTAGGGGAATTTTGCCTGGACAGCAGCGCTACGGCCTACTCTTATTTCGACAACAGGAAGGAAGGCTGGAAAATCCTGAGGAACTTTCTGGCTAACACCTGGGACCTCCAAATTTTAACGAAATGAGTAGGATGTATTTGGAAAAGATAGGTGGCCAGGCAATGAGACATAAGCCTATAGAAGCTAAGTCGTCAGGGCAGTCCACAAGGGTTGTCGTATATTTTTTCTTTTGTTGATATGGAAAGCATTTACAAGTTTCAATTGATTAAGTAATTATCAGAAATCATTAGAATTTGTTTTACTTAGTGTTCTGCCCAATACTAATGTTTAATATACAAAACATTTCATATCAAGTATTTAACACTTCAGGTTATTAGAAATTTAGTTTAAACAATATTTTATTCAATAAACTGAATTGGATTGAACAACAGGCAAGGCCTATATAAGTTCTCTCCAAACATATAAAATAGTTAAATCTTATGTTTACAATACAGTGGTGACATATGTACAGACAGTGATATGCTTCTTTGTCTCAAGAGATGTTAAACACTGTATAAATTTAAAGTCAATCGAATATTAACTTACTTATATGTAATGAGTTTATTTTCTTTCAACAATTCACGGAAGTTAGTCTTCGCTTGTACAAACTTCTCATGTTGATATTCTAAAAACTCCTTTTCTCGCTTCTAAAATAAATATAGAAAAAATATAAAATTTATTTTCAAAATGTAAAATTTATTTTCAAAATGTAAAATTTATTTTCAAAATGTAAAATTTATTCTAAAAATGTAAAATTTATTCTAAAAATATATAATTTACTCTAAAAATATAAAATTTATTCTAAAATTTGCCCATGTCAAACTAAATTGTCCATATTAAAAGTGAATGAAAACACACTGACAAGTAAAATTTAACGCCAACATGTTTCCTAACCAGGGGATGAAAGAGACAGGGGTTAAGCATCCTCTCAATGCAAACTATGTCATTTTGGGACTAAAATATGGTACCCTGCATGTAGGAAACTGTGAGGAAACCTAAGAGGTTAGGTAAAGCACAATTTTAGACCACTAATAACATGACTTTTTTTGCAGTAACAACTCAAATTCAAGTTTCGACAACAGGAACTTATAATGTTAATGGATATAATCATGAGTTGAGAGAGAAGAGAAAGAGAGAGAACTGCGGTTTAACATCCACTCGACACAACCTAGATCATTTCGGGACTAACGTTGGTTAAAAAAATTTATTTCAGTAATTCGCTTGCGTGTGCATAAGGATCTTTAGCAGTGGGAGGGAACTTGAGGACAGGGGAATAAAAACCACATCACTTGACTGATGACAAGAGGTTAGGATTTGGACCACCCAACCCCCCTCATCATGAGCAACCCCGGCACTGCTTCCTCAGAAGCTTCTTAGGCATAGAAGTTAATTAACTGGCTAAAAGAGATGGTGAAGATTTGAATATCAACATATTTTGTTTATTTTGCGACTAACATATGGTACTTTATAAACATGCAACTTACCCGGTCACTTGAAGAGAATTTTGAGGATCTTGGATCTTCTTTTATAATTTTCTTGACCTCTTTCCAACTAGCATTTAAACTGATCTATTTAAATATAATATCAACAAGTCAATTAAAATACATCAACTAGTCAATTAAAATACATCAACTAGTCAATTAAAATACATCAACAAGTCAAAAAAAATAATAAATTTCAGTTGACAGCCATGTGTACTTTAACAGAAAGGAATAGTTTATCGTATGATCTGCACAATATTTTACCTGGACAGTGCTTATCGAATTTTAACCGTCAAGGTGTCTTTTACCTACATGCCAATGTGTATACATGTACATATATGCATTAGATTTTCGGAGTCATTATAAAAAAACTTGAGTCTTGCAAACTGAATTTTGTTAAAAATTTCAAAACTTAAAGATCTTTTTTAGGGCAACCAATCATTTTTGTTTTGACATTATTTCGCCCCTCTTAAAAACAAAACATCAAATGGTTGTGGTCATTAAGTTTTGGAAATTTTAGAATTTATTATGGAAAATGAAATGGGAATTACTGTCCTTTTTTTCAGTTCAAACTGGGCTAATAGAGACGGTCATCCTTATGATGCTATGAGGTAACTTTTGCCAAGACAGCGGTGCTACAGTGAGTAAGACCTTGGCTCAATCCCTGCATTGTCGACAAAGTTCATCAGGATTTTCCTGCGTGGTTCCCACTGGCAAGGTTTGTAGAACAGAGAACCTGGCAAAGGACAACGTATAGTCGTTCGGATGGAAAAACCGAGGTCCAGTGTACACATTGGCATGCACGTAAAAGAACACCTGACTGATGGAATTGTTCAGGCAAAATTTCCTTCATAGCACACTGCATGGCGCATGCCCATCTTCATTAGCCCAGGACGTTAAAACTCCATTTCATTTCATTTCTGCCTTGCGAATTCAAATTTTTCTAGAATATATATTCAGCCTTACCTCTGTTTCATCAAGCAGTTTGTGAAACATTTCACGATTTCTTTTGTTTAAATTTTCGACGTGTTCATCAAATAATTTCTCCTTTTCACTTCGTTCGATTTGTTCAGCCAAATCCCATCTATGATCTTTACGTAACTGCTTTCTTGTATCACGCCACGACGCTTCTGAATTACGAACCTACAAGTAAAAATAATATTTATAAAAATTAGCCAAGAGTTTAAATCAAATACGAGGGATTTTAAGTATCTTTACAATCTCTAATTGGCACATATTGTCAAGAGGGATAGGAAGAGGAGGAGAGGAATGGGGTTTAACATCCACTCGACATAAACTAGGTCATTTTAGGACTAACTATTCCCACACCCCACCCCAAAATGGATACAAATGGAGTTTATTTAAACATACCAGATCAGCAAGAAGAGCGTTAAAATGTTGTATCGCCTCGTCTTTTTTATGTTGTTCTCTCCCCTTATCACGATCACGGAGAGACGAGGATAGTGATTCTTGGACTTCCTCTTCACGTTTACGGATACTTTCACGGATTCTGTCCTGTTTCTGTTTTTCTTTTCTGCCATCATCGTCTGAATCCTGATATAACAAAAATAAAAAAACAGACAATTATTGATTACATGTACTTCGAACAACGAAAATCAAAAATTTACATGGGGTATGGGTCGGAATACTTGATTTTGGATGGTATAGCAAGATTTCATAAAGATTTCCTATAATTTTGATGTGCTTGGGATATATTCATTCAAGTGAGTCGCCCCATGAAATTTAGAGGACTGTTACACTCATTCGACATAACTCTTCAACCAGTCAGAATCCACGAAAATTTCCATTTTGGGCTACAATCAAGTATAAACTGTGTTAACACTGTAAAGGGATTCTTCCAGCCATCGGTTGTACTTTATGTAAGGAAGAGAGAGAGAAATGGGGATTAACGTCCACTCGACACAAACTAGGTCATTAAGGGACTAATATATGGTTTAATTTTATTTCAATAATTCGCTTGCAGGTAGATTTCTTTGGCAGTGGGAGGAAAGAGGGAAACCGGAGAACTGGAGAAAAACCCACGAGGTTGGACTTTTTGTAAGGCGTTAACTTGTCAGTCTTTGAGTTGGGTTTTATTTTTGAGTACAATGTGAGTATATCCAATATTGATATAATGGATTTGAAAACAAACGAAGCTCTTTAAATTCATCTCCTGTAGTGGGAGGTCGCATCAGAGATCATACGTGCAGCTTTTGACCCTATGACCTCAGACATTTGATTAACCAATCAGTGTTAATGTTTCTAGTGGGTTACCCACAGTTCCATGCAACTCACACCAATGACTCGGTGTAACAGACCGTTCATTGGCTAATCCCTCACATCATCCAAAACCCGGATTATACCAACTCTTTCAGATCCTAGTGTAGTAAAGACAAGTAAAACAAAATTCTGAACTATAAAAAACAAAACGAAATAGGACCTGTGTTTTAATCAGAATGAATGGTAATCATAAATAAAGTGTCTTACATCATCTAGCGTCTTGACGTAATCACGGAACCAATCTTCACGTCTGGAACTACTATCAACCGCATCGTAGCGCGGATCAGAATTAATCTTTTTCTTGATTTCGCTCCAGCGTGATTTACGATCAATGTCGGACGTCTCCTTCAACAGTTTGATAAAATCAGACTTCAACTGAAATTAGAAAATATCGTAAATTAGTTTCATGGATTTACAAAAGTTCTGGGGGAAAATTTCTGAAATAGAAAATACATTAACACTGAAAGACAAATAAGAGCTTTCTTTGTGAAATTGACAGCCATGTTATATTTTATGATTTTTTGGACATAGAACAAGACAATTTAACAAAACGGTTTGAAATTAAAATAATTAATTAATATTGTTCTTCTTTAATTAATATTATCATAATTGTACAGTAAGACAGAAAGGGTAAATAGAAAGATAAATTATGTAAAATCTCTAATAAGAAAATCTGAAATGTTTCAAAGTAGTTCAGATACAAATGTCTGATAAGAAAATCTGAAATTTTTCCAAGTAATCCAGACACAAGCCTAAATGATAAAAAAAATTCCATTGATAATGATAATCAATTTGTATATAGCTCAGTGTTGTAGCTAATGAGCTGCTCTCTAAGGCACTCTCAATTCAATAAAAGTCAAATAATTCACCTATTTCTTTATAGAATTTTTTCGAAATTTGTTCCAGTATTTCTTATAAAATTTCTTCTTTTTTTTAAATATATATTCATTATTTAAGTTTTTTTCAAAAAGAGATTTTACATAAATTTCATAAATGGTGACAGACAGAACTTTTCCCATAAATGAAAAGAAATAAATTGAAAAAGGATTTTTAAAATCATCTGAAGTATGTAATTGGTTGAAGATAAAACAATTGATTTGAATGCAATGATTTTCAATTTTTTTAAATAATTACAAATTCTAGGATTTCAAAGAAAATCTGACAAATTAGGCAGACAAATATGTCATACTGATTCCATGCATTAACTCTTTAATTCAGTTTTAACGGCTCTATGTCCTGAATAAATCTTTTTTAAAATTGTGATTAAAAAAATATAAAATAAATTGAGTTATGCCAAAAATAATTAATTCCACATATAACTAAAATTACAGTTGAATAATGCCGCTATTCAACATTGTCATTGTTACATTACTAATGCAAGTGAAGATATTGGCTTTTAATTCTATATCATTACATCACCACTTTGTAAAGTGTTCCTGAGCACCTTATATGAAAGGGCACACTATAAATATGCTGCAATAATAATAATCAAAACGATCACAGTACAGTCAAGGTTGGAGATCCCACAATCATGAATTTTCATTCTTTAGTTTTGGCTTAACTGATTTAATTTTGAATGACCAAATGAAATGGGGATTTAATCTCCTACTTTTCTGCACCGTCGGGGCTAATCAAGACAGTTTGAATATTGCTTTTATTTAGCAATGGAGTTTTTACTTTTCTCTAAAATTGACAATTTGGAAGAAGAAACAAGCCTTCTGTGACGGTTAAAAAATATTCAAGATACATAACAGTTGTTGCTTGAACAAATAAACTTGTGAAAATTCTTATTTCGTTATACACAGGTAGGTCAAATTTCAAAAAGGATTCAAAATATTTAGAAATTTCTATTTGTTTTTGTTTTTTAGGAATTTTTAAAACTTTTTGTGGCAATGGCAAAATAGAAGACAGGCTTCCATTAACATCTCTGGAAATTAATGATTTTTTGGTTGTTTTTTTTTCGAAGGAAAAACCCCAACAATATGTTCGTCTTAATGCAAGGATCAAACTTTTTGTCTGCTTAATTTGTCTGATATCAAAACATGAATGTAGAAACATTATACCAGGCACAGAGCCAAATAACATGGATCAATTGTTCCGCAACACGCTTTATGGTCAGTCCCACAATGCATTGTAACTGATTCTTTGTGACTTCCTGTTTACTTGTCAGTTGAGCTGATTTGAGTCGACTCGTCGTCTTGATATAAAGGACACAAGCCAAAATAAATTACAAATATCATCTACATTTTAAATTTTACAACTTTACTTTTGGGCCTTTTGTCTTTTTTTTGGGGCAGGTTGACAATTCTACTTTACTTTCGTTTTCTTTTGTGTAAAAAATAATTCATTTCTTAAATGAACTAAAAAGAACAAAAAAAACAATATTTGGTTTTATCAAATTAAATAAAGCTTTAAAATTTATCGGCCCAAAAATAAAATTTTCATATTCATTTTTCTTCTCTTTAGATTTGAAATATTGGAATGTTGTCTTCGATTTAAAAATTTAATTTAAAATTGATCAAAAATAATTTTTCTATCGTTATCTCATTTGGATTGTGTTCATTCAGATTTACGACTTATTGTATTTTTCTTTAAATGTTATTATTAAATTACATTTTATAAAACAAAAAAGCTGAAATAAAAATTTGATTAGTTGAAACAAACTGGAGGCACTTCAACACGGTAAATTGAGACCGAAATATGGTCATGATTTCTATTAATGAATCAATGAAATGGGTTTTTTTACATCCTACATTTCTGCACTAGCAGGGCCAATGAAGTTAGATATTTCTGCTAATGTCACATATTTGATTAATGGGGGGGGGGGGGAGCACATTTTGTGGCAGCACGATTATTCCATAAATGCTTTAGGATCTTTAACAGACAATGAAATGGGGTTTAACGTCCTACTGTTCTACACCGACTGGCTAATAAAGATGGGCTCAGACAAAGAGGCAAGTTATGTGAAATTGTCTGCAACAGCCAATGATGTCTGTGTTTTGTGTTGTGCTCCAGAATGTTTAATGTTTTTTCAACATTCAAATTCAATTCATTCAACAATGTATGACACAATTTATCAAAATTTTTATAGAATTACAAACATTATAATATCAAAAATTATACTATTCTGAAATAAAATTATTTAGTCATGAAAAAAATAAAATAATAAATAAAATAAATGCATAAATTAACATACAATTTTGAACACGGACAAGGGGTTTATCATATTCATTACGAAATATCAAATTATACATGGATTAATCAATGAGAAAATATAAATTATGAAAATTTGATTCATTCTGAGAAATCTAATAATTTTATTTTTAATGACGTTTAAATGTGAATAAAATTGATCATAAATTGAGGAACTGCAGATATGGCAAATACTTACATTTTTCTGTGAACAAAAAAATATATCAGACTCTTGTCAAGAATTTAATTTTTTATAAATAAATTACCTATCGCTAATTAAAATGGATAGGCCTTTCATCTCGGTCGAAAGTAAAATTTACGATTTCATTGGTTTTTAGTATTGATTTGTTTTGTGGGATGGGGGAGAGAGAGAGAGAGAGAGAGATGGGGTTTAACCTCCACTGTCCACTCGACACAAACTAGGTCATTTCGGGACTAACATATGGTTCAATTTTATTTCAATAATTTGATTGCGCGTAGGGGTCTTTAGCAGTTGGAGGAAACCGGGGGACCCAGAGAAAACCCACAAGGTAGGACAGGCAGTTGCAGAGGACCTCTGAAGATTTGGAAAATTACATGTTTCATATAAACATAATTGATATTTTATACTGGTATTGAAAGTGGAGTGGATGGGGGTGACACCTGGATTTGTCACTGGTTGTCGGATCGGAGTTAAAAATTATATTCGTGTGAACCTTACTTCAACACTAGAAAATTATGCCATGAAATGTTCTTTAATTTGTGTTGGGAATTGTTGGCAAAGCAGTCAGTGTGCTTCACACATTAAGGACAAAAACAAACCGATTATTCTGATTGGCTCTAATAAAAGTCAGTGGGTCAGAGTTTAGAAACTGTTAGAGAGAGAAATAGGGTTTAACGTCCACTCAACACAAACTTGGTCATTTCGGCACTAATGCATGGTTCTATTTTATTTCAATAATTCGCTTGCATGTAGAGGTAATTAGCAGGGGGAGGTAACCAGAGAATTTTTTAAGATGTGTATTTTAACAAGATTGAGAATTATCCATTATTAGGATCCGCCTATTTGAATCACAGGCGACTTGTTAACTTTTTTTTTCTTTTAAATATTTGAATTGAAATAAAATTCTTGACTCAAGAATGAATGATTAAGGTGGATAATTTAAAATGGAGGTTAATATTCGAGGATTCATAAAGCAGGTGAAAATATCAATCTTAATAAAAAAAAAACAACAGCTTTTTTTTGGTCAACGCTAAAAAATATCTCTTCTGCAAATAAAAAGATTGAAAAATAGAATTTCTAACATTCAGTGAATAATCTTCAGAAATCATTTGAGTGAATCCCTAGTTTTTAGGATACTGCAATTGAGTAAAGATTATCGTAAATATACCGGTCTCAAACCAACCATTTTAATTTCTTAAAATCGCAGATTGTCAATTGCATTTTTCCTATAAAATCAATTTTTAGCGAGTAATTTCTCCGCTTCGATTAAATTGTCACATACAACCGGGGAATCGAAACCAGGCCAGTTGACTCAATGACAGACCTTATGATACAGCGTGCACGTGCTAACCATTCGCCCCTCCCTTCCCCTCCGATTAAAAAGAGGCTATTGAAAAGACTTCAATGAAAATCATAGGTGGCACTGGATGTATACTACATCCTGTATATCATCCACAGGAGCCGTCTGATGCCGAAAAATTTTCAATGTAACTGTAACTATTTGTAAATAATGAATAGAACTAAACCATTTTCATTGAATCATATCTTCGTAAATAATGAATAGAACTAAATCATTTTCAATACATTATACCTTCGTAAATACCAAACGGAACTGAACCATTTGTAAATAATGAATAGAACTAAACCATTTTTAATACATTATATCTTTTTAAATACCAAACGGAACGGAACCATTTGTCAAGAAGTAACGCTCTCAAATGACGATCAGAAAATTGAACCAAACTGATTTTGGTCATCTCAATAAGAACGTTAAAACAAGTCTGAGCAATTTCTTTGTTGAATTTCAGAAAAGAGATCTTGACTTTCTAAAATTACACAAACAAAAATTCTACAAAGCTTAATCAAACAAAGAAATAAATCTTATTAACAGCAAAAATCAAAAGTGCTCTGAATCCTCGAATTTCTCCAGGAAATAAGAAACCTATCAAACCACTACTCTGGTGAAAACCTACCTTTTCCTTCTGACTAGATTTCTCTTCCTTTTCTCTACGACGTAAATCAGACGTGTAATCGCTGAACAACGACTCTCTTTCTCGCATCTTCTCAATCGCTTTAAAACGATCATCCTTACCATATTTAGAAGCGAAATCACTAAAAGACGACCTGCAAAAAAGTTTCAATTAAAAAAAATATAAAAAAATGAGGTGACAACAAGAGTGTGTGTGAGAGAGACTAGCATATGGTTCAATTTTATTTCATTAGTGGGAGGAAACACAAGTTTGGACAGATGACCCTAGTCCTTGCCACCTACTAGCAGGAAATCAAAAGGTCATTTGATTCAATGACAGACCTTCTGGTCAAACGCTTTAACCCATTCGACCACAGGCACTATTGAAGTTGTATCCCTGAATATTCCTGGGAAGAGAGAGAGAAATCGGGTTTATTTTCCACTAGACACAAACTAGGTCATTTCAAGACTAACATATGGTTTAATTTTATTTCAATAATTCGCTTGCGCGTAGGGGGAAACCGGAGGACCCGGAGAAAACCCATGAGGTTGGACAGGCGACCCTACTCCTTGCCATGTCCACTTGGGACATCGAAACCACACCAGTTGACTCAATGACTGACGTTATGATACAATGCACATGCGATTCCTGGGAGGAATCAATTCCATCTTTTACCCCAAAAAGTAGCTGGAAACAGGATTTTTTTTTAATAGAACAAGCCAACAGTGAGGCTGATGTCCCCCGCCGAAATCCCCAAATAAATAGATGACACATATTAATTTATCGCACATCTATTTTTTTCCAAAGTATCAAGCAATCAAACTGATTATCAACTATACACTAAGTTTCATCACTCTCTATCAGATAGAATCAAAGTTATCTTGTCCCAAAGCAGGAAATTGCTTATCTCTGCTTAGCTTTAGCTCGATATGTTAATCATTGAACTCAGTCAAGACGAACATCTAGATCAAGTTTAAACATTCTACCTCAATTAGAAGAAGAGTTGTTGAACTCAGTCAAGACGAACATCTACATCAAGTTTAAACATTCTACCTCAATTAGAAGAAGAGTTTGACCAATCAAAATGCTTATTGCTCGTTAGCCTAAGCAGAAAATTCTCATCATCGAACTTAGTCAAGGTATTGATGTAATGAAACTATACAACAAGTTTCATCACTCTCACTTAATTAGAACTAAAGTTATCGTGTTCCAAAGCGTCAACCAAACAAATTGCTTATCTCTGCTTACCCTAAGCAGAAAATGCTGATCTTCGCACTCCATCAAGGCATTGACCTCATAAACCCCTACACCGAGTGTGAACATTCTAGCTCAATTAGAAGGAGGGTTATTGTGTTCCAAAGTCTCGGCCAATCAAATTGCTTATCGCTCTGCTTACCCTAAACAAAAAAATGCTCATCATCGAACTTAGTCAAGGTATTGATGTAATGAAACTATACACCTAGTTTCATCACTCTCACTTAATTGGAACTAAAGTTATCGTGTCCCAAAGCATCAACCAATCAAATTGCTTATCTTTGCTTATCCTCAGCAGAAAATGCTTATCTTCATACTCCATCAAAGCATTGGCCTAATAAACACCTACACCAAGTTTGAACATTCTAGCTCAATTAGAAGGAGGGTTATTGTGTTCCAAAGTCTCGGCCAATCAAATTGCTTATCGCTCTGCTTAACCAGAGCAGAAAATGCTCATTATCGAACTTGGTCAAGGTATTGATGTAATGAAACTATACACCAAGTTTCATCTCTCTCATTTAATTAGAACTAAAGTTATCGTGTCCCAAAGCATCAACCAATCAAATTGCTTATCTCTGCTTACCCTATACCGAAAATGCTCATCTTCGAACTCCATCAAGGCATTGACCTAATAAACACCTACACCAAGTTTGAACATTCTAGGTCAATTAGAAGGAGAGTTATCGTGTCCCAAAAAGTGGGACGGACGGACGAACCCATTTTAATAGTCCCCTGCTTTCTTCGAAAGGCGGGGGACAAAAATTAATTGAAAATCAATATACTTGTTTGTCTCAAGATCTTAAACTCTGTGTATCAATCTGAAGTCAATCAGATATTAACTTTGGCCTCAGAAATCTTTGAAAATCAATAGGATTCTTCGCCTCGTGACCTCAAACACTGTGTATAAATTTAAAGTCAATCAGATATTAACTTTAGCCTTTAGAGCATCCACATGGTTTTTTGAAGTGATCGAGGGCCATAACTCTAGCAGTAACAAGGCATTGACCTAATCAACACATACACCAAGTTTGAACATTCTAGCTCAATTAGGAAGAGAGTTATCGTGCCCCAAAGTATCAACCAATCAAATTGCTTATCTCTGCTTACCCTAAGCGGAAAATGCTCATCTTCGAACTCCATCAAGGCATTGACCTAATAAACACATACACCAAGTTTGAACATTCTAGCTCAATTAAAAGTTATCGTGTCCCAAAGCATCAACCAATCAAATTGCTTATCTCTGCTTACCCTAAGCGGAAAATGCTCATCTTCGAACTCCATCAAGGCATTGACCTAATCAACACATACACCAAGTTTGAACATTCTAGCCCAATTAGGAAGAGAGTTATCGTGTCCCAAAGCATCAACCAATCAAATTGCTTATCTCTGCTTACCCTAAGCGGAAAATGCTCATCTTCGAACTCCATCAAGGCATTGACCTAATAAACACATACACCAAGTTTGAACATTCTAGCTCAATTAGGAAGAGAGTTATTGTGTCCCAAAAAGTGTGACGGACAGACAGACGGACGGACAGACAGACGGACGAACCCATTTTAATAGTCCCCTGCTTTCTTCGAAAGGCGGGGGACAATGAAAACTTTTATCCTACAAAATAAAATAAAATTGGTTCATTCTTACTTTCCGTGTAATTTTGATTCCTCCATCAATTGACGGAAAGCGTCTTTCTTTTCTCGTAATTTCCGGTGTTTTTCACGTCTCTCCTCTTCTGCTCTTTCCTTTACGTACTGTTCGAACACTTGCTTCCTCTCCTTCGACGTCAGTAGTAGATAGCGGGGATCAAACACGATCTTATGTAGTTCCTTCTCCCACGTGGAAAACGCAGAAACCTGAAAAATAAAACAAGAATTGAAGGTGAGAGAGAAATGGGGTTTAACGTCCACTCGACACTAACTAGGTCATTTCGGGACTAACACAGGGTTCAATTTTATTTCAATAATTTGCTTGCGCGTAGAGGTCTTTAGCAGTGGGAGGAAACCAGAGGACCTGGAGAAAACCCACGTACAACCGGGGAATCAAAACCCTGCCAGTTGACTCAATGACAGACCTTATGTAACAGCGCACACATGCTAAACATTCGGCCATCCAACCCCCCAGAATTGAAGGTACATTGTTCCTGACAAAAGCTTGTCTTATAAGAAAGTGTATATTTTTCATCTTTTATAAGTATGTTTGTGTGTGGATGTGTTTGTTAGGGGACACTAAACAAAATAGAAAAAGCAATGGGGTTTAATTTCCACTCGACACAAACTAGGTCATTTTGGGACTAACTTATGGTTCAATTTTATTTCAATAATTTGTTTGCGCATAGGGGTCTTTAGTCGTGGGAGGAAACCGGACAACCCATGGGGTTGAACAGGTGACCCTACTCCTTGTCACATACAACCAAACAAAACAACTTTTTTATCCCCAAGGAATTTAATGGTGCTATTTTTTTTGTGCAGTATTTAATGATGGAATTGACACTTAATGAATATTGCGTTATTATCGGAGCTACAAAAATGGAGAAAAACTCAACCCCGCAATGCAAGACAACACTGCTAGTTACATACACTACAGCTTGGATATCGTGCAGTTGTGCTGTTTTAGTGGGAGTTTCTGTATCTAATCTTTAGTTTCAAACTAATTTTGGCAAATTGTTAAAAGTCATATTTTCTAAACTATGCAACAATAAGGCTGACCTTAAAAATATCTTTGTTTCACCAAACCCGACCCACAATCGAGGAGAAGGGTCGGTAGGTCGGTTTTTTTTTCAGATTTTTTTTTAAAGTCAGAGAAATCAATACAGAAAACTTATTAGCTGTATACTACAGATTCATTAATTTTGTTTAATGAATTTGGGGTCTGACGTAAAAAGTAACGAACTGAAAGTTTTTATTAAACTTAAGAGCTAATTTGACAGCTTAATAATTTTCCGGGTGGAAACATTCGTCTTCTTTATTGGCAAACAAATCAATGACATCGGGATTTTTCGTGATGCCCGACTCGCACACGATTAGCCACGAACTTGAAGTGTGAAACTCCTTCAACACGTTTTTAACGATAGTGCGCGTTGTGCTTTCATTTTTCTCGAAAACGGATATTGAAAATATCGTCGTCATGTTTAAAACTACGCACCACAGACATAGAGGCAGAATTATTTCGTGGGAATGGACGTGTATTCGTCTGCAACCATTTTGTTGAGAAGCGACACCTATGACGCTTTCGTCTTGATCAACCAGTTTCAATAATGAATCAAACCATAGCCATAGTATAGGGAAATAACTCTCATGATATATTTCAGGTTGACACACAAAATAAAATAAAAAGATCGTGGAAAAGTGCAATAAAATAATTTAAGTCGGGGGTGGTTTTAGTTAGTCGGTCGCGTTAGGCGAAACAAAGATATTTTTAAGGTCAGCCTAAGAAGCCAATAGTTTTTGATGATTCTCAGTAAATTAGAACAATTTTCCAACAATGGTTTGAAACTAAACATTAAATACAGAAACTCCTGCTAAAACAACTACTGTCTGTTCCAGGTGATACTCCGACTCTAAATTTGCTTGCCATTTATTCATTTTTTAATTAAAATGGCTAAATCTTTGCGACATACCTGGAATTTTCATCCCTTTGATTTCTTCCCTTAGAATAAATGACTAGACGTCTCATAAAATCCAGTATTCTCTTGAAAATTTCACATATTTAAACATTGTCACTTTCTCAAAACATAAACATTATGACTACGCGTGCGTTAAATGGAACACTTGCATTTCGCATTAGGGTAGACAGGTACTTTACAAATTTGGTGCATTCGGTTAGAAATGTCTAGTGAAGGAGAATTCGCCCGTTTGTTTCGCGACAATAATACTTATTAGGGTTTCACACTTTGGAGCTTGCGTGAAACAATATTGTTTTTGTTCGGATGGACATGTTTTTTTTTCTGTTTGACCTTGCTTATTTCGCAGAAAAATGCTTATTGGATAATTTGGAGTGGATAAAAGCTATTTTGAAAAGACGGCACATGTCAGAACCATGGAAACTTTCCGAAATAGGTAATTTGGTGTAAAATGTTTGACCTTATTTAAATTTGAATAAATATATCGGTTAATATGATTCAGAGTTTTGTTTTCTGAGACTTTATAGCTCTATTTGAGAGCAAATTCTGGTATTCCTTTTAAAATAGATCTTTAGATTTAGGCACAAAAGATTTGTTTCTGGTGTTGATAGTAGAAAAGAAAAAAAAACAGCAAACGAATCTTAGGAAAATATAATCCCTTGAATAATGGAATATTGTTATGTACAATTTCAAGATAGAAAATACGCGATAATCAAGGAATGTGTCAATGCAAATCGTCATAACCCATGAATTTTGAGGTATGTACTGCAGCCGCCTTCGAAAATTTCATCACATTTCAATAGCGGGTTACAATTTCTATGTAGCTTATATCGATATCATAAAGTTACAACCCTCGGACGGAGGGCAATTAAATTGTCAAGTTAGTGGGACAACCAACCGTGGCCTGGGATCCAGTAAATATCTCTTTCAAAAGAGTTATATTCTACTGGACCGAAACAACCAACTACATATCCAATTAGGGCGAAACGACTTAAAGTCAACTCAGCACCCCTTGTCCACTTAGGTTCTTCCAGATAACTAGGCCAAACATGGCTGTTTTTAGTACCAAGATGTCAACAAACCACGATATTTCAAAGGAGAAAAGCTGTATAGCTTGGTCTGAACTTAGTTCTCACAAGACAGAAAGCAATGGGGTGACTATTCCAGGTATTTCACAAAGTTTTAGCCATTTTAATTTAAAATTGAAGAAATGGCAAGCAATTTTTGAGTCGTAGTATCACCTGGAACAGACAGTACCTGAGTTGTAGGTTATAAATCTGTATGCTTGTATTGTGAATAAAATGAAATGAAACAAAATGGCTTTAACGTCCTACTGTTCTGCTCAGACTGGGCTAATGAAGACAGACATATACCATACAGTGTGCTATGAAGGACATTTTGCCCGGACAATGGCGCCACGGCATACACTATACCAAATTCCAACAGCCAAGGGATTTTTTACGCCACGTCAATGTGTACACGGGACCTCAGGTTTTCATCCTATCCGAAAGACTTAACAGCTGTTTGTATAGTGAATAATGCACTATATAGGCCTAGTGTTGAATAATAAAAAACTGGTGAACTTACTTCTTTTTCTGCCAGCATGTCACGGAATTGCTTCATTCTGATTTCTAGAGGAACGATGGCTCTTTGTCTAGCGGCCTGAACCTCGGCTTCTATCGCAGCCTCTTTACCAACATCTATCTGTTTAGGCATGTCTTTCTTATCTTCTTTTACTGGTTCTTCTTTCTCTGTTCTACAAGCAAATAAACGGATAGTTTTATCAAAAAGGTTAAAGTGGAAATAAAAAGTTCATCTTGAACATCTGAAAGTTGAGGGAGTGATGGTTGGCTCAATGAGTAAGACTTTGGCTTGATAACATGGAGGTCCTGTGTTCTATTCCAAAGTTCTGGTCCGACTGGGCTAATGAAGACGGGCATCGCCATACAGTCTGCTAAGAGGGACATTTTGCTCGGACAGCGGCGCTAAAGCCTACTCTTATACAAAATTCCAACTGTCAAGGGATCTTTTACGTCCACGCCAGTGTGTACACGGAACAATTTGCAATTTAACTCCATAATGCATCATTAATTTCAATACACAACTTCATTCAGGCTGTCGTAACATTTTGTATTTAAATTTAAAATATTAGTTATTTTAGAAGTTAAATTTCCACCTAATTCGTAGAACAACCAAACTTACTTTTTTTTCTTGGCCTGTGGTTCGTCCTCACTCGGAGTTGGATTTTCTTTTTTCTCAGCTGAAAGAAAAGATTTTTTTTTTAAATTGGATAATAATCTTGAATAGATGTGCATATCCAGTTGAAAGTTATCACTTCAGCATTCAACATAAATCATTGTTTGATCCAGCCTCTGCCACTGTTTTAAGGGAGTTTCCCTGCCCCCAACCCCCTAGTTTCCTATAGCATTCTACATACTAAGACTTTTAGGTAAGACATGAAGCGAACATTTATTTTCTGAACTATTTTATGGACTTTATTTGGTATATGTTTGGTATTGGTTTTATCTCAATATCCAGCTACCAAAAGTTGTTCAATACAAAGCAAGCAAATGTTGTTCAATATCCAATGTTGTTCAATATTCAGCAACTAAATGTTGTTCAATATCCAATGCTATTCAATTGTCCAAAAACCAAATGTTGTTCAATACATGTACCTAAAGTTGTTTAATATTCAGCAACAGTAGTTCAATATCCATCCTCGGTTACCCAGTGTACTCATTCCGTTCTACTCCACTATACCCTGGGTTAATCCATAGGGTTTCCACGATTTCAAATTATCTGCCCTGGCCTAGAATGTAGCTACAGTCTACGAACCAATCAGAAAACAGTTTACAAACCAATCATTTCGCCTTCGTTTTTATAAGGGTAGATAACCATATTCATGTCCATTTACTGAATGATTTATGTAAATATTGTATATATTTATAATTTATTTATATTCGATTGTATTATCAAAATCTGTAGTATGTGTTGTTGATTTCAAATATGTATAACATCTATATGTTTGACTTTTGTTATTATTATAACTATTCGTTCTTTGTCTGAAATATGTCATTCTGTTATGTTTATTATTATTGAACTTATACTTGGCAATTTGATTCACAATAACTTTTCTACGATATCACATGGACATAAAATTCTGGGAACGAACGAACGATTCTAAATAAAACTAATGACCCTACATTATTATATGAACGTCTGGTCTTCATTAACATAATATATAATCGGTTGTTAATAATTACGCATTTAGAATAGGCCAACTCCTAACAATGTCCGATGAGAATTACTTACCTTTGCCAACTTCTTTTCAAATAACAATTTATGGGATTGGTAGATAAAAATAGCACACTCATCAAGGGCAGATAACTTGAAAACGTGTCTCCCCCATAGATTAACCCAGGGTATAGTGGAGTAGAACGGAATGAGTACACTGGGTAACCGAGGATGTTCAATATCAAGCAACCTAATGTTGTTCAATATTCAGCAACTAAAAGGTAGTTCAACAATTAGCAACTAATTACCTGGTTTGGGTTCTGGCTCATTTCTCAGCATAGCATCAACATCAGCTCGACCAACAAGATCTTCTGGACGTTCCCACCTAGATGTTCTCGTACTTGGGTTATAGAAGAAAACTTTCCCATCACCAGTTTTAACAACGCACCTGTAAAAAAAATAATAAATAAATTCAACAAATGTTCAATATAGAGTTAAAATATAGAGTTAAAATATAGAGTTTAATGCTCCAACATGATAGATTAAATATAGAGTTTAAAGACCCAACACCCCAGATTAAAGGTTAAATATAGATTTAAAACCCCAACATGCCAGAAGAAAGGTTAAATATAGAGTTTAAAACCCCAACAAACTTTTAAATCTTAATGTTACAAAACACGTAATTATATATACATTTCCAAAGTCTGTAAAATACAGAAATACTGGTAGAAAAACCAATGAGGTTAGACAGGATACCCTCAGATATACGCATTGGATCGAATCCATGACCTACCCTCATATACACGCATTGGATCGAATCCATGACCTACCCTCATTGGATCAAATCCATGATCTTCCCTCATATACACGCATTGGATGAGAGAGAAAGAGAAATGGGGTTTAACGTCCACTCGACACAAACTAGGTCATTTCGGGACTAACATATGGTTTAATTTTATTTCAATAATTAGCTTGCGCGTAGGGGTCTTTAGCAGTGGGAGGAAACCGGAGGACCCGGAGAAAACCCATGAGGTTGGACAGGCGACCCTACTCCTTGTCACGTACAACCGGGGATTCGAAACCACGCCAGTCGACTCAATGACAGACTTTATGATACAGTGCGCGCACGCTAACCATTCAGCCATCCAACCCCCCCCGCATTGGATCAAATCCATGACCTACCCTCTTTGGATTAAACAAATGACCTACCGTCATATACACACATTTGATCGAACACATATCATAGGCCTTATTTCCAGTGTAACAGTACTTTTGATAAGATTTGAGAAGAAGGTACCATAGAGTACCTATGACAATATATTTTAGATAAGATTTAGAAAATAACGTACCATGGTGTACCGGCGACAGGTGTACTAGATACAGGTCGAGCTTTATCAGCAGCTTTCTGTTCTTCGGTTTTCGGATCATCTTCCGTCTTTTCCTAAAATATTATCAAAAAAAAACAAACTGTTATTCAGAGTCTTGAGAACACAACTTTTGAATCGAGTTATTAAGCTACTGTGATTGAGTTGAGGTTCTTAGAAATTTATAAATAACCGTACGTTTTCATAGTCTATTAGATTTTATTTACAAGCAGTAACAAATTGTCGTATTGGTCTATGGATGAAATGAATCGTAGTGGGGTTTAACGTCCTACTGTTCTAGTCTGACTGGGCTATTGAAGACAGTGCAGCGGCAGTACAGACTACTCTTATATCGAATTCCAACTGCCAAGGGTTCTTTTATGTGCATGCCAATGTGTACACAGGACCTGTTTTCCATCCCATCCGAACAACTATACAGTGTTCCTTGCCAGACCTTCTGTCCTGCACCACTGACAAGGAGCAACCAAGCCAGAAAATCCTCATGAACTTTTTCGGCCAAGACCAGAATCAAACATTGGACCTCCAGGTTAGCAGGTAAAAGGCCTAGCGGTAAAAGTATTGATTTTTTTTTTCTTATACGACACAAGTGCTGCTGCTTCCAGCATGTGCTTTAAAGCACTTAAAAATGAAGCCGACAATTTTACAATTGTAGGGAAATATGAACTGTTCTAATTTTAGAAATAATATTGGTGATAATTTACAGGATTTTTATTATTACCTCTTCTTTATTTTCTGTTTTGTCCTCAGTCTCCATCTCCTCTCCATCTAATGATGAGACGCTGTTTTTACTTGATTCAGCTTTAATAGCAGCTGCCTGGGCCTGAACCTGAGCCTGTATCTGGGCTTGAAGTTGGGTCTGTATCTGGGCAATCTTAGCTGCAAATAGTTATTTTTGTTTGAAATATTAGCTACAAATAAGAGTTTTGTTTGAGATGTTAGCTATAAAGAGATAGCTTTGTTGAGATCTTAGTTTTGTTTGAAATATTAGCTACAAATAAGACAGTTTTGTTTGAAATCTAACCGCAAATTGATAGTTTTTACCAATGTTTGTATATTATCATTCCATCCCTAGAAATGAAATGAGGTTCAATGTCCTACTGTTTTGCTCCGAACTGGGATAATGAAGATGGGCATACGCCATACAGTGTGCCATGAGGGAAATTTTGCCCGGACAGCGGCACTACCGCCTACTCTTATATCGAATTCCAACTGTCAAGTGATCTTTTACGTGCACGCGAATGTGTACACGGGACCTCGGTTTTTCGTCCCATCCGAACGACTAGACAGCTGCTGTCCTTGTCAGGTCTATCCCTAGAATATTTGTCTATTTACCATCCCAGTCTTGCAGAGTTTGTGGTTTATCCCATGTTGATTCCATTGTTCTTGAATTATAATAGTAACTTCTACCATCTGTATTTTTATGTTCTGTCCATTCAGATACCTCTGGTGGTTTCGGTGGCATCTAAAAATAAAATGCATAAACTTATATAGTCACACACCAAGTACAGTATTTGACAATTAAGAAAGGTAGAGAGAGAGAAATAGGGTTTAACAAACACTCGACACAGACTAGGTCATTTCGGGATTAACATACAGTTCGATTTTATTTCAATAACTCGCTTGTGCATAGGGAAGAATCAGCAGGAGGTTACCCATGAGGTTGTCACGTACAAGTGGGGAATTAAATTAATGCTGCTTGAGCACTTGACAGGCCTTATGATGCCCACATTAACCATTCCCCCCCCCCCCTACTCATTTCAATGAAAGGTGGGAGGATTGTGCCATCATCGACATATCCACTTATTCTAACTTCGAATTCCAACTGTCAATGGTTCTTTTTTACGTGCACACTAATGTGTAGGCCTATACGGAGGCATATCTAAACAAATAGGCAATCCTTTCTTAATCAGGAGTCACCCGCGATGCCATGAGAAAATCATATTGGTGACATGATTTAAAATCCAAATCACAAAACTTCAGTCTCACAAACGTAAAATATTTACCTGTGCTGATGGTGGTTTTTGGGCCGCCACAGCATCATTAGATGGTTGTCCATTAACATTAGCCGCTGCTGGTGGAGCTTGACCAGGTACACCTCCTCCCATCATAGCTGCATTAAACGGTGGCATCATACCTGGATTAAAATTAGGTGGCATTCCTAAAAATAGAAACACGAAATTATTGAATGTATTTAAAGTTTATTGCGATTTGAGCTAGATATAGAGAGTGAGAATTAGGATTAATGAACTACTCATTAAAACTAGGTCATATGCCGGGGGTATAACCTATGCTTGCATAGATGACTGTGCTATTGTAATTTTGGAGCTAGACACAGAGAGTGAGAATTGGGATTAAAGGCATACTCATTAAAACTAGGTCATATGCCAGGGGATTAAACCCATGCTTGCATAGATGACTGTGCTTTTGTAATTTTGGAGCTGCTGGTATTGCCTAACCCAAAGCCTGGCATTATGACCAAAACATTACTCTCGGAGCAACCGTGGCTTCCGATTCTTAATTGATAACACTGGGGGATGGCCGAATGATTAGAGTGTGCGTGTCGTATCATACGGTCTGTCATTGAGTCAACTGGCGTGGTTTTGGTTCCCCGGTTGGACGTCACAAGGAGTAGGGTTGGCTGTCCCCCCGGGTTTTCTCCGGGTCCTCTGGTTTCCTCCCACTGCTAAAACCCCTCACGCAAGCAAATTATTGAAATAAAATTGACCATTAATTAGTCCCAAAATGACCTAGTTTGTGTCCAGTGGACATTAATCTCTCTCTCTCATTAATAACAATGTCCTACCTCCGATATTAGGCATGCTGGTTTGATCAGCCACACTAGTAGGTGCAACGCTAGTTGTTGGTCCCTGGCTAATGGTTGCCGGTCCTGGAGAAGCTGTGGCACCACCAGCATTATTTTGTTGAGCAGCGGTTGCCATAGCCTCTACTTCAGTTTGTGTGATGATTTTAGAGTTTTCTGGCATCGTCCAGGATGATTCTCTAGTACGTGCATTATAATAATATGTCTGAAAACAGATAAATAAAATGAAATGAAATGGAGTTTAACGTCCTACTGTTCTGCTCCTAACCTGGGCTAATGAGGACGGGCTTACGCCATACAGTGTGCTATGAGGGAAATTTTGCCCGGACAGCGCCACTACGGCCTACTCTTATATCGAATTCCAACTGCCAAGGGATCTTTTACGTGCACGCCAATGTGTACACAGGACCTCGATTTTTCGTGCCATCCGTACGACTAGACAGCTTTCCTTGTCAGCCCCTCCGTCCTGCATCACTGACAAGGGAGAAAGACGCCGGAAAATCTGGATGTACTTTCTCGGCCAATGCAGGGATCGAACACCCGACCTCCAGGCTAGCGAGCTAGCGTCTTACCCACTTAGCCACGTGATCCCCTGAAAACAGATAACATTAACTTTGATAAATATGACATAAACTTTAAATGCATCAAATTTATGAAGCAAATGGAAAGGCACAAACCAAACTAATGAAGATAAGCATATGCCATGCAGTGTAAAATAAGGGAAATTTTGTCTGAACTAAGTTGATTACCACCTGCCAAGGGTTCATTTCTGGGCACGCCAATGTGAACACAGAAACCCGTTTGGTTTTTTTTTTTATTCTATAACAATGATTGGACACTCTTCCTTGCCTCGCTCATCTTCAGTGAGCCAGTGTCTTATGTCTTATGCATTCATCAAAACTAGTTAATTTCAGCAAATCTTTAAATTATTTTGTTAATAGCTCTGGAAATGAAAATGAAATGGGGTTTAACATCCTACTGTTATGCTCCGAATCGGCCAATAAGACAGGCTTACGTCATACACTGTGCTATGAGGGAAATTTTGCCCAGACAGCGGTGCTACGGCCTACTCTTAAATCGAATGGCAACTGCCAAGGGATCTTTTACGTGACCTCGATTTTTCATCCCATCCAAACAACTAGACAGCTGTCCTTGCCAGGCCCTCTATCCTGCACCACTGACAAGGGGGAAACCAGGCCGGAGAAATTGAAATGAGCTAATGAAGATGGGCAAATGCCATACAGTGTACGAGGGAAATTTTGCCAAGAGAGGGGCAGGGCACTACAGTCTACTCTCAAATAGTTAAACAGCCAAGGGGTCTTTCATGAGCATGCCAACAACATATTCACTGAGGATGTGGACATGGTAGGTTAAATGATAGAATTTATGACAACATTCAACAACCATTAATTATATTTCATGTGGACAATGTTAAGTTAAAATTTACTTTTCCATCACCGGACTTTGTTTCTACCCATAATTCCTGTTCTGGTCCACCTGCTCCAGGACCGGGACCAAATCCAGGAGGAGGCATTCCAAATGGAGGCGGGAAATTTGGTGGAGGCATCATAGGTGGACGCTGAAAAAGGTAAAAGATATAAAGATTAACATTAAATCTTACATAGGTAGGAGTGGTAGAAACGAATATTAACAGGTTTAAACAGTTTTAGTAGATGACATATGTTACTACACAAACTACTGTAGGGTGAGTTTGCAGATAACACAAAAAACATTTGTGACCAAACCAAGATATGGTGATTTTTTTTCCTACGCATTAAGAAAGTAATGTCAAGTTTTCCTGAAGACTAACGAAATGAAATTAAATAAAATGAAATGGGGTTTATCGTCCTACTGTTCTGCTCCGAACTGGGCTAAGGACAGCCGCAAGGGATCTTTTACGTGCACGCCAATGTGCACATGCGACCTCGGTTTTTCGTCCCATCCGAACGACTAGACAGCTGTCCTTGTCTGACAGGTTGTCCTGTATGCAGTTAGATGTTAAGATGTAACCAATGATGTAGTCCCTTTGCCACTAGTTGCAATTTTTCGGAATATTTATGTTTACAAATTTCAATAAATCTTACCATGCCGGGTGGGGGCATTCCATGGGGAGGCATGCCAGGTGGAGGACCCATACCAGGTGGAGGCATACCATTTGGATGAAACCCAGGTGGAGGCATTCCTTGCGGACCCATCGGACCAAAATTGGGATCGAATGGGGGTCGACCAAACGGTGGACCTCTAGGTCCTCTCATTCCTGGTGGAGGGCCTCTCATTCCTAGAATACAAATTTACAATTAATTAGTTCTCCTAATATTTCAAAATATAAAGTACTGAAAACAGAAATCTGCAATAAAGAAAACAGCTCTATTGGATAAATGACAATCTTGTCACAGGCCTAAACACATTTCTTTTCCTTTCTGCAAGAATAGGACCCTTACTAAGACTGTGCAAAAATATTGATATAATCGATAATCGGTAGAAGTTATTTAGCGATACGATAATCGATATTGAAATTCAAATATCGATTATTGGTATATTTACCTTCTGACGGCAAGTTATGGTCACTTTCACATGACTGAACTTGCCGTAGTCTGGCATGCAGACGAATGAACGGTTGAAACTCAAATAGGTCACGCACTTTGTGAACAATGACGATCGCACGTGATATAGTAAAATTAGAATTATCTCCCTTCTCTGCTCTTGATTGATTTGTAGAGAAATTGTCTGCTTTCACGATAAAACTAATTGTATTATTAATGATCAACTCAGCTTTTATTACTAAATCATGTCAGATACAGCCCATACAAAACACGTTTTTGACTTCACGGGAAAATATCTATATCTCTCGTAATTTCTTGGAAGAATGCTACTTTGGTTTTCGTCAAAATTAACCAATCATAAAAATTCTACTTTGAAAGCCGGTAATTATTTTTTTATTGTCCAATCAATAGACGCCTTCTATTATATTTTATTCTATTATTAGTAACACTGTGTGATCGCCAGTAACTTGCAAAGAGAAACCATGTATTGTCTTTGTATTTATCGGAGATATTGGAATAAAAAAAGGGTTCAAATGAATCAAGAACAAAACTTAGAATAATACTCAAGTTAATCCTACATTTAGCAACTAATTATTTTACATTAATTGATTTTTTTACGTACATCGACACAGTATTATACTAGGATAATAACACTACTGTAACTCGATCAACACAAATAACAGGTCGGTAAAGTTCGGTTTTTCCGGAAGAATGATAATCAATTATTATCGATAATCGCTGACAAATTCTTGCCGATAATCGATACTGAAATTTCATATCGATTCCCAGCCTTAACCCTAACCGGATTCATGGAATGTTTTTAAAATCTACAGGGAAATAAGTAGACAACAGTTTAGTTTCAGGCAGTGTTGTTCCCACGGTTGTTTTACTGAAAGCTACATGCATCAGAAATGAAATGACACATGAAGTTGACCATCATAATGCTGTACAGGGCGATGTTTGGGCTAATTCACAGCTTCAGCATTGTTCCCATGGTAGTTTTTTGAAATTTTCATGCTCAGAAATGAAATAACACATAAAGTCAACCATCATAATGCTGTACAGGGCGACGTTTCGGCTAATTCGCAGCTTCAGAGAGTGTTGTTCAAATGGTTGTTTTATGAAAGCTACATGCGACAGAAATGTAACAATAATACATAAAAGTGAGCCATGAGGCTGTACAGGGTGATGTTTGGTCTAATTCACAGCATTGAAATTTTATTACATAAACCTACCTGGTGGAGGGCCTCTCATTCCTGGATGTCCTCTGAATCTAGGACCTGGTCCTCTAAATGGTGGTCCTCTGAAAAAAGAAAAGATGATTTTAATGCTAAATTAAAAGGCGTTTGAAACTGCATTCAAAAGGATTACTATATTCTGGCCAGTTGGGATTTAAATTTTAATCAGTTTTCAAACACTGTCCTATGTTCAGAAAGGAATGGAATTTAATGCCTTGTCAGTGTTGTGGTGGTGGTCTGATTCCTGAAACAAGATGGGAACTACTTTGTGTTTCTATGCCAGACAGTCCGGCAGAGCAGCAACAGTATACAAGGCATTGATAACCTAACTCGAGCCGCTAAGAATTTAGAATTAAAAAGGCATAGTTGTTTAGTTTTATGCGAACATTCGGGCATTGACACTTTGTCAACACAATTGTTCAACCATTTTAAGACTTACAAACAGGTATTTATCTACATGGTCACATGTGCAAAGCTAGGAACAAGCATTTTGTCACGGCAGTGGCAAGATAGTGAGAAATGGGGTTTTAACTTCTACTCGACATAAACTAGGTCATTTCAGGACTAACATGGTTCAATTTCATTTAAATATTTCGCGATGGCGTTTTTAGCATTGGGAGAAAACCGGAGGACCCATAGTAAACCCACGAGGTTGGACAAGCGGGGAATCGAAACCACTCCAGTTGACTCAATGACAGACCTTATGGTTTCACCCGTACACGTTAAACCACTACCCTCTCCCCTACCCACCAGGCATTTCCACATATTCTTCATTGTATTCTGTCAAGGGTTCTTTTATATGTGCACCAAAACATTCATGGCATGGTGGAATCTCAGCATACAAAACATTGCAAGTTGCAGCAGAGCTTGAAAAATACTGAGATTCTGCTTAGTATTGCCCATTGCGTAAATCAGCCGGATGTACGTCAAAGTACAATAACATACAAAACAGGTGTTTGAGTTGACTGTAACAATACTGAATAATCTAAAATTAACATTGATGAACAATGAAAGAATAATTTGGCTGGTTGGCCAATTGATACAAACAAGGGGTTTCCATTCTGACATGTCAATTTTATTTTTCAGACATTTCAAAATTTCAATAACTATCTGGGATAGTAAAGGAGTGTTTATGGGCCGTGAGTTTGTACCTTGGGCCGCGAGACCAGTTATTGAAGCCACCGCGTCCCCGATTTGGAAAACGGTTCATTTTATGGCCCATATCCATCATTGGGTCACCGTAGCCTCCGTCATAACCATTTCCATCAAAATTCTGCCCTTCAAAATTTTGGCCATCAAAGTTCTGATTGTCGTAGTTATCATCTCCATGGTGTTCTTCGTCATTATCGCCATCTTGTTCTGATATTTCGTTAGAATCTTGAATATTTTCATCGATGTCCATCTTTGATTTTTTTCTTCTTTTTTTTCTCACCACGCCGAATGGTCTTTGTTATCCAGTCGCATTCCCTATGGTCAGTAATGTTAATTCACGGGCTGGAAAAATATGGCTACATTAAATTTAGTTTTATTTGTTTCGAATATGAGGAAAATCCCAAATCAAAGAATCCGTGATGAATTATGGATTTATGCAGTTTCAAAGAAAGAAATGTAAACTGAGACGTGCAAACTGATTTATTAACAAAATTTAACAGATTAATTAGCATATACGAAACGAACCGGAAGTGACATAAAAAGCTGCAGGTGCTTGTAGTTGTAGGCTTAGTTAGCCAGACAACAAAATGTTAACGGCATTGAGTAAGTATTTAACGTATTACTGGAAGATATAGTCTATAATGCTCTCGTGATTTGTTGTGTTCATGGTAATGACTCAATAATTTTCTGATAATTAGCGACATTTTAATAATGTAGGTCTATTTCTGTATACGGTAAATCTAACACATCGTTTATAGGATATACTTTTGCCAGAGAAGATGCCTGGCAGGGAAAATCGTGGTATGGCGCAGCCTTTACCATCAGTATTAGACGACACTGACAGCGAACTAATATCGGCTGCTCCAGACGTAGTATTTGCCCCGTTACCGAGTAGTAGTTATCAAAACAATCACAATTCTCACCCCAGATCACCGACGAGGACAGGAGGAGGAAGCAAAGAAAGTTCTCCTCTGCTTGGACCCAAACATGACCACGATTTTGGTGTATGGAACTTTTTCCCAGAGGATCCTCAATTTGATGAAGTAGTGAAACAAGCAGAATCAGCCATCGAAGCAAATATATTTCCAGAGAGAATTTATCAAGGTTCCAGTGGAAGTTATTTTGTCAGAAATCGAGAAACGGTAAGTACATCACAAACGTAATCCTACCCCACCCCACCCAACCCATTCATTATCCTAACCCAACTGTTGAACAAAATCAACAATTTAAGACCATACAGATTCAGGCCGTGGTTGGGGAAGATTTTAAGCATTTTGCTTTGGGAAGATTTCAAGCCTGTCAGTGAGATCATTTCAATACGGACTATCTTTATTGTGGAACCCCCCAAAAAACCACACATGTTGTCTGAATTTCAGACTGGTTTGGGGTGGGTGGGGAAGTGGGGGGATTATAAGTGTATTGGGGATGTCATATCACAGATAGTCCAATCAAACTGAACTCAACACAAAAATATAGAGATATAGAGCATATGGTGCATTTTATACAGTAAAACATACTCACTATCTACAGTAAAACATACCTACAGTTACAGTAAAACATACACACTGTCTACAATAACACATTTCTACTGTAAAACATACCCACTGTCTACAGTAAAACATTTCTACTGTAAAACATACACACTGTCTACAGTAAAACATATCCACTGTCTACAATAAAACATACCTACTGTAAAACGTAAAACATACCTACTGTCAACCGTAAAACATACCTACTGTCTACAGTAAAAAAAATACCCACTGTCTACAGTAAAATATTACCCACTGTCAACCGTAAAATATACAGTACCTACTGTCTACAGTAAAACATACCCAAAATCAACATTAAAACATATCCACTGTCTACAGTAAAACATGCAGTACCCACTGTCTACAGTAAAACATGCGGTACCCGCTGTCTACAGTAAAACATGTGGTACCCGCTGTCTACAGTAAAACACACAATAGTCACTGTCCACAGTAAAATATATGGTACCCATTGTCAACAGTAAAATGCCCCACTGTCTACAGTAAAACATACCCACTGTCTACAGTAAAACATACCCACTGTCAACAGTAAAACATATTCACGGTCTACAGTAAAACATACCCACTGTCTACAGTAAAACATACCCACTGTCAACAGTAAAAAATTACCCACTGTCAACAGTAAAATATACCCACTGTCAGCAGTAAAAGATAGCCATGTTCTACTGTAGAACATACCCACTGTCAACAGTAAAAAATTACCCACTGTCTACAGTAAAACATACCCACTGTCAGCAGTAAAAGATAGCCATGGTCTACAGTAAAACATACCCAGGTAAAGGGCAATAAAAATAGACTGCAAACAGACACCACATATACAGGCATTTCTATGTGTAAAACAGGTCACATGCCCTTGGTTTGAAATAAGTCACGCTAAATCAGTCTAGTAACCATTGTTTGGCTCATTGTCATACCAGGATTATCAAGACTATTTTACAAGTTGCATTACACAAAGCTTGGGCAGAAATCTAATTCAGAAGATCATCACCTGTTCGACAACTCAACTGTGGTTTTAAGAACCTTGTAAAGCAAAAGGAAACTATGGCTAATGTTCTGTTCTTGTCTACACCTTGATTGTCGAAGATGAGAATTGAACTAAAGAAACAGATACAAACAAACAGATGCTCTGACTAACTTTATAGTTAGTAAAATAGCAGATTGAAAAAAAAAACTTGATTTTCTGAAGTTGTTGGTTCATACAAATATGACTGTTGTTCAGAATAGCTAACATTAGATTTTTTTAGAGTGATATTGTTTGATACATGTGTGGACAATGTAACATGCTATCACTGATCTGTTGTTTAAAGAACAATGTTGGTGTGAGCTAGGGCTGCAATGATACGCTCAACTCACAATACGATACATATCACGGTTTGGACCTCACGATACATAGTACAATATTTTTTTCTTTCCATGTTTACTTAAGAAATAAAAGACAAATATATGATATTTAATGGAGACATGCCACTTTATGAGCCGCAACTTTTCCATCTGGCGTTTTTAATAAGGCGAATAGGACCAGATACAGTCTGCTTTTTAGGGGATCACGTGGCTAAGGGGGTAAGACTCTGGCTCTCTAGCCTGGAGGATGGGTGTTCGATCCCTGCATTGACCGAGAAAGTTCATCCAGATTTTCCGGCGTGGTTTCTCCTTGTCAGTGATGCAGGACGGAGAGTCTGACAAAGACAGCTGTCTAGTCGTTCGGATGGCACGAAAAAAACGAGGTCCTGTGTACATATTGGCGTGTATGTAAAAGATCCCTTGGCAGTTGGAATTCGATATAAGAGTAGGTCGTAGCACCACTGCCCTGGCAAAATTTTCCTCAAAGCACACTGTATGGCATATGCCCGTCTTCATTTGCCCAGTTTAGGAGCAGAACAGTAGAACGTTAAACCCCATTTCATTTCATTTTATTTTAGTCTGCTTTTTATAAGCTCAGATACAACACTGTTTTACAGGCCTTGTAGTTTGGTTTATTGACAGACATTCTTCCAAAGTAGAATTTCAGCAGATGAAGATATATTTCATCGGGATGTATTTTTGCATTTGGACTAAGCAGTTTTTGTACATGTGAAAAATATCAATTACTAACTAGCCAGAGACCAGTTACACAATATTGTTGTCTCCCTTTAATTTTGTTTCAACATAAAAGAAGAAAGGTTTTCTGTGTTACTAATTATAGTACATGTAGTTAAGTACACAAGGGGATTACCATCTATTTATAGATCAGTCAGGTGTGTTTTAGAGGATAATAAACAGGAAGTAGATTATGCTATAGTCATGTGATCATGAGTATGATAGGAATACATGTGGACCGGTTAAATAGGCCATTTACACCACAGCTGTCACAGTCAGTCAGTTAGTTTTAGATATTGTGGATATTATTGAGATCAGAAAAATAGTTTTATTAACTTGGTAATGAAATATTATCGATATTGTCAAGATCTGGAAAATAGTTTTTATAGATCTATATATTCTTGGATGAATATATTTTTATTTACTATTAATTCTGAGAAATGTTCACATATATAATTTGATTGTAATTGGACAAAAAGTGATACGTGGTGTTTGATTGTGTATTATTGTGATCGTGAAAACAGTTTTTATAGCTGTAATTCAGAGGGAAGTTCATTTGTGTAATTTGGTTGTGTTTGTACTAAAAGAGTTACATGGTGATTGATTGTGTATTTATTAGGGTGTGGTGCTTGATTTTGTATTTAAATTACTATTAGGACTTGGTGCTTGATTGTGAAACTGGATAATTATGAATTCATTATTAAAATTTTTGACGTTCCAACTCATATCAAATGGCAGTTTATTGCCATTCAGGAGAAGACCACTGTCAAGACCGGTCACATTTTTTCTATTATGTCCTTCTTGTAAACCATTCATTGTTTTATTTTTCATTTTGAGCGAAGCCTTTAGTGATATTTGTTGTCTATTTCTCTGTAGTTTGTTGTGGCCATTGGTTTGTGTTGTGGGTTTTGTTTGTGTGTAGTGTAGTCCTCCTGCACTTACTGATATTTAATTGTAATCAGGTGAATGATTGACATGAACTGAGGTCCATCATAGTTCTGTGGTCTGTAGTTATTTGGAATGTTGTCAAACTTCGAATCACAAAGTTGTTTCAGAGTTTGTAACCGTGAGTAAATCTGTCATTGTTCTTTGAGTAAGTAGAACTGTAATGTTGTCAAACTAAACTAGTTACGACAAAGTTGTTTCAGAGTTTTTAACAGTGAGTAAATCTGTCATACATGTAGTTCTTTGACGGGTAACTAAGCTACCAATTGATGCATCCTTTAAAGCTAAAGAAATCCCTTGCAAACTATAGTATAATTATGTTTTGACTTTCTTAGAAAATATGAAATTGTAACTTTAAGCTACTGATGTATTCAAACTTAAAGGCTTGATGCATCCTTTTAAAGCTAAAGGAATCCCTGGCAAACTACAGTATAATGTAAGTTTAATCTCTAATGGTTCGGTTCCGTTCAGTATTTACAAAGTTATGATCAATTGAAATTTCATTGATCTATGCAACTGGAGCCTAACTAACAAGTAGACCCCCCCCCCCCCAATGGACCTACCAGTTCAAATCCAATTGAATCCAACTCCAAGCCAGGAGATTATCTGGCGCCAGACTCGTCAACCCCTCAGAGTTGCAATGCAGTAGGGTCAAGGGTGGTGTAATCAATGCAGTAGAAACCATGATTTGGCAGTAGATTTCTAAAAGCACTAAAATTCGCACTTCCAAGGGAAATTTATTT